TCACATTGATCCCAATTAATAACTATTTTTTGATCAGTATCGGAAGTTTGGGCAATCACAACTCACGAGCATGCGTCTCAAATATAACGGTTAGAGACTCGGTGATAAAATACTCTGACAATGGAGTTCGGATCAAAACATGGCAAGGTGGGTCCGGTTCGGTCTCAGGCGTGACGTTCAACAACATCCACGTGGACTCAGTCCGTAACCCGATAATTATTGACCAATACTATTGCATGACCAAAGATTGTGCTAACAAAACATCTGCGGTTTTTGTATCTGATATTGCTTACCAAGGCATCAAAGGAACTTACGATATTCGAAGTCCTCCGATGCATTTTGGATGCAGCGACGCAGTACCATGCACAAATCTAACTCTTTCAGACATCGAATTGCTTCCTGCCAAAGGCGAATTCGTTTTGGATCCGTTTTGTTGGAATGCTTATGGAATTGCGGAAGAGCTTTCGATTCCTCCGGTTTGGTGTCTCATGTCCGATCCTCCCAAGGGGTTACAAGGATCTCTTGTTGACAAGTGTGGTTCATCGTGATTTGCTTCATCGGATCGTTAAGATAAAAATAATTGAGTTAGACAATATTCTAAACTTTTTACGAGATTTTACAGAAAAAATGTGTATAGGTTTGATGATGATTCTTCGTTGAGGAGTGGTATGTTTTTTTTTGCCTCTCCTAATAGTTTTTAAGGAACTTTATGATCATGGTTAATTTTCATATGATGATTCTGTAGTGTTGTTTTGCTAATGATGGAGTGATTAATATTAAGACTGCATGTGTGTTTTGCTTCATTGTTATATGTCACTATGGATATGGCCTGCTTTCTTTTTTCTTTGTTTGACTTCAATGTTATAGCTGTTGCTCGGAGGTTTCTCCTGTATATCTCAATTTTAATTTGGTTAAAAAGATATGTTAAACAAAAAAAAACAAAAAAAAATAAGAAGAAGAGAAAGAAGTAGTAAATAGAACTCCTAAAATTACAAATGGGCCGTAGAATGAAACATTTTTTTTTTCTCAATTTCTAGCTAATATAACATTATATAAGCTAATTGTGTGGTGACAAATTATATAATATTAGAAGAAATATAAAGTAGTGGGTTATTTGAGTAGAAAGTATAGAGAATATTCCAACTTTTGGAGGTTGTCTTTGTCTCTTAGTACTTAGATATTATATTAAATGCAAAGAAAAGGAAACTATATATTGAAAGCACTCAAGCTAGCATATGTTCGTCGATCTCTCGACGTGTAGCTTTCGTAGTCAAGAATATAGATGTGTCTAGTTAATCATTTGTCAAATAATTAATCGTAATAATAGACTAATAACTACTATCGTTCTTTAACCGTAATGTGCAAACTATCGTTGTTAATGTTTTGCACGTAAAAGATGATTGATTGAGTTACTATCGTTCTTTAACCGTAATGTAATCATATATAAATCAAAATCTTTTTAATTTTCGTGGGAAAAAAGAAGATGTTAATCTATATATTACTAGTAATTGAAATCCATGAAACAAATAAACGTTTCAAAATAACAAGATGGACCAAATAGAACGAATTAGCAAACAATTTCCCCTTTTGACCAGACAATTTCCTTTTAAAACCAAAATTGTATTCATCTTTTCCAACGAATTTCCTTTGAAGTTTAATTATTTAGTGTCGAGTTCCTTTTATACTTTTGGACTTCTAAAGTTGATATCTTATGATCAAGTTGTTTAAAGTTTACCTGGTTCACCTCTGCACGCGCAGCCGATAAAGCACATATATCTTCAAATCCACATAAATATTAATGTATCATGTATGCATGCATAGTTATAGAATCTATTAATTGTTAAAGCTGCTGATCTCATTTTATTTAGATTTTGATCCCAAAACAACTTCAATTTTATAGGACTAGAATTGTAATATGAAGCAACGCATGCATTAGGAAATTTTGGATTTGATTATTAAGAAAACTAATGTAATAATAATTTATGAGTTTGTGATAATTTCAATAAAGTAAATAAAAAACTATACCATTTCACTTAAATATGCATGAACTTGGTATGTTAGGCATAAAGATGTAATTTCTAATTATGGAAATCAATCACGCGTATGTGTCTATATATACTTATACTGACACAACTTACAAGCTGTATATGTATGTATATATATGCAATTATACAACAGAAGAAATATTTTACTTTCTTTTTGAGGTTAAGGAAAACTGGAAAAGCTTACAAGGCCACTCGAAGATTCTAAGTTATTTTTTTTGTCAGAAGGATTCTGAATTCTGACTCTAGTTTTTGTAAATATATATGTATGTTATCTTACATTAAAATATAATTTATAACAAATGGAGAAGTTTGGTGGGTCGCAATTGGAATGTTAGACACACCAACCTCCGATTCTGCCTTTTTCGGTGTGGCCACGTAATCTCAATTGAAACGTATTTAAACTCTAATCTATATACAAGTAATCGGTAAATCTATATGTAATAATATATTAGTCTACACTAACCCATTAATCTGAGAGCTATTAAGCTATAAGATACGTAACGGAAATCTAGAGTAAATAGCTTGATACATCAGAAGGGTGCTTGTTGTTAAAGAAAAAGTAAAGTATATCAGTGATTTATCATCAAAAGCTTACTAAAAATGACCAATCATGGTAAGTTGGTAAGAACAAAAAGAAAAAAAAAAGTTGGTATGAAATAAAAGAGGGGAAATGATAATAAATAACATAGCCTAGTTTTCTTGGTTAGTTCATCAATTAAAAAGATTCTTCTTATCGCTTGTGTTCATTGTCACTCTATATCTATGACTCTATGTCCATCACACTCATACCCTCACATTAGGCCATTCCCATTTATTTGGCGAAACGTATCAAATTCGCCTCCTTAAGTTGTCATTTGTCAATGAGTCTTCCTAAATTATTTTCCAGTCCAATAGTCTAAACTCTAAAGGCAATCAACAAAAGAAGTATTTTCTTCGTAATTTTTGTTATTGCAGCAGAATTAGTTTAAAACAATTTCTATAAAGTAAACACCCTGTATATATAGTTGCATTGCAGTTGAATTTAGTCTTTAACGGGACCAACATAAATTAACTTAATAACTCCAATGTGTCTGTCGCTTAGATTGAAATATTAAGATAAGTGTACTAAACCAACGTTAACTAGCTTCACCTTCATGCAAAAAAGTTCAAATTTCTTCTGCTTTTTACAAAACTCTTAAACTCTCTCCACTTTACATGCATGCACTAACATGGTATATATGATGCATGTTTTGTGTTGTGTATTTTTATATAAAAAGAGACAATACTTACATAAAAGTGAATTAAGGATGCAAAAAGTGAAAAGAGAGAATAAAGGATGCCTTTAGACCGTAAAGCCTTATTGATAACAGTCACAGTCTTACAATGTCTGTCGCAGTGAAATAAAAAGTGATTCTTCTCAGAAATCTCAGCCACTGATCCTACCACTTCTTCTTCTTTTTTTTCGTTTCCCTTCACTCTTCACTCTTCACTCTTCACTTTCAGCTTTTGCGCAAGTTTGTCGGCTTCAATTAGTATTCACACATTTTTAAGACTATTTCTATCATTTCAAAATCTCCTTGTTTATACAATACTTTTTACTTAAAGTTATAAATTTCGCTTTAAAATGTTTAATGATACTTCTTATGAAAGGTAAGGTATATAAAGCTATAAAGTTTAATTTTGAAATGAATAGGAATTAGTATGTGAAACAGAAAAGGTACTTTTATAGGAATTTTGTTTTTCCCAATTCCAATAAAAGGAATTGTTTAACAAACCCAACATGCAATAATCAGAACTGAGAAATTATTCTTCACACTCTGAAGCCCAGTAGACTATTGGGCTTTTACTATGACAACATTCATAATTAAACACATTGGGCCTCTATTTCTCGGATTCTTTCTTTCGATATTGATTAAAAAAACATTGACCTCCTAAACCAAAACATATGCATGTGAAGAAAGTTCCTTTTCTCCTGTCTGTATCATTTTTTTTTCCCCGGTCATCCAAAAAAACGAACAGAGTCTCAAGATTAGAAGAAAAAAACAGAGCTGCAAACTAATAAAACATTTCACACAAAGATATTAATTGTGAAAAACAGAGATTTTTTGTTTATATAACATTAATAGAGGTAATTTAATTACCGTTCATTAATAAGAACAAAAATAAAAAAATAGTTCTTCGTTGGAACCCAAATTTCGCATATACAAATTAATTTACTTGTTTATTTATACAAGTGGCCGACAATATGAGATTTTATTCGCAAACCTTTTATAAAATCTCATCATTCGAAAATTTAATAGTAAGACGAGTACGTTCTCCATCATTAGATTAAAAAACATATGCCCGAAAAAATAGATCTAACGGTTGATAATAACAGACTACTATACATTCGGATCTACCAGAATATCTCTCCAAGACCTACCATGAGTAAAAGTAAACGCATCAAGTCAAAGTATTTGATGATTAAGAGTCTTTCTTTATTTCAAAAGAATTTATTACTTCCCAAGTAGATTAGTGTTGTCTAGATTACGTCATCATTGTGACGTAATCTCGTAACTGCTTCATGTCGTCGTTGTCAGCACAAACTCATCATCATCTGACGCAACGTTGGTATCTCCGCGGTCTTTTACTCTTTTGCCCCTGGTCCCTTTTTTCAACAAGTACAAAAATTTGATACTATTTTCAAATTTGATTCAACCAAAAACATCACTTATAAAGTTTCGAAATTAAATATCCTAACTAACTTGGAAAAATATCTCCAATTTTCGTTTTTGTGGCTTAAATTGTATGTAACTAGGAAACTAAAGGACTAAAGAGTAAAAGAGGTGGGGACAGGGTGTTTTAGTCTTTTTCTAAGAAGTTTCGTGACGACTAATTTTTCTCCTTTAAAAGAAAGTCATCAGACTATGAGACGAATAAGAATATTTGCCATCTTCGCTCTCCAAAATCATTCACTTTCTCAATGTATCCTAAACAATTTAATTTATACAATTATTCCCTAGAGACCATGAACAAGGAAGAGAATGTGGAGAGCAAGGAGACGATCAGGGTCGATAAGAGAGTAAGAGAAGACGAAGAGGAAGAAGAAGAGAAGAAGATTGATACGTTCTTTAAACTTATCAAACACTACCAAGAAGCACGAAAACGTAGACGAGAAGAGTTAGCTGAAAATTCCGGCGGCGTGAGGAAGAAATCCAACGGCGGAGAAAGATCCGGTATAGTAGTTCCGGCGTTTCAGCCGGAGGATTTCTCGCAGTGTCGTACGGATTTGAAGCCGCCATTGATGATTGTTTCGGATCACAAGGAGGAAGATACAAAGGTTAAAGAAGAAGAAGAAACAGAAGAGAAGGGTTTAGATCTTAATCTTACATTGTAGTAGATTTGTAGTAAATTGATCTATTTTTCATTTTTCATGTTTCACTTATTAGCAGTTGTGATTAATAAATCTTTCATTTAACTCAGACTTATGTCCGATCAAACTCAAAGAATCATGAAGGAAAACATCTTGTGATGAACTCGGAAAACCGTAAATCTTTAGAGCACATTCAATAAAATTTAACATTCCGTTAGAATCGAGTAATGCATTTTGTTTAGTTATTTGTGTTTTGTATAATTATATATGTTTAAGAAGATCATTAGTTTAAAGCTTTTTACTGACCGGATTTGATATCTAGTCAAATATAAAGATTTGAAGAAATATACGCAACTAGTTGCATAAACAAATATGAATTAGACAACTAATGATTCAAAAGTCAACTGGTTGACTTTTGATTATGAATCCTTGGATCTTGAAACAGACTAGACAACTCTCAAGTCTTAAGCTTTAACCACCACTTTACCTTGAAAAACTCTTTAAGGCCTCTACAAATCCAAACAAAGTCAACTTCTTTGCAAAAACCAGAAAAATGGGGACGACTCTGGGAAAGCCATTTGCCGGTTTTTTCCACAAAGAAGAACTGAGGATAGTGTTCTTCGGTCTGGACGCTGCCGGAAAATCATCAATACTGCACAAACTCAAAACCGGAGAAACCCTTACCACAACCATGCCTACTGTTGGTAAGTCTCATTATCACATTTTTGCTTTCTGATCTTAAATCGAGTCTTAGCTTCTCTATGAATTCCTTAAAAACGGATCATTGTTTCTAGGAGTGAATGTGGAAAGTGTAAAATACAAGGATTCAATCTTAAGCTTTTGGGAAATGGGCGGCCAACAGTGTTACAGGGTAGGAGAAAGTTGTTAATTTTAGAAACAGTAAGATCATACCTGATTATGGGTGATTCAAAACACATTTCAGTGGTTTCCAATATCGAAACATTACTTCCAAGATATAGCGGGGCTTGTGCTTGTAGTTGATAGCACGGACAGAGAACGAATAGTAGAGGCGAAAGATTTTCTTAACGCGGTGATTGATGAGGTGACATACAAACAAGACTTTTAAACATTGAGCAAGTCACATAATCTAATGTGTGATGCCGTGAATAACAGATACAAGGGAGTGTACCGGACCATGTGGCTGTTCTTGTATATGGAAACAAGCATGAAGTTCCTGGTGCTATGTCTGCTACTGAGATCAGTAACAAGCTTGATCTCACTTCTCTTCGTCAAAAAAACTGGCAGAGAAACTGGTAAGAAAATAAGAAAAACCTTTCAAGACTCTGATTTTGCGACTAGGATTGATTCTTCTGATGATCTGTTTTTTTATTTTCGCTTGCTAGGCATGTCCAGAGCTCATGTGCATTCTCTGGTGATGGTTTACATGAAGGACTCGACTGGCTATTGAAATATGCTGAAAGAATGTAAGAATGTGTCCTGATTTTTAACGCGGAATCTCTGTACCGAAAATAGCCATCTTCTGTATCAAGTTATTAACCTCATCATGCTTATTTGCTAGCTCCATCAACAATTTGATCCTTTTAAACGAGACATTGCTCGGTCTATGACCTTTCTCAACCATCTCAAGCAAACATTTCTCAGCTTCTTCGACTTTAGCCAAATCGCAAAGCAAATCCAAAAGCACATCTGAAACCAAACTATATGAACCAAAACCTTTTACCACCATATCTTCCCACAACCGCATCGCCATATCCACTTTTTCGTGTCTCTTAAACATCTTAATCAAGAACATACAGGATTGGGTATTCGGCAAACACCCATTCCCCAACATTCTCTCATACAGCTCCCAAGACCGTCCCAAATCATTTGCTAACGATAAAACACGGAAAAACAGATTATAAGTAGTCGCATTCGGAGACAAACCCTTCTTCACCATCTCATCCACCAACTTATCCGCATCCCCGAGCCTCCTCGCTATGCAATAATTCCTAATAGCAGCATTATAAGCCGCAACATCAGGATAACATCCATACTCCTTCATTTCCTTTAAAACCTCTCTAGCTTTATCAGGCTGACCGATTAACCCCAAACCGCCTATAATAGTTGTGTAAGTTATAACATCCGGAGTTTCATCCTCCTCGCGCATCTTATCTATCAACTTATAAGCTTTCTCAATCTCTCTATCCTTACAATACACATCAATCAAAGAGTTATACGTAACCACATCTGGTTTTAGCCCCTTCTCCTTCATTTCCTCGAAAAAGACTTCCGCTTCTTCCGATGATTTCCAACCCGATAAAAGTATATTAAAAGTCTGCAAATCAGGCTGAAACTGATGCTTCAAGCTATGATACACATTCCTAGCATCAGTCATACTCTTCTCTTGGCAAAGAGTTCTCAACAGAGCATTAAAACAAGCCGTATCAAAGAAATCAGGAACCAATCTCTTAAACTTCCAGAAAGACTCAACAGTTTGTCTAACGGAACACAACTTAGCAACTCTACCTAACACAACTTGCATCGTCCTTGGAGATATCAAAGACCGATCCTTTCGCTTAGTCTCAATCAAAATCTCCCAAATTTGATCGAACTTTCGATTTCTACCGAGAATATAAAGCATTGTATCTAGAGAAAAAGACGAATGATAAAACCCTCTTCTAGCACCAGCGTACCTGTAAAACTCTAGGGTTTGAATTGGGTTCCCATGACTAAACCTTACCCTTTTCAAAACCCTATCGATTAAATCTTTTGACAAATGGATTCCACTAGAGCTCAAAGATTCCTTCAAATCTCCTTGAAGATTTGATCCATTGATCATCCGGAAAACAGTTTCGGTGTCATCGTCTTCTTCTTCTTCTACAGGAACCTTCGCACACGATAATGTCACGCTGTGAAGAAACGATACAGAGAGACGGAAATTGGAAGCGCACTGAGAAGACAAAGGCTTGAGGATCATCATCGTTTGGATATCGTCTAACAAAATCTGAGCTTTGGTTCCAAATCGGAGAAGAAACTCAGATATGGCGGCGTATCGAAGTTAAAACTGAAGAAGCTCTGTATCATCAAACTAATTCAATAACCAGACTCGTTATAAAACTATAATCGGACCGGTATCAAACCGACTAATTTTACTCGGTTCGGTTTGGTGATTTAAACCTTAAGACCCCAGCCCCATCACTAAGCATACGTTTCTTTTTGGTTATAGATTAGTGGTATTCTTCCTTCCTCATGGGACCACTGCACCAAGCATCACTCTGATCATTTGATTTCAGTGGTTAGTTGCTGAGTCGCAAGCCATGAGAATCAATATTGTATCGAGCATATTCAAGAAAATTTCATGTTTCTATAACACATAACTGAAGCACAAAACTAGAAGACATATGCATACCACAAAACTGAACGAAATAGACACAATAGCTCTACAAAAAGCAAAGAAATCGAGCCAAAAACATAGCAAACACATAGTCGAAACCAGAGTTTCTAGCAAATTCAATTTACCAACATTCCACTTGTTTCTTTCTGTTCCGTGGGTTCTGAACAAATAATAACAAACAATTTTCCCAAAATGGAAATTGATTATTGAATCTAAGGGAGACTCAGGTTGTGTGTCACAAGCTCATTATATTCTCTTAAAAAATAGACACTTTTTATTTGGTTTCTTGAACTGGAACAGAGCTGCTATTGTTGACCGTATCTGTAGTATTTTCCTCTGACACTTTGAAGAAAGTGTAAGACAATATCAAGTTGTTGATTCCGTCCATTCTTGGATCAGTCTCAAACTCAGGATCAATGTAGAAGAAGACCTGCAAAACCAAGTGATAAAAGGTTTTAATGGACTCTTGATTTTATCTGAGGAAAATATCAAACAGAACCAAGAACAAAAGAGTAGTTACCGGCATGTCGATTTGCTCTCCGGGAAGGAGTCGCTGCTCCTCAAAGCAAAAACATTGTATCTTGTTGAAATAAACTCCTGCCTGAAAAAACCAATATAAGAATTTCAGAATCGATCAATATATGTTCTAAGGGAAGTTGATAGGATCCACTACCAAGGCTAATATATATATACCTTCATGGGAGTGACATTGTATGTCGAGACTCCGGTTATTGGAGCTGAACTTTTGTTTTCAGCAGTGTAAAAAGCAAGTGCACTTTCTCCTGGCTTTACTCTAACCTATAAGATGGTAACAAAACCAAAAAGACATATCAGTTAAAAAACACACTAACTAGTCACAACACTCTTCTTGAGATATAAAGTCTAAACCTCTCTTTGTGTTGGAGTGAACTTCCATTGCATCCCATCTGCAACATCAGCATTGAACTGCACGACAATCTCCCTGTTTACCAGGCAAACATAGTATAGTAAGCTAGCAAGTTCATCTTAAACACATATAAAGAAGATCTCAGATTACGAATGGTGTTAAAAACAGAGAAATAAACACCTTTCAGTGACGGTACCAGATTCTGAATGCCTAGCAATCTTCTCCTCAACAGTCTGTAGTATAAGGCCAAACAAAAAGACTGAGGATTAGCCACTAAGAAGACTTGAAACCTCAGAGGATAAAAATAGAAAGGAAGAAACAAAAACTATATACCTCTTTGCGTTGAACAGTACCTCCATATCCAGTAGCTTGGCAGAATGTTCTATACAATGGCACAGCAGCGTAAGTCAGCCCCACCATACCAAAGACAACAGCGGTGAGGTAATAGAGCATTTTCTGTGATTTGGTTTCTGTTGGAGATTGCGTAGAATACTGGCGATGGGCACTAACTAACATTGATTTAGCAGTAGCAGAGTGAGAATTCAAGCTCCATGAAGAAGAACTTCCCCAAAATACTCTTTTGCTTCGGAGATAATGCTCATTACCTTTACAAGCTCCATGAGTGTAATAACGAGAGCATAAACTAGTCCTACATCAACATCAGCATTTCTCACAAACTTAATACTACGAAAAGGAATAGAACTTTCTTTGAGGAATTTTAACAAACAGTTCATGTGCAAGCATATCAGGTAAGATTCAATTACCTCGGAGACTGAGATGTTCGATGAAGGTTCTCTAAATATGAAGAAATTCGAGTTCCTCTACAAGCTTTCGACCACGACATGGCCGAAGAGAGATGATTTCAAATCGATCGACACAGTGAGACACCACACAAAACACTTATCTGCACAAGAAACACGAACCCAGATTACATTACTTGAAAATTCCGATCGATTTCAACGCAAGTGTATGGAAAAATTAAACCCATTTTCTCTCTTCCCTAACCTCCGGGGCGTGATCACTAATCGGAAAAAAAAACAAAATCACCCGAGGCCATGGCCGATCGTAATCGAATCAGAGGCCAAGAACGATGCCATGATTGGTTAAAGAATGTAACCTATCAAAGAGAAAGAACGCGAAAGGATAAGAAGAGAATAGAAGACTTACCGGTAAACCGGACGGTGTTCTTGTGTCGTCGGCGGGAGAGAGATCAAAGACGTCACTGGATTACCAAAAAAAACACTTTTGTGGATTAAAAAAAGTCAACAAGTCAAACAACGACTTGTCTTTGTTGTCTGGTAAGAATAAAGATAGTCGGTTCACATGCGTTTAGACGAATTTTTTAATTGTAGGCCCATATTATGCAAATGGCCCAATAAAGCCCAAATGAAAAAGAGAGTAGACATGGAATATTGACACTTCATACTTAATTTACCGTGTTATGTAATTTTGGATTAACATGCTGTCATTGAAGATTACAAATATTTTCCATATCTCCAACGTTATTACGAAAATATTTCATTTATTGTGATTGATCTCATGTAAGAATCTTCACATTATATACACATAACATCACTAATATACATTCCATAAATTTGATCATCTTTTTCACAAGTCTAATCCCAAAACCTTATTACAACATGTCGGCTAAAACTCGCCGTTCGAAGGATCTTGCGGCCACAATCCTCATGGCTATCGTGATCCTCGCATCTCCGATCACAATCAACGCCGAAGATTCTTCAGCCGAAGTTGACGTTAACTGCACACCTTGTCTCGAAAATCCACCGCCTCCGCCACCTCCTTCTTGTACACCCGCGCCTCCTCCTCCGTCACCACCACCGCCTAAGAAGTCTCACTGCCCACCATCGCTTCTGCCGCCGCCACCACCTCCACCTCCATTTACTTACATATACGCGTATCCGCCACCGCCGCCGGGAGACTTGTACCCTATTGACGATTACTTTGGAGCGGCTGCGGCAGGAAAAAGCTTGTCGGTGGTGAAGCTGGTCGTGTTTGGAGTTATTGTTTTTATGATTCTTTTATTATGATCACAATTTATTGATTTGTTGTTTTTGAGCTCTTGTATGGTTTCTTCGCATTAAAGAATTTTTTTTTTGCTTTTAACGGATTGGCGTATGTTTTAGCTGCATGATATTGTCCGAGGTTATAATCGATTGTGGATTAATTTTTCTAGTTAGGATCGGATATGGTAAAGCCAATTTTGTATAAAGAGGGTTTCAATTTGTGTAATTATGATCACATAATTGAGGTTTTGTTATGGAGAGTCCTGATAGGACGCGGTTCATGGACCAGATTTTGACTGATCAGAAACTCAACCTTTTTTTTTCGTAAGTCGTTTTCTAGCATTTTCTTTAGAAATTGTAATGATCCACTGTTTCACATGTGAAATTTGTAAATTACAAATTAAACGACCAAAATTAAATTTCTTTTTTTTCATCTAAAACTATACATTTCACATGGTATATATTTGTATAACAAGCAAACAATCATTTTTCTTTTTCAACAAGCAAACAAAAAAAAAGACAATCTAACTTTTAAATGGTATGAATATCTATAAAGCCTTGAAGAACTCAAGACGAGGGACACCTAAACGGAGAGAGTATGTAGCTTTTTTGTAGTCACCCCATGTGAATGAATTATACCGTCTTGGATTTTCCGGCGACACCATTTTTGGCAACGGTGATATTTTCGCCTCTAACGGTGGCGCTGCAAAGTACATCGCCGACATACGTGGCTTCTTTGCTATGTTTGCTAAAACCCTATGCCTCACGCTAGTGAATTTCCCATTCGTCAATGCCTATTTTCAAAGATTATTTCATTCATTAATTAATTGATGAAACATATTTTGTGTGTCTTTACGAAAAAATGAGTTTATTATGACTAAAATACCTGAAGGCAGTCACCGACCAATACGAAGAAGCATGTAGGGTCAGATGGGATTGGGATCCACAAGCCGTCACGTGAGCAAATCTCAAGTCCATCTACGTCGTTGGATCTTAACACCGTCAAGATCTGAGGGTCAGAATGTTCTCCGAAACCTATTTGACCAACGCCTCTTATCGCGTACGGTGCTGGTGGATAGTGATTCAACCGTAGGATTGAATCGCTACGAACGTCTCTGATCAGCTCACTGACTTCACTAGACTTCTGTCCCCATAAATTCTCGATCGTCAGATCAATGATCTCACATGCCAAATCTTTAACCGCGCGTATGTAATCATTCGTCGCCGAGCTAACAAAAGAGAAACAACACGTGGAATTTATTAACACAAATATTGTTTTTTGAATGATTTCGAATTATTGTTATTATTTTTACGATAAATATCAATAACAGAAAAAGAAAAGACATGAGACAGAGGAATGTTCGAAAAGTGAGGACCCCATGATTCTTGCTTTTTATTTACAAGTTATCATTTTAAAAATGACGAAAAGGAATAACAAGTCAAACCTTGATTCATTGACGTTTCGAATTTTGATTCTTTGACATCTCAAAGAATTTTTTGAGTTCATGCATAGTATTCCACTAATTGACCAAGTCTGTTCAATTATTATATTATTTTGTAATGTATGTGTGTTTAATCTGAATTTTCTAAATAATTATAACTACTATTGACATGGAGCCCATGAATGATATTTTAAAGTTCGATTAATCCCACCAAGAATTTGATAAAATATCTCTCTTTAAACGTAACCTATGCCACCAAATTAGGGAAAAAACTTTAAAATATTTTGATTAATCAACCATGTCGCAGTCAAGGTTACAAAAGCATTTTCACATTTTTGATCTTTTAATATTATTTAGAATAAAAAATTTGGTTGGCATGCATCCTAATTGTAACCACTATGAAGCAAGAACAAAATCCAACTATTATATAGATTATTGATTACAACAAACTATCAGGTGAACCGGCATTAAGTTGGTATGATTATAAATTTGTACTAATTTTAAAACAAAAGAAAAAAAAAACAATATGAACAACAATGACAAATAAAGGAACAAAGACTGATAATAATTGAAAGCCGTGTCTTCTGGTCATTATCCATTATTCGACATTGCATCTCTCTTTCTCTCTCCCTCTCTCTTTTTAGGTATCTCACAAGTCACATTATCACACACAATCCACATCAATTTCAGTTGGGTCAACTTTCAATTTGACAATCACATAAATGGATAGAATATTTAAATAAATAAAAAATTGTAGACGCAACAAACGATTGCCATTTCCACATATACATATATATATATATAATATATTCATTAAGCTTATGGGGTTATATGAATTTGATAACCAAAACTCATACTATAGATATGTTTGTTTGATATATTATCGTAAGCGTTTATGTTTAATTTTTTTAATCAAAATTTTCTTTATGCGTGTACAAATGTTTGACATAAATTTATATACCTTTTATATGACTAGTCGTAATATCGTTTCAATAAACAGCACACAAAAATGTAAAAGAAAAGTTTTATAGCTTTATAAATTAAGTTTTATAATATGTAAAACATGTACGAGAAAAAGAAAGTAAAATATGTATACGTACCTGAACTTGAAAGGATCATCATGAGATATAGTTTCAGATTGATCAGCGACAGCTGTCGGATTTGCGTGGAGAAGAAGATACTCAAGCTCACCCAAATCGCCGTTGAAGCCGATGTTCTTGCATCCGTAACCGAAAGGACTCGCCGGACCGGCTCGTAGCTTATCCGATTCCGGTTTATTAAAGAACTCTTCTCCTTCATGCTCGAATCTCGATATTATCTCCGGTTTAACTCCGTGGTTTATCACCTTGAAAAACCCATTAACCTCACAGGCTTTTACGATCTTCTCCGATAGTTGTGACCGATCGTTTAAGGAGAAATCGATCACCGGAAAGCTATATTCCGGCAAGGATTTCGTCTTCTTTCCGGTTGTTTGTAACGGTGTTGAAGATGGCAAAACCATAACCTTTTATTTTACAAAACAAAGATAGGCTTTTTAAAATTATTATTAGTAGTAAAGAATGAAATCAGGAGGTTTTGAATCTGAAAGAAGAAGAGTGACGATTATATATAGTGTATGGGAAGAGAAGAAAGGTAGATTTTGGATAAAATAAAATATTTTTATTAAATGTCTTTTTCGAATTTAGTTTAAAATTCTACGGTTTCCATACGGTTGACAAATGGGGAAATTTAAAGTAATCGTCTCATCATACAAATCGCGTAAGGTGGGCATGTCATCAATGGGGACGGTCGAGTTCTTTAAAAACAAAATTATTGCCAAGATGAGTATAGCTTGTCTATTAATAAAATTATATATACAATGTTTCTCTCCATTAAAGTGGATTTTAATTTTTACAAAAAAATTATTTTAAAATTATGATATTTGAATTTTTTCTTAAAAAATTGTATTATACATTTACAACTTTTTTTTGTCAACATTCTTGCGCAACCTTGTTATTATTAAAATCGGGTAGTTTGAAATTTGGTGATAGGAAATTAAGTAGTAGATGTTGATATGTTCAATTCTTAAAATAATTTAAAGATTGAGCACTTATTGCCTAAATCACCGTGTTTGGTTAGTCATAAGACTCGCGTATATTTAATATTGCTTTCTTTTTAATATATAACAAACATTTTAATGAATTAAAGAATACACTAGAAGTTGATCAATTATTGTTATGATTGAGATTGTTAAAAGGAAGAGTCCGATCTTAAATAGTTATTTTGAAAAAAAATCCGAAGAACTAGTTTAAATTTTCTAAGAAATGTGAGTTTTGTGTTTCAGCTTTGACAAATACAAATAGTTGTCTCTTCTTTTTCAAGCTATGCACCTAGCCTATCTAAACATGCATAATTGTTAATCGTGACCAACAAAATTAACATTTCAGGATTTGTTTTTCGATAAGATAGATATTTATCTATTTAGATTTATATTATTTTTGTGATGAAGAGGCAAAAAGGAAGAAGAAGCAAATGCTAGAAGAGGCGCGTGGAAAAGAGTCACAAGGAAGTGGGAAAGGTGAGGAGGATGGGGCATGTGTAAGGCTGATATGTCGGCACGTAGTGGAAATGGTCAACCTTGACGGCTCCCATTAGCCGTCCGATTAACTAAGAGACTCTTTTTCATAGCCCATATTCTTTCAATTATTATTCTCTCAACTCTTTTCTCTACCAATACCTAGTACCTACCCATTTACTGTATTATTTATTACTATAAGATCGCTTTTTAAAAAAAAAAAAAATTCATTGGAGCTCAGTCGCGTACATTTGAAAACCGACACTAAAACCTAGCTCTGGATACTGATTGTTTCTAAAGATAAACATGTTCTTTAGTAGAAGTTTTTTTACAAACAAAAGTTTAACAGTCAAAATGGTTTTTTTTTTTTTTTAAGTTGATTCAAACAAAGATTTAGTTGATAACAATTCAAGGGGACGTTTTTAAAATAACAATGTAATCAGCTGACATAATTAAAAAATCATGTTGTTCTTAGGTACAAAAGTGAACCGCGAACTTGTAATCGGAAAAATATAGAGATTAACCGGATCAAATTAGAAAAATCCACATTTGGACAACATTTTTTTTTTTTAACAATATTCGAACAACAAATTAAATGAGAGATATGGATACTTTCGATTCATTTTTCAATTCATTTAAATATTTAAGATATAACATATAAGAAGAAGTATGGGAGAAAAGTTGACCAGAGACAGTATGGATCAATGGAACATGTCATCTGACATATTAGCCGACATTTTCCCCGTGAATGAAACATACATATCGGTTATATCAAACCTAACTAATATCATTTTAAATTTTGGTGACCATTTGTAAAACAATTCCATATTAATTTATGATTTATACGTCTCTTCTTGAACTTATATACACATATTTTAGATCAATTATGAGTTTAAATTAAAGTAGACAGTCAGTCACCCAACTCCAAGACATCCAATCTGAGGTTTCTGTTTTTTCATTCATTTATGATTTCTGTTTTTATTTTACTCGTATTCAATTTAAGTATATCAGCATTGTTAGATTATGTAGCATAAATACTAATTTCAATATTGATAAAAAATACCAATTTCGATAAATATTACTAGTATGGAGGTTTTGGATCATATTAATATTAAGACCAATGAAGTCTTACGATGAGTAGATCACATCTACGAGTTTAAATGAACCTGCATGCATGAATACATATGTTTTTAACCGTAATTTGGGCTAATGTCGGAACAGGAAATATACTAATTACGTGCAGTGTATTCAATAAATATAATAGAACCGGCGACACAAACTACAAAAAGCAAATGGGATGGCACATGCATGGGAATGGGATGAGCAAACCGGCCGTTGGAATCTCTCTGGTCGTTGAAACGCTTTTTCCTCTCTTCTTAAAATATCAAATTACTTGTTTTTCTTAAGACATATATATATAGACATATAGTCAACACTATGTGTCCGACATAGTGTCATAATGTGGGGGAGGAGAATATAAGAATTGTCCGACCATGATATATGATTGCCAATATAAGAATTGAAATGTTAAAAAAAAAAAAATTGAAATGTATATTTTTTGTTTTCTATATACTTTGTTCAATTATGAAATACTAAAATTATGAAAATATTATTCACGAAATATCATAATCCCTAATTGGATCCAAGCTAGAATGCAAATTTATTTACTAAAAAGAGAATGGGTGTTGTAATGTTACTATAGTTAGTTAGTTACTTAGTTAGCCGGTTTCGGCTCAATGGTACCTGTAACCTGTATATTGAAATTGTCCTGTCTCCTAGTCCTACTCACACCAAGAAGTCGCTAAATTTAGCAATTCGGCCCGGCCCGGCCCATCATTAGTTCACAGTATTATTATATCTGGCAACAATAATTGGTAATTCCTGAATTGTAGTTATGAATAACTCACGAAACACTATTGAATACTTGGACAAAGATATGTTACTACTTACTAATTAAATATTTTAAATCTGATGTTTTATGTTGTTCAACTTTATACAATTGGAATGTTTCATCTAATCATATAGTAAATGTTTAGGTTGATGGAAGGGAAAAAAAAAACCGTTAATTGCCCATTGCCCCCATTAATTTTTTTTTAAAAAAACTTTTTGGACCAAGCTGATTTTTATAGGCAATAGAGAAAGGCACAAAATCCCACTTTTAATTAAACCACTGAAAACCCTAAATTGGGATTTTGGTTTCCAACCAAACTCCTCACAATTTGTCAAACTAAATTTGGTTTCTAACCCAACTACTTTTAATGACTTTTTTTTTTCTTACAGATGTTGGCGAGTATTAAATTACTTATACACGATTACGACAAAAAAAAAAAAAGTTTTATACGATTCAAGTAAGTTATATCACACGTACTGGTGAAAAAGTTTTAACTTTTTGTTTTTTTTTTTGGTAAAACTTTTATCTATTATATACATAAATATTTTATTCTTGTTGGTTAAAATTATTTCTTCCTCTGTAAAACAATTTTTTAATTCGCCGCTCAATGAAATTAAACAAAGATTGAAGAAGCATTAAACATAGTTAGGTGGGAAGATGCGTAGGGTTGACACACAAACTCTAACCCCACAATTATCGGCATGACCGCATGAGTCCCACTCTAAATATCTTGAAATTATCTGGGAAAACAAAAAATTCTCATATTTAATTAATTTTTAACATCTTCTAATACTTTTCCTAATTGATGTCTTTAAATTGGTAACTCTTTCAGAATTCAAATGACACTAATTAGGCACTTACCATTATATTTTTCATAAAAATACTGATATTTACCCTACTTCATATAAATACACTAACAAAATAAATATACATTTAATGGAGTATATATGCATGTCAGTTATTTCCAACGGGCCCGGCCAAGTATAGGATATCAATAATGCATGTACATATATATCGTATTGGTCACACAAAAAGATAATTACATTTAACAAAAAAAGATAGTTACATCATAGAAAATTTTCTTATAAGAGATAAAGCATATTGGTACGTCACACAAAAAGGCCCTAATTAAGAAAACAAACTAAAAATTTCAAAATCATTATTTTTTCTTGACAACTCCGTTATTACCGGCCAAGATCAAGTACTTATCTCTTCTCGTGAGGTTGGTGCACTCGAACCCCAACGCATTCCCGATCTCATGCTGCACGTGATTAGCCACATCGAACTTCGCTTTTCTATTATCAGGATCTGGACACGTGGACGATGTAATTCCAGAGACAGGGTCAAGCAATTGGACGGTGTAGGAAGGAAAAGGATTCAAAAGGAAGAAAATGGGATCAAAGGCCTTAAGACCACTAGCCGTCGTGCCATAGAAAAAAGTCACGTGTGAGTCAATAGCAACCGGTACGATGACGTCACTGACCTCGGAGAAAAGTGGACTAAACCGAAGCAAGTAAGGCTCTCTACACGTAGTCCCTTCCGGACAAACCACGAGATCTCCTTGGCTCAACAATCTCTCCATGGCTTGACCATCTTTGACTCGATCACGAGTCAATCTAACGGTCTTGATCGGAGCTAGAAGCTCAGATAATCTGCTTAGACTATACGTAACGGCTTTGATGTTTTTCTTTCTTAGAGCGTATGAAATGTAAAGTGGGTCTAGTAACGTTCTATGGTTGCACACAAAGAGACAGCCTTTTTTCCGATCGGAAGAAACTAGGTCTTTAACGGTGAGAGTAAGGTGGATACCGGAAAAGGCGAGGAAAGGATTGGCTAGGGAGTAAGGTAGGTTTAGGCCGAAGACGAGTCTTGCAGCGGCTAAGGCTGCGGCGAATGGGGCCCACATGAATAATACGAGTGTGTTTAAAGGTGTTGGCTTGATGGCTAAACGACCATCGTGGAAAATCATTGGTTTAGGGTATTGATCTCGTGGTAGGGTTCGCCAACTTTTCTTGTCTGAATTTCTGACGAAGTAAATCTCCTGTTTATGAAAAAAGCATTAGGGTAAGATTATCATTAGATCATAGCAAAAAAAAGATTATCATTTGGAGAAATATATCAGTTGAAGTGGAACTGTTGCATTAAAAAATATTACTACAACTTTATGGTATGGATTATACAAGTCGTAATCTCTATGGTTGAATTAATTGCATCAGAACTTAATATAACACTAGATCTTGACCCGCACATACGTGCGGGGTTTCATATTTTTAAAAAAATTCTAACAAATTTTAATTCAATATAGATTATTTCGTTGTTTCTATGATATATATTTTAGTGTATTAGATATGGATTCACACCTACGTGCAAAGATATTTTTATAGAAATTGTTATATAGATTTTAAAAATATAAAATATTTTGTTGTGTTAGTGAACTTTATAATAGTATAAATATTATAAAATTAGAGTAATGAACGAAATTCAGTTGCGTTAGTGCATAGTTATATTTTAAGATCCTGACCAACACGTACGTGCGAAATTATATTTAAGATAAAACTAAGATATAATTTAGTTGCAAAAGTTAAATGATGTTACTTTTTTATTTTCTAAACTAATCAAAAAATTTCTAATAGTTTGATTACATGTGTTAAATAGGATATAGATTCGGTTTGAGTTTGGTTATTTCATGTATATTAGCTAGGCGTAACTATTTTGGAACGGGAAACCTATCCCGTCTTGTATATGTCATAAATTCTTAATCCCATAACCCGTATCGTATACGTGAAATAAAAATATGACGGTCCAGTATCCGGCATAAATAGAATATGTGTAACTGAAAACGTACGTACAGTATGTAAACAAATTTATTTTATATAGTGCTCATAACCCGAACTCATACCAGTTAGGTATTTAGTTTGATTTTTAATTTATGTTCTCGTCCTATCCCGTCTCGTAATTCCTATTCTCATTTCATTCCATTAAAATCATGTTTCAAATTCTTGTTTGCTTACTTTTAAATACCATACAATACATACTGTGAGTTTTGCAGATTAATATATATGCTGCTAAAGTTACAAATATATTTTAACAAATTTATTAATGTTTCTTTCCTTAGCTAAATTTTGCATATTCTTCTTTTTATTGTTTAATCATAATTAATTTGATTTTCGGAATAAAAATAAAAATTTGAAATACATCTCTAAAAGGGATATGTTATTGCTGCATTATTTGTTTTGAATTCAAAATATATAATTAGTTTACATTATTTGAAAACTGTGTGCAATATATTAGAGATTTATTTAAGGAAGACCCGGTTGAAAAACAAAAAATAAAACGCAAAATAATTTAGAAATTAATATATACAATCTATTGTTTAGATATTTATCAAACTTGCTATAAACGAAGGCTATACTGATAATTACTTTAAATTTATTATTATTTGAGTTTATTTCATAGTAAATATAAATAGTTGTTAATATCTAATATCGTATTTTAGAAATTGTGAAATAAAATTTTGTTTTATATTTTAAAATTTGTGAAAATATTATAACAAAACTGAATCTTAAAATATTTGTATTTAATTTTCTTATGAATTTTTAAATTTAATCTTAAAGTCCTCCATTGATAAATCTTTTAAACGATAGTGTTTTTAATTTTGAATTAAAATGATATTATTTTTCTTTTTATTTTTGATATAGAATAGTCTATTACGATTGGTTTAGATAAAATCTTAGTTGGATATCAAATCTTACTTTTTCAATTCTCATTGGTTAACAATTTTTTAAAAATTAATTTCAAATTTTCATTTATAATTAATAGGAGAGAGAAAGTTATTTTAATTTTTTGGAAATTAATAATTATTTAAAAGAATTAAACTATTTTTAATTTAAATATATTAATTTTGTGATTACTATTGTACCCTTAATGAAGTTATTTAAAAACACTAAAAACTAATGGCAATCTTTGTAATATCTTACACTTTATAAGGTTATTTAAGTTAGAATGATTCCCAATTAATAGTATAGATATGCATTTACTTGCTATATTAGTCTGATTTGTGACGCAGTACTAGATTACAGCAATTCTTTGTCAATGGAAATTAATTGCATCACATATTAAAAAAAAAGGAATCAATGCATCTCTCTTCGTTCAAAGAGCCACATTTAAAACCAAAGAAATTCTATTGGAACTTATATTTATATCATATAATTTATTATTATTAAGTTCCTAGATATCGAAAAATCAACAAACCAAAACGTACTGTATTATTTTACAAAATTAGAAAAGCAACAACATAAAGAGTTTTGTCTTTGTTTGTCTCAAAAAATAACAGTTACGTCTGTTTTTAATGAGACCATCAATTGTTAGACCAAAATCTCTTTTAGAATCACCAAAAAAATCATATAAGGGTAAAAACAACTATAACAGTTAAGATTATTTATATATCTTCAAAATATGATAATTTACCTGGCAAATTTGAGAGAATAGAGATCTGTGACTTGGCGAGTTGAAGGAAGTGATGCCAATAAGACGACCACTGCTAAGCCTTTCTTCTTGAACCACTTTATCAAAAGCAAACTCACGTTTCTTCTTATCCTCCATGATGCCTAAGTAGTATCCCCCGACCATTTTCATGTCTCTGCCGACCACAACTTCAATCTCCAAATAATCTCTCAAGAACACATCAATCATAACTTGTGGTAAATCACTCACACCAACTCTCTTGCCTCCTCTTTTCAAAACCTGAAACATCTCGAGCCCAACATCTTCTAGAAAATACTTAGGCAAAACTGCTTTCCCGGCTCGAAAACTTTCCTTTCTAACTCCGAAGAAGCTCAACATAACCATCGTCTTCAAGCCCATTTCGTAGCTCATTAAGCTTATAAATGGATACAGAACGAAGAGGAAAAGTGACCTTATTACCCCTCCGGCTTCGAAAGCTACAACCATGAAGTAAGGGAATAAAGAGTTTGATTTGAGTAGAGCTCCTTCGACGTTGAATATCAAAGTGTGATTCGATAGGTCTTGAGCTTGGTGGAGGCCGTGAGAAGGGCATTTTTGGAGTTTTTGTTTAGGGTTATGATGACACCAACGACGGAGAATGAAAAACCGGTACAAGAAGAAGACAAGAGCTTGAAGAGTCGAGATCTTATTACCGGACATGGTTCTACCTCTCGTTTTCCAATTACTATATTATACGTCGTCGCTGGATTCTAGGCTCTGCATGTCGAGAGAAACGGTAGGGGCTGACATTTATATAATGAGACCATGACGTAAATACCCTTCGAACGTGTTTAATATTTACAAGGAATGCCATCGATGATGGTTCCACTTCTTCCTTCCCGTACAGCTTGCATGATTATAATTAATGATCTGAATGTTCAATCTGAAAAGTACACGTACGCGTCGATATTTAGTTCGGTTTCTATTCGAAATATTAATGTGTCTCTAAGAAAAGATAAAATGTGAGAAGACTCAAGGAATAATTCAATTTAAAGTCGGCTTCTTTTTTATGGTTCGGTTCTGATATAAATTAAATATCGAAACCAAATAATCTAATTAGAGTTTGTTAACTTAAATCTGTTTTCTACCAGAGATAAATTAACTAACAGATATTGAATGTGAATATAAGAATATGAGTAAAATATTATGAATAAACTTTATGTTAATTCTCAAGCATACAAGTCTTTTAGCTGTAGACTTATAGTTTAGTTTCAAATTCAAATTCCAATCACTCGGCTGCTGAGAAATCGAGCCACTTGATTAACGTCATTTATCATTTGAAAAAATAATAAATGAATAAAGTTGACTAAGAGATTATACTGACGGAGATCCGTTTAATGTTGCGAATTGTTCTCTTCGATTGGTTATTTTCCTAATAAGAAAATAAAAATATATATGTTATATTGTATTATAGCATTCGAATTACACAAAGTATTGTTATTTCAAAATTCTAAATATGTTTTACAATACATGGAAAAATGAAGTGTCCTTTCGGTGGCTAAGAAGTAAGAACTAATTATAATTAGGACGTACTAAGTAAAAAAAAAAAAGAACCTCATACATTCAATTATGTGCGACGTATACCTAATTTATTTATGTACTCTCCAAAATAACCACAACAAAAGAAATGAGAGATGTATATCATACATGTTCACACTAAAGTTTCGATCTTAATGACAAAATTAAATTCATTAATCATTTCAAACTCGAAGACGAAAGTTCTCCAATTGGGTTTACTTTTCTTTTATTTAGAAACTTTAGTCAAATACGCAAATTGTCGATGATTTTTCGTATATCCAATCAAAGCCTCACAATCAAAACTCTTGTCACCGTAAACATCTAAACTAAGAATATCAACTACAAACGAAAGCATATCGTTAGTGATAGTATTATTACTTTATTAGTAAGTCAACCGATTAAAGGAATAAAATTTTGAATTTAGCTGAAAAAAAGACTCAATTAAAAATCTGTCTAATTCTCATTCTGCCAGAAGCTTCCATGTTTTTTAACATTTTTTGCCATGGGACCATTTGTATAGGTTTAAAATCTTCGATTGTAAACCTAAACTGTTTTCATTTTATGAAATATTTACATTCTTAGCAAAAAAAATTCTCATTCTGAAGAGATATATACTTGACATTAAAAAATGTGTTGATTACACTTCCATAATTATGAGATACGACAAAAAAATGATTTTGTTGATTGCTATCTCTTGCAGGGTAACACTTAGCAGATAGACAAGCCATAAAATTCAGTTTCTTATCAAAAAGAAAATTTTCTTTATTTAGTAGAACAATTATGGCTTTTTCATATAGAATTTATTTGTGTAGGGTTTGAAATGTTAGATATTGTTATAGACCATAAACGTTGCAGAATCCAATTGGTATGAAAGTCATTTTCAGATTTTTCTTTGAACAACAAATTAATTTTTTATATTGTAAGGTCAACAACAAGTTTTCCATCTTCATTAAATACCCCAATCACGAAATTCCTACGATGCTCACAATCTTTTATTTTCAAAATACAATTGAAAACTCTCCCGGTTAGTGAAATATCATCATCCTCATTGTTTAAAACGCAGTCGTTTTTTTACAAATTTTAGCCTATGAACAAAACTTTGACCAAAAGAGTTAACCGTTTGAGTCAAGAAGACTAAACAGAGAACTCATCTAGTAACGTCTCTCGAGTCTTCTTCTTCTGCACCCGAAATTCGCTTCCTCGTGTACCTGAATTTACAGAGATTCAATCAAAGGACGAACTTGTTCATATTAGCACTGGTTTTTTAGAAAGTGTCTTCTTTTGATTTAACAATGAGAATGAGTTACAGAAATTGTTGTTCTTCTTCTTACCTGATTGAGGTGGTTGGGCTGGGATCGGTTTGCTCAACGGGAGCAAAATCATTGTACAAGTGAACTGAAATCAATCGGTTGTTAGGTGAAACAGTTGGTGCAGGTGATTTGTCCGAACTCAAACTCGAACTGCCTGTAGAGAATCCTGCAACACGAAAAAAAAGAGTTGTTTTTTAGACATTTTTGGTCTTCCCCGTGAAACAACAACAGAAAAAACTCTGTTTATCCAAGAAACCTGATGATAGAAGACTAATTAGAAGGTTCTCAAGTTAAACCAGAGTATCTTAAAAGCAATGAATCTCAACCATAGATAATCTTTCTTCAGAGACAAATTCATATCAAGGCCAAAGTATCAATTTTTATATTAATTAAGAGTTGAGAAGGGAATAAGAAAAAAGCTAATGTTCACTAAGAGACTGAAAAAGGTACCTTGGAAGACTAGAAAGGCGAAGAATAGAGCCGTTATTATCATCGAGAAAATGGTAATGCATGGAGATGATGGTGACGACTTGGTTGCTTTCATTCTTTTTAGGGAATTTTTCATCCTTTCAATCCTTGCACGCTTTCTCATAGCTAGCTCTTGTATGTCCCTCATGATCTTACGGTCGTTCTCACTCAAGGAAGGACCTTTTGGAGGTCTCGGAGGCTTTGAAGCTTTTCTCGACTTCTTAAACTTTCCATTATCGCATTTTATCTCTGCAAGACCCAAACTTTGACTGCTAGTTTCTACCCGCTTTTCGTCTCCCATTAATGGACAGATCAGATCATCAGCAATCTTTTCAGAAACACCAAAATTCACCCGGTCACTCCAGACCCCATTGCCTGAAACAGTATCTGATGTGGATTCTTGTGTAACATCAGATCGACCAGCTTCAATATCTACTTCAAGATCTTGTTCTCCTGAAAACATTTGATCCATCCTACACTAAGTTTCTCTTCTCAAACTCTACCTTCTTAAAACCTACAAAAGCAAATGCTGATTCAACCCTGTACTCCCCCTGGATAAACCGCTTTTCGGCTTTCGAAACTCGCAACTTCCTCAATCGTCCTAGAACATGAGAAACAAATGATAGGAGAGATTAGGATACCAATCATCCTTAAAAACACAAAAGAGTAATGAAGACAAACGGAGACAGAAGAATGCTAATTTAGGTTCACATAAAACACTAACTTAGAAGACAAAGTGACCATGAAAATTGATTTTGGTTAACTCACAGAATCAGTGACTTATATACCTTTAAAATCATTGACGAACAATCCTTATATATTATTTGGGAACTGAGGAGAATTTTGAAATCACTATACTCAAAATTCGATTTCCCAAATTCTCTAACAAGGAGACAGAGCAAAACAGATAGATGACTGGAGACAACAATGTAGCACCAATTTTCTAACCAAAGATTACAGACTCTTAAGAGGAAACTCTGCAAAAATACACAAATCACAGAGAATTTAATCGAAGCGGATAAAGTTCAAACCTTTCGCTAAAAACTGTCAAAACCCATTAATAACTTGGAATAAGGAAGAACTTACGAATGCGGCACTGGAAAAAGAAAGAAGAAGGATTAAGAGTAGAAGTACTAACCTCAAATTAGGGTTCTTGAAGGTGGAAAATTTGAGAAAGACTTGTCCTTTATCTTCTCTGTTTTGTATCCGAGATTATCTCCGCGTTGTGTAAAAGTATATAAAGAAACAGAAAAAAGCTAAGAATGTTTTTTTGGATTGTTGTGTCGCCGAACGGATTGACAAAGAAAGAAATAGGAACGTTGCGACTGATACAGAGACGTGCCAGCTTGTTACAGAATCTAACGCCGATTGTTTATTTATTTATTTCTCTCTTCTTTATTGTACAAAAAAAATCAGATTTGTTTTAACTTTTAGGCTTATCACAATTGGATAAAATTGATTGTCAAATATTCAGTTTCCAATTGTAAAAGATAGAATCAAAAAGGAAATATGCAGTTAAAGAAACTGTAGATTTACTAAATTTTACAATATCTAATTTGTAATTTTCCTTTTCCAACGCTATTTTTAAGTTTTAACCAGTAAATTGTGGAAGCCCCTTGGCCCATTGGTTGATCAAGGGTTAATTAATGCTTCTACACCCAGAGGTATGGGGTTCAAGTCCCAAATACTGCGATTTATTAATATATTTGCAGATTATTGGAGACAAATGTGCATGAGATCTCCAGCGATGTATAATTATAGCCGTTCGCCAGGATTCTACGCAGAGAGAGAAGTGTCCATCAAGAGCATGAAGAAAGAGGTGAAGGAGGTGAGCATGAAGAAGGAGGTGAAAGAGGTGACGTCTGTCGTGGATCTAATAAGGGTCGGAAGGAATTGTCAGTTGTAGAATCGTCTATGTAACAGTTCTCATAATTTGCAATAAATAATAAATCTAGAGGAAAAAAAAAAAAAAAAAAAAAAAAACCAGTAAATTTTCTCTTGTGGATAAAGATTTTTTTTTTTTAATAAACATTTTCCTAACTTAGTTGGTGGCACTAACAATAACATGGGTCATGGACCACACCCACAGTTAACAAGTAAGTCGGTTATCGGATTTGGATAAACAAACATATTATTGGTTGACAATTTTGTTGATGAGTATGAAAGAAACACTTTAAAACTAGTATTTTTTTATGTAACCGACACATTGTCAAGGACTCAAAAAAGAGCTAAGCTTTGTTTTCTAGAACTTGAAACTCTCAACGGGACACAAGTTTAAACATAATGTTCAAATAACAATTATTACTTAGTTTAGGGACAAACTGTTTTAAGCAAGTCTTGGATCTCCTCGCTTACTACGATCTGGTGTTGAGACAATCTCTCTCGCATATCAGGACAAGTTTTCTCTGCTGCTGCATAAGTCTTTATGAGAAAGCTCATAGTTTCAGCATCAAGAGGTTTCCAATTCGACAAAATCTTGCAGAAATCTTCTGCTCCATCTACATCTTTAGCTTTCTCAAAGTTAAGGAAAAACAAGCTGACTAGCTCTGAGCTCCAGCTCCATTCGTCTTTGTTCTCCGCGGAATCAGAAAACGCTGCTTCCAAATGCTTCATAGCCAAATCCGCTTTACCATTCTCCAACAGATGGATCATCAGAAGCTGTCTCGCTTTGGAGAAAGGTCCTTTAGACTTTTCCATGGCACCATCAAGAATCTTCTCTGCTTCTTCATACATATTCCCTTTCAAATACGTGTTAATCGCGATATTAGCCAGCCTCATATCGTATGCCCAGCATTTTGATTCCCACTCTGTGAAAATCTTCTTAATACCATCTATGTCGCCGAGTTTACTCATTGCTTGTAACATGACAAGATAGCTCAAGTTGTTGACCTCAGGACGAGCCTTCTTCAGCGATTCCCAAACTCTATAAACCTCAGGAGCTTTCGAGATTCCAGCGTACAAACTAATGAGAAAATGGTGGGAATCACGGTTGTTAGGGTTCATCTTCTTTTCCATAGATTTCAGCGCAGATTCTGCCTTCTCGTAAAGACCTGCTTTAGTGAAGATTGCAGCTAGATTAGAGAAAGTATTCCAAGTGGTTTTAGCTTCACTGTCTTTGCCCATTTCATCAATAATCTTCTCTAATCCATCTAAGTCATTCAAACTTCCACAGCTCTGCATCCATATAGAGTAAGTTACCCCACAAGGAGATATACCCCTCTGTTTCATCGCATCAACCAACACAGGTACCTTCTCGGGTTGACTCAACCGCATGTACATAGACATCATGTTATTAAATGGTAACGAATTGTTAACAAAGTTAAGCTCATCCATTTTCTTAAAATGAGCCTTTGCTTTCTCTTCCTCAAGTTCCACACAATAACAGTTCATGAGCGCCCCATAAGTCGACTGATGATTCTTTGCAGAAGGATCTAAGTTGTTCAAGTAGTTCTCAGCTGCTTCTAAGCCTTTAGTCTTTGCAATTAGATCCAAACGAATTGCATGGTCAGAGACAGAAAATGTCATCTTCCTCTTCTCCATCCAATCAAAGATCTGAAATTCCATTAACAATGTCCTCAATCAATCAAACTCTAAAACTAGTGAACTCACAAACTTAAAAATGTCATTTTTAATCTCTATCCAATCGAAAGAAGTGAAATTTCATTCAGCAACCCTAAAATTAAACCCTAAAATTAGTGAAATAACAAAACTTTTAACAAAGATCTTGAATCTAAAATCAGATAGTTGCTTAAGAGATAAGAAAATGGGACCTCAAGAGCGTGTTGATGTCGACGGAATTTGCGAAGGTCCTTAGCACAGCGAAAGAGATCGACTTTTCTGACCGTAATACCCTCCATGATGAACTGATTTAAAGTCTCTGCCACTGTCCCTCCCGCCACACTAAGCTTAGACAGTTTCTTGTACAACTCTCGCTGCCTTGATGCCTCCGTCGGAGCAGGAACAGAGGCTTTGACGCCATTTGCCGCCGCCGGAGCAGAAATAGAGGCTTCGACGCCATTTGCCGCCGTCGGAGCAGGAACAGAGGTTTCGACGCCATTCGCCGCCGCTGGAGAAGAAACAGAGGCTTCGACGACGCCAGTCGCCGACGCCGGAGCAAATACCGTTGCACAGAATCTCTTGCCGAGGCGAGAACCGGAAGTAATCAGATTACGGAAATTCATTTTTGTTAAGAATCGATCAAAATCTTGTTTCTTCTCTAACCTATCGACTACTGTGGTCGGAGGGACGATGGTAGGGTTTAAGGCAAGAACTTTATGTCCTTTAAGATGGATAAAAACGGCGTGTAGTTTACAATACATAAGGCTTGATGTCGTTTAAGTTAGATACTTTGTTAGTCTCTCTCTTAATTAGGATTGTTTTTATTCACGTATTTCATATAACTCTGTAACACTAATCGACATGAGATGAATAAATCCAAAGTAATAAGATAGTACGATGAATTGTGATTTTTTTAAGAAGAAACAAAAATATCGGTTTGAAATTTTTTATAACTAAATATCCTCTTCGAAAGATGAGATTTGTTTCATAGAGATTGTGACTTTTTAAGAAGTTTAATCATGAATTTAGGGAAGAAGATACTCAGATAGTAAAAAATAGAATTTTAGTTTATATTTTTTGAATGGGAAATCAGAAATAGAAATGGGTTTATTGACTAAAAACATTTTTGTCAACTTTTGCACAACTAAAAGCTTAATTTGTTTTGGTTCTGCATTAAGAACATATAATATAATGTATAGTTTTATACTTTACCAATTAGTTAGCCGCCGAACGAGATTTTTTTTGTGTAGATTCCACGACATTAATAAAAATACGAATGAGTCTTTGAAAATCCATCCATCCAGAAAAAAAAATGAGATTTTCCATAGCAAGAATCAGTGGCGGATCCAGAAAAATAGTTTACCTGGGGCACAAATAATATATAGATAATATTAAAATTTTTGAAAATATTATATCTATTAGTTTCTAATATAGTTAATTATATATTAGATATATTTTTTAAACATCATTTTAATATTAACTAAAGTAAATTTAAATTTACGTATCTAACATTAACAATATTACACGAATTTAGACTCTAAATATTAAATAAACTACAAAAAATTAATAATCTTCATTCATTTACTAGTTTTACTGAAAATAATAATAAAAATTTAGGTATTAATTTTTTTTTTACAGTAGACAAACATGTCTTAAAATTTGTTAGGTAAATTGAAATTAGAAAAATAACAATGGAATTGAAAGAACCTAGTTTTATTTAAAAGGAATAAAAAAATGCAATGAATCAATTAAAAAAAAAGAATAAAAATGCAGGAAGATGCTAAAAAAGAATGTGGGATGTGGCAAAGAAATGAGAAATAGTTAAAAAAAACAAACCAAAAAATTGAAAAGAGGAGAATCAAACTCTATTCCTGAAGAGAAGCATGGGGCACTCAAAGCCAACTGAGCTAGGAAATTAATACATGTAATGAACAATTAATAACTCTTAATAATTAGTATGGGGCACGTGCCCCACCTTATGATGCTGTAGATCCGCCCCTGGCAAGAATGGGTCTTCAAACATTAAAAATTGAAATCAGTCTTTTTCGGTAATATATACTGCAACGTCGACCGAATAAAAATATCGTCATCCACAATCATTCTAATCGTATTTATAATTCACATTACAAACTAATACACACTATCTATATCATTCAATGATTATATTGAAAAGTAGATTTTATTTAGTAAAGTTTTAGCTCTAAAAAAATGTCATTTCAGTGAAGAACCGTTATTTGTTTTTCTCTACAATAAAAAACAATTGCTTTTGTTGTCTTTCTTCTTCGTGTCTTCGCTTTTTGTTGTTGTCTTGATATCTAATTAAGGTGTAAACTATAAGACAAATTATTACCAAAAACTATATGAAAAGTATCACTTAATATGAAAGAAGCATCATTTGATGAATAAAAACACATGAGAGCATGTATAAACGAACCTTCAGACCAATGAAAAAAAAAGTCCACCGTTAAAGTCAAAAGTCAACGCGTTGATCATTTACACATCTATATAACAAACTCGTCTTCTTACACCAAAACCACCAAGATCCCTCCAAAAATGGCTCAACACTCTTTTCTCCTCTTATGCTTCTTCCTCTCAATCTCTTATTTACTATCTTCCTGCCAAACTGAAGCCACCGCAATCGAAAGATTGGTGCCAAGAGACCTCTACAACAAAATTTTCATCCACAAGGACAATACCGCTTGTCCCGCAAACGGTTTCTACACTTACGAATCCTTTGTGCAGGCGACAAGGCGGTTTCCGAGATTCGCGAGCGTAGGAAGCCCCGCGACACAGCGGCTCGAAGTGGCTGCGTTTTTGGCTCAGATTTCACACGAGACAACAGGAGGATGGGCAACGGCACCAGACGGACCGTACGCTTGGGGATTGTGCTTTAAAGAAGAAGTGAGTCCACAAAGCAATTATTGTGATTCTTCTAATACGCAGTGGCCTTGTTTCCCTAGCAAGACTTATCAAGGAAGAGGTCCAATTCAACTATCGTGGTAGGTTCATTTTCACTTCTAATGGTCCGTAGTATTTTTTATGGTAATGGATAATATATATAGACACCAAAGCAACGGCTACATTAGAAATAAATAAAATTATATCATGCAAGATCCCATTTTCCATCATAATTGTTTCTAATTTAATTATTACTTTTTTGGGATAAAAGGAACTATAATTACGGACCGGCCGGTCGAGCCCTAGGATTTGACGGTCTAAAGAATCCAGAAACGGTGTCAAATAATTCAGTGATAGCTTTCCAAACAGCACTTTGGTTTTGGATGACGCCGCAGAGTCCCAAACCGTCGTGCCATGACGTCATGATCGGAAAATACCGACCTACGGCGGCGGATTTGGCGGCTAACCGGACCAGCGGTTTTGGTTTAACCACAAACATAATAAACGGCGGTTTAGAGTGTGGGATTCCTGGAGACGGGCGGGTCAATGACCGGATCGGGTTTTTTCAGAGATATACTGGGCTGTTTAAAGTAGCAACTGGGCCTAATTTGGACTGTGAAAATCAAAGGCCCTTTGCTTAAACAATTAATTTGGTTGACCCAAAATATGTAATGTTTCATAAACAAAAGTCAACATGTATGTTTATGTCATTGCCCCACACATGGAGCCATGAAGGGGTTTTATATATTGAATAATGTATTTTTTTCTATGGGTCGTCTTTCAATTTAATGTGATTTGATGGTTTTAATCTCAACTACTACCTAATAAAAAATTAATTGACACAAAGTTATTCCCATGGTATTTCTTGATGTTTTGATTTTGTCTCACAACATATCTTCAACAAACAACCATTATGTTGGCTACACTTTATTTAATATATTTGTTATTTAAGTTCTTTTTTCTGCTTTCTAATTTGTAAAGCATAGGGAAAAATTAATGTTTTTGTAGATTGTATACAAGAAAAGTTAAAATCTTGATTTATTTATAATAAATCTGACGGTTTATGTTTGTTAGAAATTAAAACCAAGGAGAAGAATCCTAAGCCAGGTGGAACAGCTGGTTTTGGGGGCGAGATATAAATGCGACACAAAAGTCAGACAAAAACCACTTGCCACCCAAAGACTTAAGAGTCCCACTGGATTCTAAAACACAGACACATCATCGATCCACAATACCACAGGGCCACACACTTTTTCTCTCTATATATAAAGACAGATAAGAATCACATGAGAAGACAAAATTCACTCCAAAACCCTAATCACACACACAAGCTTTCTTCGAAGTTGATCATCAATGGCGTCAATTGTTCTTCTACTCACACAAATCCTTCACCCTACAAACCCTGAATTCTTCCCTTCTTCTTCCTCCATGATTCTCACACCATCTTCTTCTTCTTCTTCATCTTCCCATTACACGCAGCAACAGAAATCTCCAAGACTCGACAGTTTCAAGATCTCACCTCTTGACGAAGATCCTCAAGATTCAAGAGTTATGATCAATTTGTTCTAGACTTCTACTATCTTTCTCCCGCTTTGTGTAATTTTGGCTCTTTTGGCCACAACTTGTAGTAATACTTATGAGAATATTAATGGAACCTTCACATACTTTTATGCTATCAAAATCTAAACTGCAATCTTAATATCTAATTGGCTATTTTTAGTATTTTTGTGACTTGTAAGCGTACCTCGAGATGAAATCATTGACTTGGGATTGCAGTTTTGTAAGTCCCTTCCACACACTGACCCAATGCTACACCAGCAGCAACATAATTGCCACCCAAGAATACCCCATCATGACCAGATGATGAATGACACAGCTTCAGCAACTTTATCAATCAAGTCACTCATCATTGGGAAATTCTACAAATCCACATGATTTAAGATGTCATAGTTTAAGTGTACATATTCAATCTGACAAGCTTGAAGAAAGGAACTTTGGCGACAACAAAATAAGAACCCATTAGCATCTACTCGAATTTGCACATAACTGGTTTGAAAAAACAAGAAACTTACAGAGTGTGGGTGCAAGAGACTACACTTTTGCTCTGTACAGAGATTGGGTGCAAGAGACTACTAGCAAATGAGATCCCTTCGGGAGTTTCATAAGTAAAGTTGTATCCTCCGCTTTTCAGCTTAGTAATACTTGAGAGCTTCCAAGATACCTTAACTTTGCTACTACCCCTGCCTCCTTCGCTCTTCATCTTCAAAGTCTGCACCTTTTAGCTCAGTGAAAAGGTTCAAGCTTCAGAAATAATGGCAGCATTCCCCAACCTTAGCTCTGATTCTGGATTGAAGAAGCTCGATGAGCATCTTCTCACTCGCAGTTACATCACTGGGTACCAGGCTTCTAAGGACGATATCACTGTCTTTGCAGCTCTTGCAAAGCCCCCAACTTCACAGTATGTGAACGCATCTCGTTGGTACAACCACATTGATGCCCTCTTGAGGATCTCCGGTGTCTCTGCTGAAGGAAGCGGTGTAGTTGTTGAGGGAGCAGCCCCTATTACTGAGGAGGCTGTTGCTACTCCCCCTGCTGCTGAGTCTAAGGATTCCGCGGCTGATGAAGAAGATGATGATCATGTTGACCTTTTCGGAGAGGAGACCGAAGAGGAAAAGAAAGCTGCTGAAGAGAGAGCAGCTTCTGTCAAGGCTTCTACAAAGAAGAAGGAATCTGGAAAGTCCTCAGTTTTGATTGATATCAAGCCGTGGGATGATGAGACCGACATGAAGAAGCTAGAGGAATGTGTGAGATCCATTCAGATGGAAGGTTTGTTTTGGGGAGCATCAAAGCTTGTCCCAGTTGGTTATGGTATCAAGAAGTTGCAGATTATGTGCACCATTGTTGATGACCTTGTCTCTATTGACACCATGATCGAAGAGACACTCACTGTTGAACCGATCAATGAATACGTCCAGAGCTGTGACATTGTTGCCTTCAACAAGATTTGAGGATGGAGAAAGCTTCAAGGAATGTCTGTGTTCATGTTGTCTGCTTCTTCTTCTATATTCAGTTTCCCAAGTTTTTGTAGACTGTTGTTTTGACTCTGCTATGTCTTTTGCCATCTCTGATCCATTTTGATATTTAATGAAGAATGACAATTCAGTAAAAAAAAAAAAAAAAAAAAAAAAAAAAAAAAAAACTTTGCTACCCAACCTGCCCAAATAAAAAAACAACATAATGAAGTGTTTAGAAGCTTTTGCATTGTTTTCATCGAGAAGGGTGAGAGAAAACAAACACATTTGCATATAATAATACTATACCTTGCAGAGATTGCCTCTGGGTGGCGACCATGAGTCCTTTCCTGAAGGAACCAACTATTTGGCCCTTTTGCTTTGGCAAGTGCCTACAAAATCATGTTAAGAGAAAAGGAAAAACATCATGGAATAGTAAGATATGATGCTGCCACCATTCTCCTCCAGTTTCAAAACCTTCCCAAAAGCTCTGCTTTCATACTCAGTTATGAAGGATCACCAGCATAAACACCTGACTGCAGAAAAATACAGAGCATCCAGAATTTGTGAGCACCATGTTATAAACAAAAGAAGGCTGGTACGAATTCAAGTTCATAGAAACTCCTATTAATCACACAACCTAAACAAAAATGTTTCAATTAAGCGCTCAAAAAACCTCATCACCAAGGTTACGCCTTACAAAGTCTTCTACAGAATCCTCACGACCCTGTCACTTTTGCCAAATTCTAAGAACATGAACAAAGAAGATAAAACAAAACTTTGTGGGAGATGTTTTGGTCAGAATACAAATTAGAGGTGGTGGTCGAATGCCAAGAGCACCAAGCCCATTCCTATTACACGAACATTGGCACATTAGATTCTCAAGACTAACTCATCCTTCAAACAACTATCTACCTGCATATATTACCACACTAACGAGAAGGCTAAATCCACTGAACAAAAGACAGAGCATTCTACCAAAAATTTTATAGTAAACTGCAAAACACTAAACTATAAGATACAATACAACACACATTGTTCTGTAGATAACTTCATGAACACTACTTTGAAATCTTTCAAAGTCAAATCTATAGACTCATTTAACGCTTCATGAACAAAATCGAAATTGCATTAAAAAGTGAACAATTTAGCGAATTTCGAAAACTACGATGTTGCATTACCGTACCACCATAGTGAGCATAGGATAAAACAATTGGGACCTCCACAATTTAGCGTATGAGTGATTCGTAGCAAGAGCCTGCGCGATGAAAAGACTGCTAATTCCTCCGCCGAAGATCACGCAATCCGCCGTCAATGGTAGTACCTCCTCCGCCTTCGACTCTAGAAAGTCCGACGACCGAGATCGCGGAGCTTAAGAGGCTTGTCAACACGTATTTGGGTTATTCAGATATTTAAAACTATATAGGCCCAACTAAAAAGCCCAATCGATATTTCGGTTAAATTATCATTTTCTTTTTTGTAGTCATATATTGCTTCAGATGATCTCTCCAATGGGCCATGGCTCCAATCTTATTTGGATATATAGATAAAACCTGCACGGATGTGATTTTACTCTGTTTTTTTTTTTTTATAGAAAAAAGAGATCCATTTTTGTAATCAAACTAAACCAACATTTATTAAAAAAAAAATATAGTTTTAACTATTCTTTTAAAAATAGTTGTAATCACATTCAAATCTTTGACATATTTGTTTGACTAAAACAAAACCAAATCCAAACCTAAAATCAGACCTGAGCAAGCCAGAATTGCTATTCGTTTCATTTGAAAAATTGAAAACTAGTATGATTGAAGTTTCAACATATAACTGGTTCATAATAAATATCTTTGGAATCTTATATTTTGTGACTAAAGTTTTACCAATAATGTTATTCTTAAAATGTTATTTTTTCCAGGAATATATATGATATCTTTATATAAAAAATGAATGTAGGATACGGGTTGGGATGCGTGTGTGATGGAATTAGTTCACTATAAAGTTCCAAGGAGAAAATGATGGGAGAAATTCTATTTACAAAAAAAAATAGAATCAATGGCATAAACGTTTTTTCATGATTACTGTGTAAGTGGATTGGAACGAGGAAAAAAAAAACAAAGTAGAATGGCCCCTAACATTAGATTGGATTTTGGAATGTATATTCCGAGAGGTCGTTGTCGTTTAGGAGATGGATACATGGAGTGGCTGTGGTTTTGCTTCGTCGCTCGCTAAGACACCAACGAAATATAAAGTACCCAAGAGTGTCAGAGACACAAGCATGTCCATCACGAGGGCATCACGTGAACGACCCGCCTTTTCTTCCTCCCTTTTAGGATCTTCAGGCCCATTTGATTCAACGCACAAAGTTATATACACATTATCTTAACAAAAATTACCCGGAATAAATTTTTTATTTGGTGTTATGTGGACCATGATTTTTGTAATACAAAATACAGTATGTTGTAATTATTGTTGAGTTTTGGTTATTGAATAAAGAGTGTGGACCATCGCACCTGCTTGGTGTGTGGTTGATGACGACGTGTCTCTAAAATTCCAATAAATGTGTCGTGTGGGTTTCAGAAAACAAAAACCTGATTCGCTTATGGTATAGGCTTAGGACCCAGAGACCACGTGGGTTTTTTGGATAAAAGTCTAAAATGATTTTCTTTTCAACAACCCAAATAATTCTCCAAATGTATATCTCTCACTTGAAATAATCGATGGTCCACTATGTAGAGAAGGAATAAAACAGCAGAATTATGATTATGTAATTCTTTTAGATATGAAATATCATAAACACCCACAAATACTTAAATAGATAATATGTATAGACCCATCTTTTTGGTAAAATGAATAAACAGTTCCATAACTAATATTGCTATTTATTTCCATTATTTACGAAAAGTTTTGGGTTGAGCTTTTCAGTGGGACCGCTTATCACCTAAACAATTGGCGTCTTTAATTATTTATCTGGTGAATTTTATATTTTTCTTTTAAGCATATGTTTTTATTTTTGAGATTTCTTAAGGCCTCTGTTTTTCTATGCTAGATATTTTTTGTACTAAGATAAAGTATACGACTAGTCAAGGATAAAATGATAAGCATTACGGGAAAAGTTAATTAAAAGGATAAATATGGTCCTACATGTTATGTATTACAGCTGATGGAGAAAACATCAAAATTAAATGTCACTCAAATTATCATCTTTAATATATAAATATGCGTGTAATTGATAGATTTATACCTCAGATCGTCTGAGTATTTCACATGCCCGAATATTATTATTTAACTAGTAAGAGTGCATAAAAAATCGTTATATATATATAAGTCGTTGTATACTTTTTTTTGAATGAAAAGTCGTTGTATACTTGCATGCGTAGATTTTTTTTTTTGTGAAAGTGAAAGGGCTACATGCGTAGATTTTTGGGGAAGAAAGTTTTACTGTTATTTAGTTAAGTCTAAATTCCTTACACAACTATGCTTGGTTTTGGATAATTAAAAAAAAAACAGAATTGCATACCCATAAAAGGCAGAGTACCGTCAAAGATTTTTTTTCATATTTCTGTTTTAGATAGTTTTTTTTTCCAACTTTATTTATTTATTAATGTTACTAGTTTTTTCCAACTTTTTTATTTATTAATGTTAGGTGTGTCAAATTATATTTTCAAACAAATACAATTCTGTTTGAAAAAAAAAAAATACATTAAATTTTCAAATACTAATATTGTTTTAAATAGAAAAAAATATATCATAAAACACAGGAAATAATATCAGTTTGATCTTAAGTGACAAAAATATGTCTAACAACGCGTTAGTACTAGTATTAGAATCTAGTTTGAATTGTTTTATTGCTGTCGGTGTCCCGTTTAAAGAAAGAAAGAAAAATTCTAAAAAAAAAAGAATTACCATTAGAATACGAAACGTGGCAAAACATAAGTGGTTCGCTGATTGAGTTGATAGCTGTACTATCCATCTCCCTATAATAAGACCTATATCATAATCTTATGGGTTTCCATTTTCTCAGACAGATCTGAAGTCCCTGAAGAAGAATAGTTCTCTCGATTTTTACATCTCCGATTTCTCTTTAATTAACATGTACGTATAATATTAAGGGAGAGGTTTCGGAGGCTTACGATTCCACTTGTATCTTTTCTTTTTATCCGTAGTCTCGTAAACCCTAACAGTTAACTACTTTTTTGTAGGTTCAATAATCAAGATTTCATGGAACTAGGATGGAGAAACGACGTCGGATCATTTGCTGTGAAAGATCATGATATAGAAGAAATGGTAGGAAGTGATGAAGATCGTCTAATTCACGGCTTAAAATGGAGCTACGACAACTACTTTGATCATGATCAAACAGATAATTATCTCCAACTTGTTCCAGAGATTCATAAAGTAGAAGAAGAAGTACCTAAGACAGATTTGTTGGTTGCTGTCCCTGATGAACATTCTGAAACTGGTGATAATCATGATCATATTTCAGATAATCGATATTATTTGAGAAACAAACATGAGAAACCAAAACGGCGTCGTATCCAGGTCTTCAGTGATGTAAGTCGATATAGTTGATATATTTCCTTGTTACCTCATGTATATTAGGTTTGACTGTTTTAAAATTTTTGTTTCACTGGAAATTTTTTGTTCAGGAGGAATCAGATGGGTTTACTAGAGAAGTTCCTTCAGTGACACGAAAAGGTTCCAACAGAAGAAGAAGCGAGGAGATGTGTAATAAGATGCGTACGCTACAGCAACTTGTACCTGATTGTCACAAGGTTGATATATATTAATATACATAACATGTTACTATGCATTTTTGTGTGTATAAAGTTCCATATATGTTTCAAGGAATCTTTGCCTTACATTTTGTTTTCCAATAACCAGCGGTGTTTTTTGTGTTTCGGTTTTCAGACGGACGAGGTTTCAGTTCTCGATAATGCCATTGAGTATATGAAAAGTCTTCAGCTTCAATTCAAGGTCTATATTTTAACCTTATTCAGTATCCTTGATTATATTTACACATTTACTTGTTGGTCATCCGGGAGGATTGGGTGTTATGATTTATATATTGGTTTCTAAATGAGAAACAAAATATAGCCACTTTATAGGTCGTGCGGGGAGGATTTAGTGACTTGAAAAAACGGGGTTAGGGTAGGCAGTAGATAACCTAGCTGATCAAATCACACGTTTGAGGTGGTCGATTAGATGATTAGACGTTTTAAACATTCTACACGATCGATTTTCTATGTTTGCCATTTTTATATCGCACTCTTTTATGCTGAAAATTAAATCGTGAAAATAACTATAAACAAGTGTGATATATATTAGTTATATAAAAGAACATGTTAAATTTATTGAAATTTCTTTAATCTTGCATTTTATTAAGTTTACCAACTAAATGTTTTATACGGTAGCCACTGCGTTGTTCCACTAGTCTAGACCTATTGTCAATTTGGACATAAAATTTGTGCTATATATATATATTCAGAAACTAAGTTGTAACCAAAGTTGATGTTGTAATTGCAGGTGATGTCAATGATGGGGATGAATCCTTATTTTCCTCCGGCTATATTAGACTTTGGAATGAACAACCACCACCAGTTGACTGCGATGGCTGTGGCACGGCAAAATGTGGCGAATCAAATGATGTCGTCACAGTTGATTCCGGCGTCAAATTGGCCATTACCACCGTTTACTAATTTTCCATTCCCACACTCACCTAATCAACCTCTCTTTCTTACAACAACACCACCAGCTTCTTCTCCTCAATGCCTTCACGGTTTGGTTCCTTGTTTTCCAAGTTTCCTAGATTTTTCTTCCCATGCGATGAGAAGACTATGATAAGTAAGTAGCTCGAGAAATGGTTATGTGAAATAAACGTTGTTAAAAAAAAAAATGACAATTTATGTGAGGCCTTTGTGTCATACGATAAGTTCGAAGTTGTATAAATTCTTGTACGTAACATTATATTTTTTTTTCATTTATCTGATATTTGTAAAATATATTGAGACATCCGATCCTTGGAAGAGCATTGGACGTAGGAACAAGGGAAATAAGAGCATTTCCCTTATTTTAGTGTCTCTGATAATATTGGTTACATTCCAATGAGCTTTATCTTCATCAGCATCTCAAATTCAGGCCCACTGGGTGATACTAGTATATATACACTATAATGTTGTATACAAAAAGTAACATTAAATCACCTCTGCACACTGCATGTTACTTAGAAGTTATAGGGTGGCTCTGCCAAATTAGGGTGTATGAGAAAATAAGAAATGAGAAAACTTGACTTCGAGAATTATTAAACCCTTTCTTACACATCGAAGATTTCATTTGGGTATGTGTTTAGTGTATATATATTGTTTTAAATAAACCCGTAGCCTTGAAAAGTTTTTAGAAAATTTCCTTGTTAGTTATAGGCTTATAGCTGTAAATACTAAACCTAAACCTAAGCAAAAAAAATTTCGCGTGCAAAGTTTGATAATCCAAAATTCTTGTTTTGGGAACTGGAATTTTTTCTATTTAAAGCTTGAAATAATATATTATTTTGTTTTGTTTTCTCATGTAAAAAACACACACACACACAAGAAATATGACGTCCGAAACAATCGAGACACAATTCATATATTTTGTTTAAAGTAACAATCTATACACACACACATACATACACATACTTATACATATTCTTTTACCAAAAATCCTTTTGTCTCAATAAGACTTGGCTTTAGTGAAAAACAATGTCAGAAAGGCATCGTTTTACCTACTAATTAGCTATGACGTACATTTCTTAGTTTGGTACTCAAGACAAATGAAAATGTTCGGGTTTTTTCTTCGCCAAGAAAATGACTTGTCGATCAAACTGGTCTAAAGATTCTATAAGTATCAAAACTTCAAGCTTCTTTTCTCATAGTTAAATAAAATCCATCTTTTCACGAATATTTAATTTGGAGCCATGATGAATTTGAGAATTTCTATTATCATTGTGTTATCTTGCATTATCACTTCAACTCGTGCATACGATCCCGACGCTCTTCAAGATCTTTGCGTTGCCGATAAATCTCACGGTAGAAATTATCTTAATTAGTTCAAATTTTTAACCTATCGTAATGTTTTAATATCTATCTATCAGGATCATCTCAAACTTTATGAACCTCTTATGTAAATTTCAAACCAAAAATAAAATTAATACATATGTTGAAATTAGAGGTTTTTTTTTTTTCCAAAGATATTTTGTGGGAATATTAATTGCGCCAATAAATCTAAGTTGACTTAAAAAATATCTAAGTTGACTTACTATCTTATGGCTTGATATAAAAAAACGGCACGATCTGCGTATGGCAGGAACCAAACTGAATGGATTTGCATGCAAGGAAACATCAAACATCACGGCGTCCGATTTCTTCTTCGCCGGAATCTCAAAACCCGCCGCCATAAACTCCACAATGGGTTCCGCCGTAACAGGAGCCAACGTGGAGAAGATCCCAGGCCTCAACACTCTCTCCGTCTCCTTAGCACGTATAGACTACGCGCCTGGTGGTTTAAACCCACCGCACACTCACCCACGCGCCACCGAAGTCGTCTACGTCCTCGAAGGAGAGCTTGAAGTTGGATTTATCACCACAGCGAATAAGCTTTTCTCTAAAACCATAAAGATTGGTGAAGTTTTCGTTTTTCCAAGAGGGCTTGTGCATTTTCAGAAGAACAATGGGAAATCTCCGGCGTCGGTTTTGTCGGCGTTTAATAGTCAGTTGCCGGGAACGGTTTCCGTTGCGGCAACCCTATTTGCGGCGGATCCTGCTTTGCCGGAAGATGTGTTGACTAAGACTTTTCAGGTGGGATCTAAGATGGTTGATAAGATTAAGGAAAGGCTTGCGACAAAAAAATAATTCATGATAGTTTATCAAACAAATAAAACATGAATATATATTGTAACGGTTCATGATGAGAAAACCCTAGAAAGGTTTTCATTAACAGTACTGTATTTAATTAAAAAGTATTACTGTGATTATCTTGTTGATGTGATTTTTATTGTTGTAAGAAAAAATGTATAAACCATTATTAACTTGAAACGTCACATGAAATTCCCAACAGTCAATCTCGGATATACAGATGCAAAGCAACAAAAGAAAAGAAGAAGACAATTTCGGTGGAGAGAGAGAGACTTACTGATGAATTGTGAGAAGTATATATGCACCATCCATGGTTGGTTTTGACGGATTGATCGAGAAAACTAGAGACTATTGATTGGTAATCTGAGGGTTTTGATCTGTGGCTACGGATGAGAGACTATTGGTTCGTTAAAAGGCTAAGTTGTTTATAGCCGCAGCAGATTAAGGCAGGGTTGCTTGCTTGGAGATCAAGTGTTCGTCCAAGAGCTTGGACTAGTGATGCACACTTTTTAAGTTGAATACAAGCTAACGTGGGCCTGGCAAAAATGTATAATGGGCTAACTAATATGGCCCATAATAATTTTTATTAAATTATCTCATTTAAATGTTTTATTAAAAATTATATAATGAGCTAACTAATAGGGCCCATATTAAAACGATGCGTTTCGCTGGTGATTTTAGCCGACGGAGAGTCAGTTTTCAGAATTCAGATCAATCTAAAAGCCTAGAGTCGTCGTCGTCTTCTTATTCACTCTTCAAGTCCCAGAAGCTCTGTCAAGAATCCGATAGTTTCTGTCTGCGATGCCACCGAAGAGAAATTTCAGGAAGCGTAGCTTCGAGGAGGAAGAAGAAGATAATGATGTAAACAAAGCCGCAATTTCAGATGAAGAAGAGAAGCGAAGGTCCGTTTCTCACCATCTCTAGGGTTTTTTTTTCTCTTTTGGATTTTTTTCGTTTGAGTTTCTTCAATTAATTTGATGGGTTGTTAAAAAGGTTTGATTTTTGGTTGATCTACAGATTGGCGTTGGAGGAGGTGAAGTTTCTGCAGAAGCTGAGAGAGAGAAAATTAGGGATCCCAGCTTTATCTACGGCGCAATCTAGCATCGGAAAAGCGAAACCTGTGGAGAAAACTGAAGCTGAAGGAGAGAAAGAGGAGCTTGTGTTGCAAGATACTTTTGCTCAAGAGACTGCTGTTTTGATTGAAGATCCCAACATGTAAGCAATTCTATCTTTACAAATTTTACCCTAATTTTCTTGGTAGTGAAATAGATTGAGCTAGAGTGAGCTGTCTTTGTAAGTGTTGAGGATTGTTTTGATTCATTAGGGTAAAGTACATTGAACAAGAATTGGCGAAGAAAAGGGGAAGAAATATTGATGATGCAGAGGAAGTTGAGAACGAATTGAAGCGAGTGGAAGATGAGTTGTATAAGATACCTGATCATCTTAAAGTAAGTTGCTTTGTGGTTGTTTTTAGTGTATATGTGTAACTGGAATTAAGATTGTTGTTTGTTACTGAAAGCCTTCCTTCCTTCCTTCTCAGGTTAAGAAGCGGAGCTCGGAAGAGAGCTCAACGCAGTGGACTACCGGAATAGCAGAAGTCCAACTCCCAATCGAGTATGAATACATTCTCAATCATAGATTGAAGTAAATGTGTTTTGAGTATTTTAGAGATTAATGGTTTGTTTTTTTGGGTGGATGATATCAGATACAAGCTGAAGAACATTGAAGAAACAGAAGCTGCCAAGAAGCTTTTGCAAGAGAGGAGGCTTATGGGTCGGCCAAAATCAGAGTTTAGCATTCCGTCTAGTTACAGTGCGGATTACTTCCAACGCGGGAAAGATTATGCTGAGAAGCTTAGAAGAGGTTTTGCTTTATGAATCCTTTTTCTCTTTTTTTCCATTTGTGCGTTTTGATTCTTGTATTGATCGATATAAACTTTGAAAACGCAGAGCATCCTGAGCTATACAAAGATAGAGGAGGACCTCAAGCGGATGGTGAAGGAGCTAAACCGTCTACTAGCACTAGTAATAATAATAATGCTGATTCAGGGAAAAGTAGACAAGCAGCAACTGATCAAATCATGTTGGAACGGTTTCGCAAGAGAGAGCGTAACCGTGTTATGCGGAGATAAAAGTAAAAACATGTTTGCAGACTTCATCCTCTGACCGGGTAACACTCTTTTGAATGTTAGATTTATGTTGTACTGGAATTCTGTAACATTTCATTAAAGAAAACAAATCTTCATTGACATTGTCCATAGTAAAAGTGTGTTTTCAGAAGTTTATTAAGTTGCTCTTAAAGCTCTGACCAAACTGCCAATTTGAAGGAATGACATTGAGTGCTGTCTTGATTTTGCTATCACTGGTTTGGATTTTGAATGAGAGACTTTGGCCATTAAGGTAAGTAAGGCTTTGCCAGATAGATCCCCAGTTTCTTGACATTGTTTCCCATTTGTTGCTTTTAGAGCCTTTGATCCATACTTGGTAACCTTTATACTAACGCGCCTATGTATCGTCATCATAGCAGCGTATCAGATATCTTATGAAACTTCATACCTTTCCTTTAGTTATGAATTGTGCTGATGTCAAAAAAAAAAAAAAACAAAAAAATTTATACTTCTTGAAAATTTATACTTCTTGAAAAAAAAAAGAAGGAGAACTCGATTCGATTTTTTCCTTTATGATGAAAATTTATACTTCTTGAAAATTTTCAAAATGAACCTAAAGGTTTCGTATTTCACCTAAAAACACCAAAAGAAAAATGAGGTTTATTTTAAAACCCAACGTTTCGTATCACAAATCAGACCCAGAGTCCCAGACGCTAGTTATGTCAAGTCCATAGACTCAAACCATATCAAGTATACGGGCTTTATCAAGGGCCCAATAATGTGAAATAAAACTTGAGAACAAGAATGGCCCATCTTAGATCTCATTTAAGAATGGTGTAGACCAAATTATTTATTTGTTAATCATCACAAATTTCCTTGTTACTTGCCAGACAAATTTAAATAATAAAAGTCTAAACATAATGGAAGAGGAAAAGGTTTCTGTTGAGAATTAAATTCAATAATTCATCTTACATGATTGAGTCCTCGACCTATAAGGAAATAAAAATAATCTTACATTAGTAATGTACTATAGCTTAAGAATGATAGCTCCATTCCACATGCGTGTCATGCTCATTACATTCAAAAGCAGATATTAGTGTCATTTTTATCCAACCATAAATCATATTGATTCGATTCCGGTTATCATCGATATGTTATGAAACTGAAATATCCAATTCTAATTTTATAATGACTTATTGGAAAATATGATATTTGCCAAAATCATTTATTTAAACCTTTACTATAACAAAAATTACAATTTATTTAAATCAACAATCATGGACTAATATTTTCTCAATCAAGTGAACTAAATCTTTATTAATATTTTTTTTCTCAGCCAAAGGACAAAAACAAATCAACTGTAACGAGATCAAACGACAAATGACTCAATTTAAGCTAACGACTGAACTTTCCGCCAACGTTATGTTGATATCGGGAGACGAGGGCTTCTTGGGTGAGTTGCTCGACTTCAAGAGGTTGGGTTTCAACAACCTTAGCGCATATCGTCCTAAAATGACTTAATAACTCTTGTACGCTATCGCTCGTACAAAATTCGTATAAAATGGAATGACGATGTCGATCACCACGGTATTGTTGGAGACAAAAGCATTTCTAGATTTCCATAGGTTTCAGAGAATCCAGGGAATGACAATCTTGAGTTGATCCGGAAACTGACCGCACTCCAAAACTTCGAGTAAATGCTGAAAATTTAAGAAAAGGGAATGGGTGGAGAAACCATCAGTGGAAAGGGAATCTGTGAGGAAGCCCATGTTTGTCTCGCTACTCTGCAATTAAACAACACATGACAGACTGTATCCTCAGCTGCACGACATGTTCTACACATACCGCCATATCTCATCCGCTTTATGAGATCACCACTCAATGCTTTCCAAATCAAGTGGGAAACCTTTGGCGCTTGTGTAACCTCATTAAACCTAACCCATAACCCATTTCCAGGAGAGGTAGACACCGTTTTTCACCTTGATGAGTTGGACGAGTCGCCATTTAGATTGATGAGAGATTGGCAAGCTCCAACAAAACCAGTTGAAACAAAATAATTAGTCAAGTCCAAGAAGAGAATTAAAATCATAACACATGATCGAAATTGTCATTGACATCGTACATGTTGAATTAGAAATTGAGTTTAATATTGGGTCAACCGACTTACATATGACATCTGAGAGCGATTATTGGAGCTCACAAATGGAATTAGTTTATATAGTTGAGGCGATGACAATTTTTATTATTATTATGTGAATTAAATATTTACTAGTTTTTTTTCCTTAAACGATATAGTCGTTTACTTAATTAATCAAGTGAACTAAATCTATATTAATATTTTTTTTTCAGTCAAGGCACAAAAATAAATCAGCTATAACGAGATCAAACGACAAATGATTCAATTTAAGCTAACGACTGAACTTTCTGCCAACGTCATGTTGATATCGGGAGACGTGGACTTATTGGATGAGTTGCTCGACTTCAAGAGGTTGGGTTTCAACATCCTTAGCGCATATCGTCCCAAAACGGATTAAGAACTCTTGTACTCCATCGCTCGTAAAAAATTCGTACAAAATGGAATGACGACGTCTTCTCGGGTTGAGTCCTAAACCTCCGAAGACGAAAGAAGAAACAACGAAGAGACGGTCTCCGCCTAGAGACTCTTCTCCCGAGCCAAAAGATATGAGAATCGTTATAATGTTTTTCTTCGTCGAAGTGCGAGTTGCCGTGTTTAGGATTAGTTTATGTAAACGTTTTAGTTAAATTATGTTATTCACTCTATTGAGTGTGCTTTGTGTGATAATTAATTAATTAGTTCTCTAGTTATGTGATTTGTTTATGCAAATGTCTTAGTTAAATTATGTTATTCTCTCTATTTTTTCTTTTCGTCATTATGTTATTTTCTCTATTGAGTGTGTTTTATGTGATTATTAGATTCTCTATTTATTTGATTAGTTTATAAAAACATTTTAGTTAAATTATGTTATTCACACTAAACTACAATTTGCAGCTTCCACGTGATGATTATCAACATAACCATCAAATCATCATAAAAGTGTTGTACTGTATATTGTTTAATCAAACAAACAGATCTAGTGGATTTTGTCACTTGATTCTCCAGATATAAAAAGAATGAATGACCCAAGTTATCAAGGGCCCAATAACGTAAATAAAAGTTGAGAACAAGAATGAATGGCCCAAGTTATATCTCATTTTCACATGGTTTAGACCAAACTATTTTTTTTTTTTAAATCATCACAAATTTCCTAGTTATTTGCCAAACAAGTTTAAATAATAAAAGTCTAAACATAATGGGCCCGGGAAGAGAAAAAAGTATCTGAAATATCCCTCGAAGCAAATTTTTTTTTTTTTTTTTTTTGATATACCCGATCGGCTGATCCGGTCAGCCCTGGGGGAACGCACCGAAGTGCTACCATGTGGACTCACTACCACCCCGAAGGATGGGCTACCACACTGCCTAACCCAAGTTTGGAATGCTTTCCGACTAATGCCCGGGGGTAGCTGGATCGCCTGTTACCAGACTACCAGGTAAACTGCCTGGGCCGAAGCCCAAGCCCAGACTTCCTTGATAACAGCGAGGGAGGAAGATCGAACCTGGGTTCGGGGATTTCACCCTCAACTCCAGACTCGCCCTACCACTAGCAATTTTTTGAGAGTACAAAATCCATGTGAAGTTTCTCAATTTCAATAATTATTTCTGTTGAGAATTTGAATTCAATAATTTATCTTACATGATTGAGTCGTCGACCTAAGGAAATAAAAATAATCTTACATTACATATATATGTACTAGCTTAAAGTATGATAGCTCCATTCCACATGCGTGTCATGCTTACATTCAAAAGTAAATAATTAGTATCATCATTTTCTTTCGATTTCGTATCATCTATATATTCTAAAACCAAAAATATTTGCCTAACTCATTTCTTTAAACCTTCACTGTAAGAAAAACTATAGTTAATTTAAATCTAACAATTTGAAACCGTTTTAATGGATAAATGAAAAATTGTACGCGTTTAAGCCAAAAAAAAAATACTATCTCTTTGTTTGCCCAAAAAAACAAAACATCTCTTTATTTTGAAAAAAGAAAAAGAAAAATTGTATCAGTTTACAAAGTACTAATAGTTTTCTTAACCCAAGAATACAAGTTCAAAAATGATTTTGATAAACGTTAAAAAAAACTTTATCTAAATTTCACGCGTTCCGTGTACATATTTTCAATTAAACGTAGGCAATATGGTGACAAAAATGAATAGTATTCAAATCCGTAGGCACTAAGACCATGTACATAGCTGATATAATGAGAGTATCAAGAGCCTATTAATTATTTTTTAATAGATCAGAGTATCAAGTTGGGCCTGATCAGTATCACTGGAGTGATACTTTTGATACCCAGTATCAAGTGACGTGGCGGCAGCTGATTCGTCTGAGAAACGCGTTTTTCCTTGAAAGTAGAGAAAAAAAATTCATATTTGGCAAAAATGGGGTCAAGGTAATTGACTTCGAGCGACTAAATTATTTTTATCATCATGTTTTTTTAAGTTTTTTTGAATTTTATGTTTTATTTTGCTTAAGTATATTCTACGGTTTTTTAATTCTAACTAGATTTTAACCCGCTGTACACCGCGGGATGATTTATTGTTTAAAGTTAGTATATATAATTTTTTATAAATTGTATCTCCTTATAAAATATTTATGTATTATATGATGATTCAAAACAGTTAAAACAAATCAAACAAAAATGATAGAAGAATCATAATTCTAAATCTTAATCAAATCTTCTAAATATCTAAATTATTAAATATGAAATATCCGGTGTATGAGTTGGGTTAAATATAACCCGACCCAAGAAATTTTTTGTAATCCTATGTTTTTATATATTTATTTTTGATTTTACAAATAATTTTTTTTTATGATACTTAAGCCGGTCTCACCAATGCAAACATATTTAGTAGAAGTATCGTAAAAATCTCAAACAATAAACAAATATTATAAATAATACTAAAAAATTCCTAAAAAATCACCCATATACATGCTCTAAGACATCTATAATGTATATATAACACAACACACACAAATGTCTTTAAAGTTCTATGTTGTGTCATTCTCTTTTCTTCAAGTCGGCAAACGTTTCACAAATCACAATGTTAAACATCTTGCTGTTTTTCTTTTTCTTTCTTCCGTTTCTCGTCGGAAACAACCGCATTTGCGTCGCCGCAAATACAGGTTTTGTCTGGAGAAACGGCACGCAGTTCGTGTTGAACGGGGAACAAGTTTACTTAAACGGCTTCAATGCTTATTGGATGATGACCACCGCCGCTGACACGGCGTCTAAAGGAAGAGCCACCGTCACGACGGCTCTCCGGCAAGCATCTGCCGTGGGAATGAACGTCGCTAGGATTTGGGGTTTCAACGAAGGAGATTACATTCCTCTTCAGATCTCTCCTGGCTCCTATAGTGAAGACGTTTTCAAGGTAACACGCATGCATACACATACACATTTTTATTTTTAATGTATTTACTAGTATACGGAATTATAAAGAAATATTGACCGGTATATATATGTTATGGTCATATGTATATTAATCTTTGGATGACCGTTGTTTAGTGAATCTAACTTGAATGATTCAAATTTCAAAATATTACTTTCCGACAAACGAACTTCAAACCTTGTTGGTTGTTTCTTGAAAAAAACTAGTCGTGTCCTTTTCATACGCTAATACAAAAGTGGATAATCGCAAAAATGAGAAAAGCATAGATATAATTTAATATTCTTAATCATATTTATATGTAATTAGAAGCATAATTTGGTACTAGATACCTTTTTGTTGACCTAATAAAAGTATCTAACATAATTGATTAATAGAAAAATTAACAGCAAACTATAATTGCATTTTATGAGTATTATTGATACAAAGTTTTTGTGTCAGCAGGGGCTAGACTTTGTCGTCTATGAAGCTGGAAGGTTTAAAATTAAATTGATAATTAGTTTAGTCAATAATTACGAAGACTATGGAGGGAGAAAAAAGTACGTGGAATGGGCCGGTTTAGATGAACCGGATGAATTCTATACAAACTCAGCTGTCAAGCAATTCTACAAGAACCATGTGAAGGTTAGTAATAATATGAAAAATTAATCTCGTATATTTGATTAGATAAGTATCAGTTAAAAGATATCGAGGTCATCATCATATGTAACACGACACGTTACTGGCAAAAATATTCAGATTTTATTTGTACACGTTAACGCGAGATAACCGACGGTTTTGAAATGTCAAAAGTTAGGTTTTAATCAATTAAAAATAATCAACAAACATGACAAATGTAACAATCCAAAAATGTTTATTAACTTATTATTGACAAATGTCCCTCAAATTAAATATCTTTTTAACAAAGGATTAGATTAGATATAGAATTTTGTATGTTTGTACCGACTTCAATATCAAACTAAACCGACGGTTTGACAAAACCATGAAACAGACCGTGTTGACGAGGAAAAACACAATCACTGGTCGAATGTACAGAGACGACCCAACCATCTTCTCATGGGAACTCATCAACGAACCTCGCTGCAATGATTCCACTGGTTCGAATATTCTACAGGTTTGTCTCTTTCTCCTCTGTATATTATGCAACATGTACACGTATACATACTTAACCGGTGTCGTTTTGTGTGCAGAATTGGGTGAAGGAAATGGCTAGTTATGTTAAGTCCATAGACTCAAACCATCTACTGGAAATAGGGCTTGAAGGGTTTTACGGAGATTCTATACCGGAAAGAACGGTTTACAATCCCGGCGGGAGGATCTTAACCGGTACAGATTTCATCTCCAATAACCAAATTCCCGATATCGATTTCGCCACTATCCATATCTACCCTGATTCTTGGTAAGTCATTAGTCTCTATTCATGAATAGATCAAAATTTGGGTGTTTGATTACTGGTTTGTTGGTCTTTTTAACACATTCTCTCTGTACCAAATCAAGAACAGGCTACCATTACAGAGCTCAAGAACAGGAGAACAAGATACATTCGTGGACAGATGGATCGGATCACATATCGAAGACTGTAACAATATCATCAAGAAGCCATTACTGATAACAGAGTTTGGGAAATCTTCAAAGTATCCTGGTTTCAGCTTAGAGAAACGGAACAAGTTTTTCAAGAGAGTTTACGATGTCATCTACGACAGTGCAAGAACCGGTGGTTCGTGTACTGGTGGAGTTTTCTGGCAGCTTACAACCAATAGAACTGGTCTGTTAGGTGATGGGTACGAGGTTTTTATGCAAGCAGGTCCTAATACAACTGCTCGGCTTATCGCCGAACAATCTAGTAAACTGAGAAACCTCAAGTATCCACCATTGGTCACACATAGTGCAGAATGAAACAGTATAGATACAACACAGTAGAAACTAGAATGTATAAAAAAAGGAAATATGTAAAATAGAATATGAACAAAAGCTAAATGCTATATAGAATAGTTGAATGTCTTTTGATTCTTTCATTGGAAACAACAACACATTATATTGAATACGAAAAAAAGCTAAACGCTATGTACAATAGACTTCTTTTTGGGTTGAAAGTCGTTTAATTATTTCATTGGAATTTGGAAACAACAACACAGTGGCAAATTATGTATTACAGAGCAGAGACACATCTTCCTGTTTAAAATGAGGAAACAAGAAGATCATCTGAAGTAGTAATACCTTTAAATACGTTCCTGTCTGAAGGCAAACCAGCTACAACACCATGTTCAATGCCACATTCGTTTGTTCCTCTCCTGATCTTGAAGTAACCATCCTGCAATTTTCTAAATCTCAGGTTCTGTGTTTTCTCTGGAATTCTAATGTTGCTACTTGTGAAGGTTAAAGTTTAAAGTTTGATTGGAGGAAGAAGAACTTACATCACCCCAGCTTCGGTTCCATTGATTTGCAAGCAACTGCAACAATTCAAAAGAACAGAAAATGTTGTGAATTACCCGGCTAGATCGAAACTCAAAATCCAGAGCATCAAAAGTGGATTCATACCCAATAATCTTCACCGTCATCAGAAGTTCCCCAGCCAATAAGCTTAACAGCATGACCTCCAATGTTAGTACCTGTTATGTGCTTGTACACTCCAGATTTGTAATGTGCAAAGTCCTGTAGAACAAAAAGATACATGAAAATGTGGAGTTCCATAATATAATCATATCTTTGATCATTCTAAAAACCTAATATTTACCTCGTAAACGGTAAAGGCAACCTCAACAGGTCCATTTTTGTAAACTTCTGCCATAATGTCATCAGGGTGAGATCTGACCTTGTACGCACTAACACCATAATGTTTCGATTCACGCCAAAGCTGGTTTCCGCTAACACATTTCCTCGCACATTTTGGTGTAGGGTAAGCGGGTTCACATCCCGGGTGAGAGCAGCCAGTATTGTCAAAGTATGGATCACACTGAAGAACCAAGAACATTGCAAAAATACAATACGTTTTAACTACTTTGCCATTAATATATGTTCTTTGCAGTTAAAAAGAGAATTTACCTCTTCAGTTACTACACCGTGGTGCTTAAAGTACCGCCACGCAGCAATTGGGTATCCACCATTACAACCTTGACCGCAAAGGAATCCACAACATGCTAAGAGATCATTGACAGATAAAGAAATATTCTGCATGGGAACAAAAGAAACTAATATTAATCATTCGAAGAGAAAGATGCTAGCCATCACCAATCTTGGCTACATAAAGAAATCTGTGTTACCATGTTATATTTGATGCAGAATCTGTCAGACAATGATTCAACAGCACCAAAGGCCCAGCAAGAACCACAATGACCCTAAACAAACCAAAACCATAATGTTATCATCACTTGAGTAACATACTGTTCAATATAAAACTCAAGCAAATGATGTGTTTACCTGATCTTTAGTGAGACAATTGAGGAGAAAATTTGACACAAAACATAAAAAGAGTCAGTAAATCATTGGATAAAAAACAGAGATAGTGGAAATCTAAAAGATAAAAACCGACCTAAGATCCTTCCAATACTGGTGCACTGTGACCAAGCGGTTCTAGCATCAAATTCTTTTGGAAGCTTCAAAGATATATCATGACTCACAATAGGTACACCCAAAAATTCCGTCTTTGGTGTTGGTTTAACACCAAGGAGGCGCTTAAACTCTGCAACCTACACATAGATACACAAAACACACAAGTTTTCAGGAACAGTGATAAGCATTGATAATTGATAAGATCATGGAGGTAATAATAAGAAACTCACAGTGGCGTTTGCAAACCGATCATTGAAAGCAGCTTTCCATCCAGCGTTTGGATTGTCGTTGACTTCCTTGACAATCTCATTCTGCAAAAGTAGATCATCAAAGATAAGGCAATCTAAAAGAGACGAAACAAAACAGAAAATTGGGTGCATTAAGATAAAAAACCTGAAGAATCCATGAGGTCAGTTTCTGCTTGGAAAGATTTTCTGCTGCAATACCCTGAGATTAAGAGACAAACCAGCTTCAAAAGTTAAAAACTTGTAGCTTATATAGTCCAACAAATAAGTAAAAATGATCAAACCCAGAAAAAATAAAAAGACAAGAAGAAAGTAATAACATGCATAGATATCGATCTTTGTAAGAAGACAGAGATTATGAAGGTTCAAGTACCTGCAAGTTGGATGTAATTAGAATCCCTAAAAAGAAGAAAACAGAGGCTAAGTGAAGTTTGATACAATTATCAGCCATGAATCTTTCTCTTCTGATTAAATTTTCTCAATCCTTCAACGAATTCCAAAAACCAAACAAATGATTTGCCAGAGAGTTTGGACAAGGTATCTCTCTCTCTAATGGAAGTTTTCTTTTCTAATAAGAAAGAGAGAGATAAAGAGGCTTATCTTTTAGCTTTTAGAGAATGACAGATCAATAGAAGATCCTGACCGTTGATTTGTTCTACATACTTGATTTATTAATCATTATTTCGAATGATTAATTAAGGGATTACTTTAGGCGATAAATACTGTAACAGTCCTCTTGCCTGCTATTGCTAATCACACTTCCTTCCTTTATTCTTTTTGTTAGAGGAATTTGCATCTCTGATGTCATAAGTATTTTTGTAACATGTTTGATTATTTATTTATTCATTGCATTAGTTCGGTAACTAAATTTATTAACAGTTGTATATAGTATTACCGAAGAAGTAGAGACTAGAGCAGTGCCGGCTCAATACTTTGACGGGCCCTAGGGCAAAAAAAATTTTGGACCCTTAGAATTTTTTTTTTTTTAGTGTTTTTGTGTTATAAAAATTTTTTGTATGATATTTTTAATAAAAATTTAATTACTAAAACTAAAAACAGTAAATAAAAAAATTTATGGGCCCTTATAAATTTTATTTTTATGTTGTTATTTAATTTTTTAATACTTTTATAAAAATATTTTTAAAAATGGGCCCCTTAATTATTGGAACACGGGATTGGGCCCCTGGCCGTCGCACCGCCCGCCCCTATATCTGAGCCGGCACTGGACTAGAGACACATCTTCTTGTTTAAAATGAGGAAATCAGAAGATCATCTGAAGTGGTTATATCTTTAAATACGTTCCTGTCTGAAGGTAAACCGGCTACAACACCGTGTTCAATGCCACATTCGTTCGTTCCTCTCCTGATCTTGAAGTAACCATCCTGAAATTTTCACACTTCATATCTCAGGTTCTGTGTTTTGTTTACTTGGAAGGTCAAATTTAACAGTTTGATTGGAGAAAAGAAGAACTTACATCACCCCAGCTTCGGTTCCATTGATTTGCAAGCAACTGCAACCATTCAAAAGAACAAATTTTTAATTAATTTTCCAGCTAAATCCTGTGTTAAAAGTAGATTCATACCCAATAATCTTCGCCGTCATCAGAAGTTCCCCAGCCAATAAGCTTAACAGCATGACCTCCAATCTTAGTACCCGTTATGTGCTTGTACACTCCTGATTTGTAATGTGCAAAGTCCTGAAAAACAAAAGGATACATGAAAATGTGGAGTTCCATGATATAATCACTATGTTTAATCGATCGAAAACCTTTTATTTACCTCGTAAACGGTAAAAGCAACCTCGACAGGTCCGTTCTTGTAAACCTCTGCCATAATGTCTTGAGGGTCATGATTGATTCTGTATGCGCTGACACCATAGTGTTTTGATTCACCCCATAGCTGGTTTTCGCTAACACATTTCCTCACACATTTTGGTGTAGGGTAACCGGGTTCACATCCCGGGTGAGAGCAACCAGTATTGTCAAAGTATGGATCACACTGAAGAACCAACAACATTGCAAAAGTTCAATACATTTTGATCACTTTGACATTATTATATGTTCTTTGCATTTATAAAGAGAATTTACCTCTTCGGTTACTACACCGTGGTACTTAAAGTACAGCCATGCACCCATTGGGAATCCACCATTACAACCTAGACCGCAAAGTAATCCACAACATGCTACAACATCATTGGCAGATAAAGAAACATTCTGCAAGGGAACAAAAACAATTACATTAATCTTCGAAGAGAAAAGCGGTAATAATCATCGATCTAGGCTTGATGGAGAAATTTGTGTTACCAAGTTATATTTGATGCAAAATCTGTCGGACAGTGATTCAACAGCACCAAATGCCCAGCAAGAACCACAATGACCCTAAACAAACCAAAACCTTAATGTTATCATCGACCTGAGTAACACATTGTTCAATATAAAACCCACTTAAATGATGTTTTACCTGATCTTTAGTGCGATAAAGAGGGAGAGAATTTGACACAAAACATAAGAATAGTCAGTAAATCATTGGATGAAAAACAGAGATAGTGGAATTCTAAAAGATTAAAACCGACCTAAGATCCTTCGAATACTAGTGCACTGCGACCAAACTGTTCTAGCATCAAATTCTTTAGGAAGCTTCAAAGATAAATAATGTCTTACAATAGGTACACCTAAGTATGCCGTCTTTGGTGTTGGTTTAACACCAAGAAGACGCTTAAACTCTGCAACCTACACAAACATACACAAGTTTTCAGGAACAATGATAAGTATGTAGCTCTTCAAGAGATAAGGTCATGGAGGTGATAATAAACTCACGGTGGCGTTTGCAAACCGATCATTCAAAGAAGCTTTCCATCCAGCGTTTGGATTCTCATTGACTTCCTTTACAATCTCATTCTGCAAAAGTCGATCATCAACGTTTAGGCTATCTAAAAGTGACTAAAACAGTACAGAAAATTGGGTGGACTAAGATCAAAACCTGAAGAATCAGTGAGGTCAGTTTCTGCTTGGAAAGATTTCCTGCTGCAGTACCCTGAGATTAAGAGACAAACCAGCTTGAAAAGTTAAAACTTACTGGTACACAGAAAAATCGAAAAATTCATAAAGTCTGTAATTTTTTTAAAACTTGTAGCTCAAGAGTCCAACAAATAAGCAAAAATGATCATTCCCACAATAAGGAAAAATTCGAAACAAATTGCACTAGAAGAAAGCACCAGTATCCATAAGTATCGATCTTTGAAAGCAATTTGAACACAGAGAGTACGAAGTTTAAGGTACCTGCAAGTTGAAGGATGAAATTAAAAGCAAGAAAACAAAGGCTAAGTGAAGAAGTCTGATACAACAACTATCAGCCATGAATCTCTCTTGTACAATTTTCTCGTTCCCTCAAAGAATTCCAGAATCAAAATACAATGATTTGCTCAAGGTAGAATTAGTCTTTTCTAGTAAGAGAGAGAAAGGGAAAGGCTTATCTTTTAGAAAATCTGAAAGTGAGATGATTTTACTTCAAGGATCCTGACCGTTGATTATTATACTAACTAAAATATCAAGTAATGTCTAACTTGCTTAATCATAATTTAAAATGATTAATTAATCATAGGAATGGGGTTAAAGACCAAGGTGATTTCCTTTATTAAGTTTACATGGGCCTATAATGTTTTTGTTTTTGGTTACAGGCCCAAACTATTTGTGAAGTACAATGTCTAACTTAATCATTAATCACAATTTAAAATGATTAATTAAAGTAATTAAAAGATTGGTTAGTGGTTACTTTAGGCGGCTTTAATTAAAAAAATCAAATTACAAGTGTAACAGTAATTAGCCTCTACACTGTGGCATTCAAGCTTCGAAAAAGCCATAGAAATCTCTCGAAAGGAAGCAGAGAATCTTTGAAGACGATGATGAAGTTCGTATCCGCAGCAAAGCGGATATAGTTCCTGCAACCCTGAATTTGCTAATTTCATCCGTCTTTAGAGCCGGTAAGCTCCTCATCTTTTACGCCTCGGATCGATTTCTCTGTACATCGCCAGATTCTTCAATTTTGATTTGTTCCGCTAGGTTTTTTACACTCATCGGAGCCGATTTGTGCTGATATTCGTATGATACTTGTTTTGATTTATTCATATTTCTGCACATTTTTGCTGTCAAATCCAAGGGTTTGAGGTTTGGGTTTTGGTTATTGATTGAATCCGAGATCGATTGTCTTTAAGCTTTGTATCTGATCCGATCTGGGAGATTTTCTGGGGTTGTGTGTCTTTCATTGGCTCTACGATTTCTTTTTTTGAGTGCTTCATAGTGTTTTATAGTGTTGTTGCATAAATCAGTGAGTAAAATGCTATTTATGTTCGTTTCATTGCAACAACTTGTAGTGGAATTCTGGAATTGCAAATTGCTGATGATGAGTCTTTAACGTTTTCTTTCTAGGTATCCTGCTTATGGTCCTTTGTACTGAGATTTGAAGTATTTGTGGTTGCAAGGGTAGTAAGTGGTCATCATTTCAATACTATAGGTGGAGAGATGACTAAGAATAAAATAGTTGGGGTAGACTCAGAAGATGAATCTGATGATTGCGACATTGCGGAAGCGAACTGTGAGCTAGCTATGGTAGAAGGTCAGCTCTGTAACATACCATACGAGCTCTATGATCTACCTGATTTAACGGGAATATTGTCTGTTGAGACTTGGAACTCAGTTCTGACTGAAGAAGAAAGATTCTTCCTCTCATGTTTTCTGCCAGATATGGATCAACAGACTTTCAGTCTGACGATGCAGGAACTTCTCGGTGGTGCCAATTTGTATTTTGGGAATCCTGAGGATAAGTTTTACAAGATATTGAGAGGAGGATTGTTTACTCCAAAGGTAGCTTGTTTCAAAGAAGGTGTTATGTTTGTCAAGAGGAGAAAGTATTACTATTCTTTAAAGTTCTATCATGAAAAGCTGATCAAGACATTCACCGAGATGCAAAGGTTGTGGGTTCAGTATGGAAAGAAATTGGGCAATTACTCAAGACTCCTCCTTTGGTCAGGACGAACTCAAACCGGTAATCTGAAGCGACTGGACCTTAATAGAGTTCCATCTGAGGAAATGGATAGTGCTACATGTAGATTCAAAACTCCCAATGTAGTGAAACCTGTGGAAAGAAATAGATCAAAAAGTTTAACCTTCCATCGCAGTGGCAGCTCCAAGAACAGTCTCAAGGTAAAGATAACCAAGGAAGGAGTATGCCGGTACCAAGGTTCCAGCTTAGTTTCTGCTGGCCATCATCATCAGACTTTGCCAAAGGGTCTTCTCAAATTAGTCCCTAAATCTTCTTCTGCCATTCTCAGGGAACCCTATGTAGCTCCAGGAAACAATCTCCAGCAAATCCACGAAACCGTTTCAAAGAGTACTAGATTTGCAGCGTCTCCATACTTAGGTACGAGATTTGAGAAACCACCCTACGGAACTATCGCCTGTTCTATCACAGAACTCCCAAAATGCTTACTGAATCACCAAGACCCTTTCTTAACCTATTTGGAAACTACACAAAGATCAACCGAAGGTACAGAACCGGTGTTTCATGACCCAACCCACACTATCCCCACAGCTCTTGGTGTTTCAAATTACTCCAGCACAGAACATAATCTGCCTCTAAAGCAAGAAGAATATGTCCGCTACCACCTGAACTCTCCTGGTTTAAAGCCGAGGACTGTTGACAGAGGCTCTGAAACAACAGAGAGCAAGAGGATTTTGTCTAGTAATAACTTTCAGAGGGAAGCCAAGGTCCTCAGAAAACCGCTGCGTGTCCTGAGCGAAGACAATCATTCTCGAGAAGCCAATACTGACAATTTGTATTCCTTGACGTACAAGCGAAGAAAGGTTCAGAGAATCGCTTGAGCCTTGACGCTATGCTAATCCAATGTTCCACCTAATGTAGTCTTCCATGAAAATATGAAGTGTAACGCAAATTGGTAACTGGATTTGGTTTGGGGTTGAGTTTGTTAGTTTTCAAAATTTAAGGGTACTAAAACGAAACATTGAAGAAATAGAGGAGTAAAAGTGAAAATAATCTTAACTATTAAACAAAGTTGCGATAAGGTCACACGCTTTAGCTTTTTTCTCCGGAACGCATTGAGAGAGCTTCTTCCAAAAACCTCGAAAGCTCACAACAACGGTAAGCTCCTCCAAATCTCCCAAAACGTTATCGCTTTCGAAGTTTATTATAATCATCGTCATCAGTAGGTGTTTAGCGATTATATACCAAAAGAAAACTCATAAAATTTTGTTGAAGGGTTTTGGAGTGATGGGGTCTCTCGTTCGTGAATGGGTTGGGTTTCAGCAATTTCCAGCAGCTACCCAAGAAAAGCTGATTGAATTCTTTGGAAAATTGAAGCAAAAGGTTTGTTTTTGTTGTTGTTCCTGTTTCTTTGGTGCTAAGTCGGTTTCTCGGATTCTCCGTTGTGATTAGGAAGATAATGGGTTTTTTGTAATTGCAGGATATGAACTCAATGACAATTCTTGTTCTGGGTAAAGGCGGTGTCGGAAAATCATCCACTGTCAATTCTCTTATCGGTGAACAAGTCGTCCGTGTCAGTCCTTTCCAGGTACGTAATTTAGTTTCTCTAAGCTTGGAATTGATTTTTTTAATTTGGATTAAGAAAGTTTAGTCATGTCAAGATATTGATGGTTCTGTTTTGTTGATTTTGTAGGCTGAAGGATTGAGACCAGTGATGGTTTCAAGAACAATGGGAGGGTTCACTATCAACATTATTGACACCCCTGGACTTGTGGAAGCTGGATATGTCAATCACCAAGCCCTCGAGTTAATCAAAGGGTCAGTGGCTCTACTCTTTTGGAATCTCTCTTCCTTCATTGTCTTAGTCTCTTAGATGACATTTTGTTTCACAAGCTCTTCATTGATATGATTAGATCTACTTGTTGCATATAGGCTGAAGTAAATAGGTGGTTAAAATGTTTACTTGTGGGTTTTTGTTGAAATTTTTAATTATGCGTTTCCCAGTTTAGGCTGAAGTTGAAATTTTTGTTGATTTTTACGATAGTTGTTGTGTTTCTCGGATTTTGGACAGGTTTCTTGTGAACAAAACCATAGATGTCTTGCTCTATGTTGATCGTTTGGACGTGTATAGAGTCGATGAGCTAGATAGGCAAGTTGTTAAGGCAATCACCCAAACCTTTGGAAAAGAGATATGGTGCAAAACCTTGCTTGTTCTGACTCATGCTCAATTTTCCCCTCCCGATGAACTTTCCTACGAAACTTTTTCCTCCAAGAGATCAGATTCTCTCCTCAAAACTATCCGTGCTGGTTCTAAGATGCGAAAACAAGAGTTTGAGGTATGGTTATATACATATATCCGTCTCAGAAAATAGTCTTACCAATGTATGTTTGGTTCATTGTAGCAAGAATCAGTTTCATTATTCTACTGGCTTGCAGGATTCTGCAATTGCAGTAGTCTATGCAGAGAACAGTGGAAGATGCAGCAAGAACGATAAGGACGAAAAGGTTTGTGTTTTCGAATCTCTGATTTGATTCGACTTGGAGAGAGACTGACTGTTAAAAGTTGCTTACCTGCTCTTGCTTTAGGCTCTTCCGAATGGTGAAGCATGGATCCCGAACTTGGTTAAGGCGATAACTGATGTAGCAACAAACCAGAGAAAAGCAATTCATGTAGACAAGAAGATGGTAGATGGCTCTTACTCTGATGATAAAGGAAAGAAACTCATCCCTCTTATCATCGGCGTTCAGGTAAGAAAGAGACACAATTGATTTTTATTGTCTTTTTCGAATTTGGTAAACAAGTGAAATCTTTTCTTCTACTTTTTAGTACTTGATCGTTAAGATGATTCAAGGAGCAATCAGAAATGACATCAAGACAAGTGGAAAACCACTTTAAGAGCTCTGAGGAACAGGTTTTGTTGTAACCAAATTACAAGGAGAAGAAGAGTTTTTCTATTGTTCTTTCTTTTTTAGATTTAATCTGCAACATTTTCTTGTTTCCGGTATTGTTGAAAGAAAAGATTGCCATGTTTTCTGGATTCAATGAAATGGTTACATAGCGCTTATTCTCTTTGAATCGAAGAAGTCTTTAGCGGACGGATTAAAACACTCTGTAAATTAGCTGATGGGATTACACAGAGAGAGGAAGAGAAGTGCCTGGGAGGATCAGAACAGTGATGATCAATGCATTGAGGAAAGTGGGAAAAGCAGATTTAGCAATGAAGCTAATGCATAGCAAAATTGGGATTGGTTATGAGAGAATGGCTAGTGTTAAAAGGCCTGTCAAGTTTACTCTGACTGGTAAGAAACCCTCATTACTCCTAAACGACGTCATTACTCCTAAACGACGTCGTAACAAAAACGAACAATTTCCTTTTCTTTTCGGTAACATGTATAAAAGAAATTTCCATTTTTTTTTTTTTTTTTTTGTCATCAATTTCCATTTTTTATTGATCGAGTGATTTCCATATTTTTAAAATAACATGTGTGTATAAAAGAAATTTCCATTTTTTATTGATCGAGTGATTTCCATATTTTTAAAATAACATGTGTGTATAAAAGAAATTTCCTTTTTGTTTTTCCGAAACGACCTAACATCTCTGTGCTTATAAATATAGTCGTAATCTCTTCTTACTTCTTCGAGAGAAATCAAAATTGTATCTCGAGAGAGAAAGTTCTAAAGCAAGCATCATATCTTTTCGTGTTCTTCTAAAGCTTTGAATCGCAAATATTTTCGTGTGAATCTTCAATCATCCATATGAATTTATTCGATTGATACAGATGATTGATCTCGACGATACTTGCCGTGGCGGTGGATGAGAGGCCGCAGCATGCGTCGATCATAATCTACACAAACCCTATCGTCCGAGAGAAGAAGGCCCAATCGTCGTTCACAATCACAGTACGCTTCAATTAGGGTTGATGCAGTTATGACTCAAGAATAACACCAATATCATAATTCTCTCTTTCTTGACCTGTAAGTAATCTCCAAAATCCTCTCTGCTTTTCTTTATTTTCTTTTGTTTCTAAGTTTATTATTTATCCCTCTCAACAAATATTGACTCTTTTCTTCGTTTTATTCAATTTCAGCCTATTGGAAGTTATCGCCTACTAAATATGTGGACAAACACTATCATCAACACTTATTCCCTGTAAGCTATTTCTTCTATTATTCGTTCATTTTTTTTATTATAATAGAATAGAAAATGTTTTTGTTTTAAAATAAAACTAAGTATTTTCAACACTATTTTTTATTATTTTACAAAACGTTTTTGTTTTAAAACAAAACTAAGTGTTAAATTTAAATAGCTTGAAAACAAGTTGGGCTTAGCATCCCGTCCTTTTGGTCCGTAAGTCTTGAGGTGTATAAGTTCAACATGTTTTCTCGTAATTAAAATTTAACTCTTAGTTATGTTTAAAACGGTTTTCAAAAATAATATTTTAAGTAATTTTTTTTTATTTTACAAAATGTTTTTGTTTAAAAACAAAACTAAGTGTTAGATTTAAATAGCTTGAAAATAAGTTGGGCTTAGCATCCCGTCCTTTTGGTCCGTAAGTCTTGAGGTGTATAAGTTCAACATGTTTTCTCGTAATTAAAATTTAACACTTAGTTATGTTTAAAACGGTTTTCAAAAATAATATTTTAAGTAATTTTTTTTATTTTACAAAATATTTTTGTTTAAAAACAAAACTAAGTGTTAGATTTATATAGCTTGAAAACAAGTTGGGCTTAGCATCCCGTTCTTTTGGTCCATAAGTCTTGAGGTGTATAAGTTCAACATGTTTTCTCGTAATTAAAATTTAACACTTAGTTTTGTATTAAACGGTTTTCAAAAATAATGTTTTAAGTAAATTGTCTTGATTTTTAACTAAAATTTTTAAAATTTTAAAAAATATTTATGTTTAAAAACACAACTAAGTGTTAAATTTAAATAGCTTGAAAATAAGTTAGACTTAGCATCCCGTTCTTTTAGTCTATAAGTCTTGAGGTGTCATAAAGTTAACATGTTTTCACGTAATGAAAATTAAAAACTTAATTATGTTTTAACGGTTTTAAAAATAATGTGTTAAGTAAATTGTTTTGAATTTTATAAAAAATTTTGTTTTAAATTTAAATACGTTGAAAACTAACCGGACTTAGCATCCCGTCCTTTTGCTCCGTAAGTCTTGTGGTGTCATAAGTTCAACATGTTTTCACGTAATAAAAATTTAACACTAAGTTATGTTTTAAACGGTTTTCAAAAATAATGTTTTAATAAAACTTTTTGATTTTTAACTTAAAAGTTTTTGAATTTGACAAAAAAAAATACTATACAAAACGTTATTTTCTCTCTAAAAATTCTAAATGTTACATATAAATAAGTTGAAAATAAACCGGATTTTGAATCATTTCCTTTAATTTGTCTTTTAAGTTTGGTGTCATAAGTTTAACATGTTTTCACGTATTCTAAATTTATTTAGGTTTTTTTTTAAAATAATGTTTTAAGTAAAATATTTTACTAAAGCTTTTTGATTATACAAAATGTTTTTTTTTCTAAAAATCTAAGTGTTAGATTTAAGTACGTTGAAAATAAATCGAACTTAGCATCCCGTTCTTAAAATTTTCTTTAACTAAAAAAGTATTTTTATTTCAAAGAAAACAAACTGAACTTGATGTAAATTTAAACACTTAATCATATGATTAATTTTCTAATAAATTATTTTTGATTTTTGAATTCATTACTTGAGATTGAGAGACGTATAGACGCTACGAGTAAGAGCTTTGAAGGTGTTTCATGGGAATGAATCTAGGTGACTAGGTACACTAATTCTAAAAAACAGATATATAGAGAAAGTAGCCTTATTCATCTTCTTTCTATCTCTCTTAATAGGATCAAGTGTGCCTTCGAATAGCCACTTTGTGCATTTGAAAAATGTAAGCTTTCGATGCAAATCCATTTCCCATTCTGAGTTCATAATTGGGTTGTTTTCTCTAGTTTGTTTTTGGTTTCCTAACACATGTTCTTTATAAGGTGTAAGTGTGACATGGCATCATATGGTTGATTACTTGATTCCCTTTCATTGTCTGGTTTTGGATACTTGAGCTGCAGCCTATATCTTCAAAGGTTTTTCTTTGACAATTTAGAGCGAAAGATATCACAAAATCCGAGATCGTAAGCCCATACATTTAGAGCCCATTAGATAAGTATAAAATTTTTAGATTCTTAGTAGCATTTGTTAATGCGTTGACATTTGATAAAGAAGCAAAAAGTTAATAATAAAAAATACAACGTGGTTAAGCAATTTGATATTTGAAGGCATGACATAAAAAAAATTGCTGTAAAAGGATAATATATAATCCGTGTGGTACACGACCGTGTGATGAGCACCGACATAGCCCAGCTAGAGACGCGCTTCTCCTTCTCCAATCATTAATATCCCTCTTCTTCCTTGCAATTTCTTTATTTACTTACCTCTTCTCATAAATCTATAAAAATGGTCGACAAATTGAAGTATGATTTTATACGTTATAATCATTGTAAACTTCCATGAATGGCCAATACTAACACTAAAGAAACTTCTACAATTGGTCGATAGACTAGTTTTATAAGATTTCTTTTATTCATTGAAAATTATGAATGAAATTACATAGTCATTGTAAAAGAAATAACATGGACCTGAGAATGAATGTTTTGTTTGCTAAGAGAGAAGAAGACCTTGTGTTGTTGTTACATAGTCTTTAATCCATTGAAATTATGAAGAAATAGATATTTACGAAACAAACGGTTCATAAATTTTTTAATCAATGAATAAAATAAAATAAAATAATCAAGTACTGCCAAATAAAAAAGAGACGGAAATAAATCCGAAGGAAATATATAAAATCAGAAAAAGATCTCTTGAGAATTCGAAAGCACAAATGCAAAGCCATCAGAATCGAAGCAGGCTGAGCTTAATTCTACGGTCTAGATTCATCCCTTCCTTCTCTTCACCACTCTCCCTCTTCGTCGTCCTCGCTGCCGTTCCTTTTCCGATCTACTTTTCCGGTCTACTCTCCGGCAGAAACAACAAGCCGCTTTCAGTTATGGTTCGTCGCTCTTCCTCCATGTGATTGTTTTTCTTCTAATTGTTCTGAGATTTGATTCGCCGATTGTGTTTGTTTGTGCAGAGATTCAACTCCAACTTAGCTTCTTCAATGGTGGAATCGAATATTTCTTGTACCACTTTCAATATCTTGGCTCCGATTTATAAACGCGTTGATCAAAAGGTTTGTTTCTCTTCTGATTTCACTCTCTACCTGTTGATTCTGGAATCGACGACATTGGTTTGATTGTGTTGGGTGTTATTACAGAATCATAGCATTCGAGAGAGCGATTCTCGCTCGCTTTGGTTAGCTCGTAACCAGAGGATTTTAGATTTACTAATCCATCAACGTTCTTCAGTTATCTGTCTCCAGGTACACTAAGAATTTTTGTCTTGGAAAGAGTCAAATTGACTTTTTGTTATGTGAGCTTTAGCTGACTCTTAGCAATTGTGACTGTTCATAGGAAGTTTGGGTTGGGAATGAGGAATTAGTGAACATGTACCACGACCAGCTTGGCACTTCAGGCTACACTATTTTTCAGTTGGCTAGAACAAACAGTCGTGGTGATGGTATCATTCTTGATTTTTCTATCATGTTTTTTTTTACTTCTTTTGATTGTATATGGTGTCAGCTCTAGTTTGAAGTAGAATGATGCAATGCGCTTGTGGTTATTGCTGAATTGTTGTCTCATTTGTGGACTTGAATATCTTTCTTACAGGTCTTTTAACAGCCATTCATAAGGACCACTTCAAAGTTGTAAATTACCGGGAGCTGCTCTTTAACGATTTTGGAGACCGTGTTGCTCAGCTCTTACATGTCAAAACAGTTATTCCCTTTCCGCTTAATGGGAAGCAAGATGTTCAACAAGAAGTCATTATAGTGAACACTCACCTGTTGTTTCCTCACGATTCTAGTTTGTCTATTGTAAGACTTCATCAGGTTGGTCATCCTTCCCCTCATTTAGCATTTTGAGACCGTTCCCCTTGGATCTTGTGATAGTTTAATTTGATTATCTCTGCTTCTTTTAACAGGTTTACAAAATTCTTGAATATCTGGAAGCTTACCAAAAGGAAAATAATCTTAATCACATGCCCATTATTCTCTGCGGGTTAGCTTCTGGTCTTTAGAGTCTTGAAATTGTGTCCCTCCACCAGTAAAATGTAATCACAGACTTTTGAAATATGCTTATTTCAGTGACTGGAATGGAAGCAAACGCGGGCATGTCTACAAATTCTTGAGATCTCAAGGGTTCATATCATCATACGATGATGCTCACCAGTATACCGACAGTGATGCTCATAGGGTAAGACATCTTTTACTAACCTTTTTTTCTCCAGCCTTATGTTATATAAAACTCGGCTCATATTCTAAAAGAAACATCCTTATCCGTCTTTCTTTCATTTTTTCTTCAGTGGGTTAGCCACAGAAACCACAGGGGAAATATATGCGGAGTTGATTTCATATGGCTCTGTAACCCTAGCGATTCAAGAAAACCATTGAGAACAAGTTGGGTGGAAGCTGTTTTCAGCATTATCAAGGTAAGATCTTCAGAATTATAAAATGTTAAGTCGCATCATACTTAGTATTACTTACAGTGTCATGTCTCATTCTTTCCAATTTTACTTTTTTTCATAAACGATATATTCATGTCCAATTTAGTTTATTTCTGATTTCTCTTGATGATTCTTCCAGTATCAACTCCACAAAGCTTCCATAGCCGAGGACGATGTCTTTGCTTTTCTTGGGGCGAATAATCACAGTGATTCACTCACCTACTCTGACTTTTGCCTAGCACTTCAAAAGGTAAATACATTTTCTTCAGGAAAAAAAGAGCCTAGAGAGACTTCAATTATCCACAAATACTGTTAAAAATCTTTAATTTGCAAATTCTTACTGGAATATGACACTTCTGGAAACACTTTGTGATCATCTAGAGATTTCACTTGTCATAACATTAGAATAAGGAGGATCACATAAGTTCTTCCAGATATTTACAATTTCTTTGAACGACGAATGGACGTTTATGCTGAGTTGCTGACATCAAAATTTGATATTGTTGGGTAGGTAAATCTTACGGGTATTCCACATGGACTTAGCTTCGAAGAGACAAAAGAGCTATGGGTTCGAGCTGATCTTGATGGAAATGGTGTCTTCGACTATGAAGAACTTAAGGTAAATTAAACTAAACCAATTAGCGCAAAACGGAAATAACAAACCGGTAGTTTTGTTTAAAACGTCAATCAAGACTCTGATGTGTTGTGTTGTGTTATGTAATGTCAGAAAATTTGGAACATGACGATGGTAAATCAACCTGGAAACTGCAAAGAGAGTGTGATGGAGAGTAAGAAAGAAGAAGGAGAAGATGAAGCAATCGGATTGAAAGTGAATAAAGCTGTATTGTATCCGCAAGAAGCAGAGAAAGGATTGTGGCCGGAGAATTACAATCTATCCGATCATGCTTGTCTCACCGTACAATTCTCGCCGGTCAAAATGCTATGCAGCTAAGTTTTGTTTATTATGGCTCTTGTACATGTAAAGAAGCAATGAGATTGAGAGTTGCAATGAGAAGTTTACTATACCTTTGTATTTTGTATAGTTTTGTAATTGCAACACTGTTTCTGATAGAATTAAAGATTTTGTTTTCTTAATGAACCGACTTTTTGCGGAATATAAAGGAATTTAAAACTTTGAGCCAATAAGATGGATTTAAATTTTTATTTTATTTTTAAAGTACATTATCATGTCGATCTCTAATCTCTATCAACAAAAGAGTTGACTCGTTAATAATAGTTTTAACACTTCAATTTTGGCTGTTATATAAAAGAAACACTTGATTAATCCAATGACGTGTCAAAAATCATTGTTAACATGAATATTGCTTAAAGGAAAGATCTGAAACAGCGAACACAACAGAGAGAAAAAGCTTTTCAGTGTCTTCACTTTTATTGAAATTAAAGAAAATTGGGAAAAAAAAAAAGGCTGTCTTTTTGGTTGTTGGAGTTCGTCGTGGTGGACTATAAAGGTGAGTACTTTTCTTCTCTGAGTGTTCTTCTTTGAAATTGTTACACTCCTTCGTCTTCGATTACTCCTTCAGAAACTGAATTTTAAAACTTATTCGAGAAATTTCTCTTTATGTGTCAGAAAGTGGTCAAATTTGTTTGATTATCCAATTACTGTCTTTTTTACTTGGAAAATTTTAAATGCCCTTTTTTCTTGTTTTTCAACAGAGACGATCGTCAACGTCCTGAGATTTTTCTTGGGGTTTCTGATCTAATCCTGGATTTCACAGCCTCCAATTTCACTACTAGGGTTTATAAAAGGTCCATGCTTTTTTCTTATAATTGATCTGAAATTCAGAGATCAGAAAATGGCAATGGCTCCAGTAATAAAGCTGGTTTTAGGTTCAATAGCCTTTGCCATTTTCTGGGTATTAGCAGTTTTTCCCTCTGTGCCGTTCCTACCAATTGGTCGAACCGCCGGTTCTTTGTTCGGTGCAATGCTAATGGTTATCTTCCAAGTGATAACCCCTGAACAAGCTTATGCAGCCATTGATCTTCCGATACTCGGTCTTCTCTTTGGAACAATGGTTGTTAGTATATATCTTGAGAGAGCTGATATGTTCAAGTACTTAGGCACATTGCTTTCGTGGAAGAGTAAAGGACCTAAAGACTTGCTATGTCGAGTCTGTCTTGTTTCCGCGGTTTCAAGCGCTCTGTTTACTAACGATACATCTTGTGTGGTTTTAACTGAGTTTGTGTTGAAGATCGCTAGGCAAAAGAACCTCCCGCCTCACCCTTTTTTGCTCGCTTTGGCCACGAGTGCGAATATTGGTTCTTCTGCTACTCCCATTGGGAATCCGCAGAATCTTGTTATCGCGGTTCAAAGCAAGATCCCCTTTTGGGAGTTTCTTCTTGGGGTTTTTCCCGCGATGATTGTTGGTATTACCGTTAATGCTATGCTTCTTCTCGGTATGTATTGGCGGCTATTGTCAGATCATAAAGAGGACGAAGAAGAAGTACAAGATGCAGATGCTGAACTTGTTGCCGAAGAAGATGTCACATCTCATCGGTTCTCGCCAGCTACATTTTCGCCAGTTACATCTGAAGATTCAAACTTGAGAATGGATGCCGCCGAGACTCTCAGAAACAGAGCGGGTTCAGCGGGTGAGAACGAGTTAATAAGCTGCAATTCAAATGCGTCAAGAGAACAACAAACCGACGCAGAGTCTCAAGGAGAGAGCAATAATACCAACAATATGTTCCAGACCAAGAGATGGAGAAGAGTTTTATGGAAATCAAGTGTTTATTTGATCACATTAGGAATGCTAATATCTCTGCTTATGGGTTTAAACATGTCGTGGACCGCAATTACTGCGGCTCTAGCACTCGTCGTTCTTGATTTCAAAGACGCAAGGCCGTCTCTTGAGAAGGTGAAAACCAAAAATTTCTTAACTCTTTAATGATAACAATTCAAAGATCTAATCAAAGTTGTAACTTTTGCAGGTATCGTATTCGCTTTTGATCTTCTTCTGCGGGATGTTCATAACCGTTGATGGATTCAACAAAACTGGTATCCCTACCGCTCTATGGGACCTAATGGAGCCATATGCCAAAATCGATCAAGCCAAAGGAACCGCGGTTCTAGCAGTTGTGATTCTTGTCCTCTCCAATGTAGCATCTAATGTACCAACCGGTAATGTCATTATCTTTAAAGCCAAACAAACATGTTTTGTTGGCTCCACAAACAATTTCTTGACTCAAAAGGAACCACAAGACCATGTGAATGACTCTTTTTTGTTTTTTTAATCGTTTGCAGTGCTTTTGTTGGGGGCAAGAGTGGCGGCATCAGCGATGGGGAGAGAGGAGGAGAAGAAGGCGTGGTTGTTGCTGGCGTGGGTGAGCACGGTGGCTGGAAACTTGACATTGCTTGGTTCAGCAGCAAACCTGATAGTGTGTGAGCAAGCTCGTAGAGCAGTGAGCCATGGATACACTCTCACTTTCACTAAACACTTGAAATTCGGTTTGCCTTCAACACTCATCGTCACTGCCATTGGTCTCTTTCTTATCAAGTAAATCATAGCCCACTCTGCATATATGCTTTCTTTTCTCCTTGTGAAGGAATTTGATTCATTTCAAGAATCAGTCTTTATGGGGTTATCCATATTTGTATCATTGAAAAACAAACACTATCACAACTATACGTAATGAATTGAAAACGTGATTCTGCTACTTTTCATTATCCATAATATTTATCAAGTTTTAACGTTATTGCTTTTTAAAAAAGTGAAGAGATACATTCTAAAATTATAAATAGCTTTAATTAAAAAGATAAGAGTCGAAAATGGAAATTTAAACCTAGACATATTAGATACTATAAGAAAAAAAATTATGTGAAATAATTTAACTAAAATAACACATTAGTTTTGGTAGTAACTAATTGCGATAATCATATGAAAGTACGTTCTCCTGTATTTATGTCTTTTGTAATTTAATGTTCACATTGTATGCTAATTCCTATTCGGCTTTTACTTTAATGATGTCTGGTTACCCCTTGTCGCCTTCTACGAAGTTTCCTATATACAAACTAAAATGTGGTTTACTTTGTTATTGAATCTAAGCTTTAATTAAAAAGCTTCTGTTTTGACATATATAATTGACCTAAATAAACTCATTAATGTTAAAGTCAACGTTAAACATAAACTCATTATATATTTTCCAAAATGGCCATCAAATTTAGTAAAGGGGAGCATACATGAGGAAAAAAAAGAAAAGGAAATGCATATTTAATTCATCTTTACGTGTTGGGATTTGGGAGTAACAACTGTCACATGATAGTGCAATAACTATATGGGAAAAAATGCCACACTATATGCCAATATTTTACCAAAATGCAATATTGCAACTTGCAAACCCTTTTTTTCATCAAAAGCAAAAGTCACAAAGTTAAGAGATCTTGTGAGTGGAATATATTTCTTATTCGTGAATCAAAGATTGATAAGGACATCTGGACACTAGTAGGGTCTCACTGCGAAATGTTAGAAGAAAATAAAAGAGAAGAAAGGTATGAGAAACGCGAAAAGTGAATATGAATGGAGAACATAAGACTGTCACAAAAGAAGGCATTTGTTAAGTTTTTAGCTTTTTTAAGTTTTTAGCTTTCGCTCACCTAAGAGAATATGCCCCCATATCTGAGTCCACCCTCGTCGGTAATAGTAGTTCCTCTTGATCTATAAACACAAACCATATAATCTCTAGCTCCCTCATAAAAAAAAACAAAAAAAAAAAACTTGTAGAGCAACGACCATGGAGAAAGCTCTGATCTGTTCCATATTCTGATATCTTCCTTTTCTCTTGCTTTTTGATCTGAAACGTTTGTCATTGTCGGAAAATGGAGAATCCGGTGGGTTTCAGATTCCGTCCGACCGACGAGGAGATAGTCGACCATTACCTCCGGGTGAAAAATCTTGAAAGTGACACGAGCCATGTCGATGAAGTCATTAGCACAGTCGATATCTGTAGCTTAGAACCTTGGAATTTACCTTGTAAGTCTTTACTTAAGTACACTCACGAGTGTATATTTTTTTTTTTGGTTCCCAACAGCTGTTAAAATAGTTTCTTGTTCTGTTTTGCCAGCCCAGTCTATGATCAAATCGAGTGATGAGGTTTGGCATTTCTTTGGTCGTAAGGAGAATAAATATAACAGAGGTGATCGACAGATGAGAAAAACCAAGTCTGGTTTTTGGAAGAAAACTGGAGCTACCATAAATATCATGCGCAAAAGGGGAAATCGCGAAAAGATCGGTGAGAAAAAGGTTTTGATGTTTTACTTTAATAAGAGTCTCAAGTCCGATTGGGTTATGCATGAGTATCACGCTACGTTCTCGTCTCCTAATATGATGACATATACACTCTGCAAAGTCAAGTTTAAGGGTGAAAGCAGAGAGGTTTCTGTTTCTTCTGGTAGTGGAATTGAGCTTACTCACTCTTTGATCCCTCATACCAACGATTTTGGAGTTTTTAGTGTAGAGACAGAGGTGGGTCAATCTCATTTTTTGTCTTTCAAATCATATCTCATTGTCATACACATAGTCATAGAGAATCTGACAACAACTTGATGTGCAGGAAGAAACTCAACTGGAAGATGCAGTGCGCAGGGCTATCAACAATATATCGACTGATGAGTGGAACAGTTTGTTCAATGATGATGAGCAGAGACAGAGTAACATTGTTTCTATGCAAGGGGATTTTGCCTTACCTTTCTAATCCTCTGTTTTCACATTTCACCTCACAAAGCTAAAGTTTTTGTTTCATAGGACACCTTTTGTACTTTCAAAATCTGTAGAAGTTTATGTTATGTGTCTTTCTCGTTTTGTAACGTTTCCACATTGTATGTGAATATTTGATAAGATGTGGTAAGAGAATACAAAGTTGTATAATTTGAAATCATACAGCTAACCAAATGGTCAAATTTTCTTTCACGTAGCAATCAACGTAGCTCGACTCTTCTAGTCCAGTCCTGCCGAACCCCCTGAAAAGATTTCAGGTTCGACAAAAGAAAACAAGAACGACTATTATCAAATCAAGATACTTGATTTTAGTAATGTCAAGAGTCTCTTTTGGACTTTTAGTCTACATCATATGTGTACCACGAGCATGTTGTCATGTTGATGGTGAAGTCCAAACCCCATTAGACTAATGCTAACTTTTTACTAAAGTAGGCCTAAAACATTTAGAATATCTTAAAGGCCGTCATAATTAGTAAATCTTTTTTTACCTTTACTTTTTTTTTATTGTGTGTTTTATAAAACGAACCAGAAATGTAAATAGGTTCGGATCGTGAAGGCGGTCGGTCATAAAAGCAAGGCATTAAACAAATTAAAGATAGAATATGTCTAAATCCATTCAGCTTTTGTGATTGATTTTAGCCACTAGACCCTAGGGGTAGCTTTAGCACTTTATTATTCATCAATTTCCACTTCTTTATTTTATTATTTTAATAGTTTATCTTTTTTGGATTTTAAGAAATCTCCACAAATGTCGAAGAAAAAGAAAGAAAGCGAATAAAACAAGCTAAGTGTCACAATTGGAACATTGAACCTTGGGTTTAGTGGGGTCATTAAGAAGATAATTGCTAACCCCATGTGACTCTTGGGATGATGGGTCCGTCTCTCGTCATACTTGACGTCATACACTACTTTGGTCCCACCATTTGGTCATAGATGACGTCACTTACTCTCGTCACAGCCTTTATATAAAAATATTATAAACACACTTAATTCGTCTTCCTCCTAAAAAAAAAAAAACACAAAACTTGCAGAGAGCATCGTCAATGGCGAAACCTCTCTGATACATATTTTGATCCTTTTTTCTTCTTTAACTTTTCTTATCTGAAACTTTTGTCGCTCTCGAAAAATGGTGGGTCCGGTGGGTTTCAGATTCCGTCCGACCGACGAAGAGATCGTCGACCATTACCTCCGGCCAAAAAATCTCGATGATGACACGAGCCATGTCGATGAAGTCATTAGCACAGTCGATATCTGTAGCTTCGATCCTTGGGATTTACCTTGTAAGTCTTTACTAAATTCACAAGGTTTTGGAATCCAAACTCTGATTTTTCCTCTCTTCTTTATCACAGCCAAGTCGATGATCAAATCGAGTGATGGGGTTTGGTATTTCTTTAGTCTTAAAGAGATGAAGTATAACAGAGGTGATCAACAGAGAAGAAGAACAAATTCTGGGTTTTGGAAGAAAACTGGAAAAACCTTGACTATCATGCGCAAAAGAGGTAATCGTGAAAAGATTGGTGAGAAAAGGGTTTTGGTGTTTAAGAATCGAGATGGTTCAAAGACCGATTGGGTTATGCACGAGTATCACGCTACGTCCTTGTTTCCTAATCAGGTAATTTTTAAAAATCCTAACTTTTAGGGTTTTTTTTGGTTGATTGACCTAATTCCAGATTCTTAGGGTTTAATCTGTTGTTAATTAATTGACATAATTCTGGGGTTTTGTGTGGCTGTTGTGATTTGATTGCTATGTTGATTGATTTCACTATTTTTGATGCGTCTGTGTTTTGATATTTGTACAGGTGATGACGTATACAATCTGCAAAGTTGAGTTTAAGGGTGAAGAGACAGAGATTTCTTCTTCTTCTACTGGTAGTGAAATTGAACAGATTCACTCTTTAATCCCTCTTGTGAACAATTCTGGAGGATCTGAGGTCGGTCAATCTCAAACTTATCTCTGTTTTGTCTTTTTAAATCTTCGAAATCATATCTCATAGAAAAATCTGACATTTGTGTTCTTCCCCTTTTTCAGGGATCGTCGTTTCACAGCCAAGAATTACAGAATTCAAGTCAGTCTGGTGGCTTTGCTAATGTGCAGGAAGAATCTCAAATCGATGATGCAACTACGCCGATTGAGGAGGAATGGAAAACATGGTTGAATGATGATGATGATGATGAGCAGAGGAATATCCTGTTTATGCAAGATAATCGCAACGATTACACACCTCTAAAGTCGTTAACTGGTGTCTTCAGTGATCATAGCAGTGAAGATAATGATTCTGATTTGATATCTGCCACTACAGTAAGCAAAATTTTACTATGTATCTTGATAATCCTCTGTTTTCAGATTCACATCAGAAAGCTAAAGTTTTTGTTTCATATGACAGAATTCTATTGAAACTTTGAGCACTTGTGATAGTTTTGCTAGCTCAAAGCATCAGACTGACCAAATCAAAACTCAAAAATCTCCTGTCTCAACAATCAAGTTAGTGTCATTAACTCAGGAGGTAAGATTTATTATCTCTTTTACTTTAAATGCCAAGCATGTTACTTTGTCTCACCACTCAAAACATTGAAATCAGATTAGAGAAATTAAATTTGTTGGTTCTTTCATATATTTTCAGGTGAGCCAAGCTCTGGATCAAGGAACTGAGATTCGAGAGCATAAAATGGGTCAAGAGATGATCAAGAAGAAAAGTGCTGGTTTTTGTAAAAGGGTGATACAAAATTTGGTAAAGAAAATGCAGCTATGTTCTTCTATCTCAAGAACATGATAACAATAGATGAAACCAAAGAACACCTTTCTGTACTATCCAAATTTGTAGAAGTATAAGTTATGTCTATCTTGTTATGTTTTTTCATATTGTGTGACTGTTATGTACTCTCTCTATATTAAAAGGGTGGATTTGTGATAAGAAGTGGTTAGAGAAGATAAAGTTGTGTGAATTCAATTAATACAACTACCAAAATGTTATGTCTATTTTGTTTTGTAAATTCCCCCTATTTTTTGTTTTATAAAAACGGTGAATTTGTGATGAGAAGTCAGAGAAAACAAAGTTGGATAATTTCAACTCATACACGATACACCTAATAAAATAGTCAAATTTTCATTGACGTAGTAATCAACCTTGAGTCTTTTAGTCCTACCTAATCCCCACAAAAAAATTCAGGTTCTCAACAAAAGGAAACAAGGATAATATCAAATCATGATGCTTCTATTTAGTAATGTCAAGAGTCTCTATACGACTTTTAGTCTACATCTTACGTGCACCATATTGTCGCTTTTATCTTTAAGTCCAAACCCCATTAGAGTAATGCTACCTTTTTGTTTTCTTCCTCATTTTTTTATTTTATAAACAAATAATTGAACAAGATTCTTATTTTAGCCAATCCAAAACAAAATCATTTCAGCAAAACTATTACCAAACATTTCTCTAAAATCGACACCCAAAAAATAAAAAAATAAAAACATTTCTTTAATTTGTAAAAGAAGATTTTTTTGGCCTTAGTTGAAAGTTGAAAATGTGCCTTGGTTGAAAAGTAAGAACGGCGCGTGTGATTAGACGCTTCCACGTGGCCCAATTAGGTCACATATTTTAGATTTGGTCGTCGTTGGTGTTTGGTAACATGTCCTGGCCCACCACTTCACTGTTCTATAATAATAATTAATATCTTTTCTTGGATGAAAATCCTAAAGTACAACTCTTATAACGTATTTTGCAAATTTTACTAAGTACTATTTTGCTAATAAGTAATAGGTTGTCTAGTTCTTTTCTCTACGCCTTCTACGAAGTTTCCTGTATTCAAATTATATGTGGTTTACTTCTTGACATCATTTGTATCTACATAAATAATCAATGGAACATCGACATTTGACGTTTTTTTTTTTTTGTTAAAACCGACATCGACGTTAATGGACCATCAAATTTAACTACGTGTTGAGATTAACAACTGTCACATGATAAGTGCAATGGTTATATGAATAATATACGTAACTATATGTCAATCTTTTGATTAAAATTTTCAAAATTGCAACTTGCAAATACTCTTTCCCCTCCTTTTTTATATTAAAACTAAAAAGGTCAGAAGGTAAAGGAATAAGGATATTTTGTGGGAGAACATTTTTTTTTATTCATGAATCAAAGATGACAAAGCAATCAATGTATGTAGTATTTTATATCTATTCTTTTCTGAACGCGATATAAGTAAATATATACATGATTGTGACAAATGATAACCAAACTTGCCACGTCTTTATCATTCCACGCCGTCGCATTTTTAAATTTTTTTTCCATTGTAATTGAATATTCACTTTGTATACGCATTCCAATTCTTTCTTCCCCTTTTTTTTTTTTTTTTTTTTTGTCGTCCAATTCTTTCTTCCCTTAAACAAAAGATTTATCAGTTTATGTTATTTCTGGTTACGGCTTGTACGAACTACGAAGCTTCCTATTCGTATATAGAGATACTTTTTGTTATCGTATCTATGTTTCTGTTTCAACATAGATAATGGACCATCGACGTTAACGTTAATCAGATGTGAATTGTATATCTTTCAAATGGGCCAACAAAGGGAAACATAAAACATGTTAAATAAATAAATGTAATTACGTGTTGGGAGAAACTACCGTCACATGATGAAAAGATACGTCGCTATATGCCAATCTTTGATTAAAAATATTTATGCAAAATTGCAACTTGCAAATCTTCTTTTCCCCTCCTTTTCTGATTAAAAATTTTTTTAAAAAAAAAACAAAGCCGCAAGGTAAGATAATTTGTTGGGGAATATTTTTCTTATTCATTTCACGAATTAAAGATTGGTATGGACAATAAAGGAATTGTTACGATGTAATAAAATAAAATAAAATAAAATAATAAGAGTGATAAACAAACGTGCCACGTATTTACCATTCCAAAACTTAACCCATGTCTTAGCGTAAGGAGTACGTTTACCGTCACAGTTAAATAAATTTATTTATAAATAATAAAACCCTCTTCGTCTTTCTTCTCCGATTAAGTTGCAGAACAACAGCAACAATGGCGAAAGCTCTCTGCTGCATATTTTTTTGATCCTTTTCTTTTTCTTTTTCCCTCTTCGTTTTTTGATCGCAATAGAGAAATGGAGAATCCGGTGGGTTTAAGATTCCGTCCGACGGACGAGGAGATCGTCGTCGATTACCTCCGACCAAAAAATTCCAATAGGGACACGAGTCATGTCGATCGAGTCATTAGCACAGTCACTATCCGTAGCTTCGATCCTTGGGAGTTACCTTGTAAGTCTTTCACGAGTTTCATTCTCACTGTTGAATCGAATCATCATCGGCTACTTTCTAATTCTAGGGTTTTTTGTTTTGTTTTTGGTAGGTCAGTCGAGGATAAAACTGAAAGATGAGTCTTGGTGTTTCTTCAGCCCTAAGGAGAACAAATATGGCAGAGGTGAGCAACAGATTAGGAAAACGAAATCTGGGTTTTGGAAGATTACTGGAAAACCAAAGGCTATCATGCGTAATCGCCAAAAGATCGGTGAGAAAAGGATTTTGATGTTTTACTACAGTAAGGAACTCGGTGGATCCAAATCCGATTGGGTTATGCACGAGTACCACGCTTTCTCTCCTACTCAGGTACTCTCTGTTTCTTGCTCTTTACTGTGATTTGATTGCTCGTAATCGTATATTAGGTGATTATGATTTGATTGAATTGTTTTACAGATGATGATGACATACACTATCTGTAAAGTTATGTTTAAGGGTGACGTGAAGGAGATTTCTTCTTCTTCTTCTTCTTCTGGTAGTGGTATTGAGCAGAGTTGTGACCCTTTAATCCCTCAGCTTGTGAACAATTCTGAGGTGGGTCAATCTCGAAACTTTCTCTGTTTCTCTCTTTTAAATCTGACAGACTGACAACGACTTGTTTTGTGTTCTTCCCTTTTTCAGGGATCGTCGTTTCACAGCGAAGAGTTACAGAATCCAAGTCGGTTTGGTGATGTGCAGCAAGAAGCTCAAATCGAAGATGCTATACCGATTGAGGAATGGGAGACATGGTTGAATGATGATGATGCTGGTGAACAGAGGAGTATCATGTTTATGCAAGATAATCGCAATGATTACAAACCTCCAAAGTCATTAACTGGTGTCTTCAGTGATGATAGCAGTGATGATAATGATTCTGATTTGCTATCTCCAACAACAGTAAGCTAAATTCTACTATTGTACCTTTATAAATCTCCTCTGTTTTCAGATTTCACCTCGCAAAGCTAAAGTTTTTTGTTTTGTTACGACAGAAATCTATTGAAACCTCGAGCACTTGTGATAGTTTTGCTAGCTCAAATCATTGCGTAGACCCAATCAAAGGCCTGCAAGAATCTCCTAACTCAACAATCAAGTTAGGGTCACTAACTCAAGAGGTGAGCTTTATTATCTATCTCTTTTTCACCGAGTCAAACAATCCCTAATGCTACTTTGTGCCAGCAATCATTACAACAATTTTTTGTTTCTTTTATATGATTCAAGGTGAGCCAAGCTCCGAGAACCAGTATTGATACATCCGAGAACAAGAATAATCCTTATGATGATGCACAAGGGATTGAGATTGGAGTGTATAAATTGGGTCAAGAGACGGTCAAGAAGACAAGTGCTGGTTTCTTTCACAGGATGATACAAAAATTCGTCAAGAAAATTCGAGTTCACCTATGTTCTTCTATCTCAAGAGCATAATAGCAATAAAAGTGATCAAAAACACCGTTTGTACTTTCCAAAAATCTGCAGAAGTATATGTTATGTCTTTCTTGTTTTGTAACGTTTCCATTTGTATGTGTGTCCTAGTATATATAAAAAGATGGCGAATATGTGATAAGAAAGTGGTTAGAGAAGACAAATTTGTATCATTGACTTAACAATGTCTATCTTGTTTTGTAACTTTCCCATCTTGTGTGTGTTCTCCATTGTGAAGACAAAGTTGTATAATTTCAACTCATACAGCAATCAACCTCGAAGAACTCTTCTAGTCTTACCTAACCCCACAAACAAATTCCGTTCAACAAAAGAAAACAAGAATAAATTTCAAATCAATATGATTCATTTAAGTAATGTCAAGAGTCTCTTTTGGACTTTTCAGTCTACATCATATATGTTGTACACGTGCATGTTGTCATGTTGATGGTTAAGTCCAAAACACATTAGACTAATGCTAACTTTTATTTTTCTTCCTCTTTATAAGATTATTGTTTACATTATCATATATCAATTAATTTTTGTTTTTTCCTTCTTCTAAATTAAAATCCTCTGTTTCTTGACTAAATCCTCTGTTTCGGCGTTCAACTTACAAGACTTTGTTTTTTTTTTTACTATACATCAACATACCAAGTTTGTTATGTATATCTTATTTAAAATTAAGGAATTTTCTTGTGTTGCCCAAATAAAAGGAATTTTGTTTTTAAATTTGCCTATATAAAAAAAGTGTAAAAATATTTTGCATTTATTATCGCTCTCTATTGTTTTTAATTCTAGGGTTTACTCGATCAGAATGGACTATCCCGCAGATTTTAGATTCCGGCCGACAGATGACGTCATCATCGACTATTACCTCCGGCTAAAACATCTCGGCATCGAGGAAGGGGATGTCAATCATTTCATTACCACCGTTGAAATCTCTCTCTATTGTTTTTTTAAAATTAAGTTTTTTAAAAAAATTATTATAGCCAAATCAAAGAGCAAGTGTAATGATAATATGGTATGGTACTTTTATAGTCGTGATGAATATAAGTTTAACGAAGCAATATGGAAAACGAGTGCGGGTTATTGGAAAGAAACCGGATCCAACACACCAATCATTGGTAAGAGGAAAAGAACCAATGGTGTTAAGATTGGTGAGAAGAAAGTTTTGGTGTTTCAATCTTGTGCAAATCCTAATGGATCCAAATCCGATTGGGTAATGCACGTGTATCAACCCACGTTTCTGCCTCCCGATCAGGTAATTTTTCAATTCTATAATTTATAGCCATTAGTTTTTTTTTTTTTTTTTGGTTACTCTGTTGTGAGAATCTGCAGATTAGCTAAGATCAATCAAATTTTAGGTTACATTTTTTGGTATTACTGAATTAACGACCAACCGCTTTGGTTTAGGAAGTGGAGAGATCTTTAAACAACTTATGTTAATGATAAAACATGATATCTCGTATATATACTTTCTATAAAGATTGGTAAAAACTAAAACTTGAAAAAAAGAGAATAAAGTTGATTCGGCTTAGAAGTTAGTCTAGTGCTGGGTTGATTTAATTATGGTCTCCATGTGATATTTGATCTTTTTCTTAATGTGATTTTGACCGTATTTCTCAAACTTTTCTAGTAAGATCTCTTACGGGTTTAAAAAAACGTTACCTTGATTTGGACAGAGAGCATATGTTGTCTGCAAAGTAGAGTTTAAAAGTGAAGATGAGGATACTCCTGGTAATTCTGATTGTGTAATTGAGCTTAATCACCCTCCAATCCAATCCCTTGTATCAACCAAAATGGAGCTTCACGTACTACACGATTTGAGGTAGGTTGAGCTTTAATTAGTTGTTTCTGATATGATCTTCAATTCAATTTGTGTTTCGTACATGTTTAGGATTGTGTTTCAAAGAAAAAACCAAGAGAAATTATTGAAGTACTTGACTAATTACAATGATATGCCTGATTAATTTGTAGAACTTACTTGACTAATCATAAATATGCACTATAGATTAATGTTTTGAATTATAATTAAAGTTCAGTATATCTAATGAGTATATAGGATTTGGTTACAATTTGCTGAATCTATGTTGTTTCATTGGATTTGAATCTTTTGAATATAAAAAGACATGCGCCTACCACTTTTATTTATATTTAAAATATTCATGGGAGGCCGTGAAATATAGTACAACAACAAAGCAATATACTAATAGAAGAAATTGTAAAGAAGATTTCAAATAGCCTTTATGGTTTTGGATTTTTTCTCGAAGTAGTTGAAACTGAGCCATTCGTTGAAAAGCAAGTGCGGCGCCTGAAACTTGATGCTTCCACGTGACCCAATGTTATCTAGATTTGGTCGTTATTGGCGTTTGGAAACATAACTTGGGCCACCACTACTACTTCACATTCCCCTACTCCCAAATCCTGCGGAACAGAGAATCAAAAGTATAATAATAGTAGTAGTAATTTTTTTAATAAATAATTCGTTATATAGTTGGCAAAGAAAATGTTTTCGTTAAAGTTGTCTCACATTGGAGTTTTCTGTGGTGTCTTGTTCATACGCGTGTCCATTTTCTCCGAGAAGGAGGCCGCTTGATTCACCTTGTTCCATTGACTGTGTGAAGGGGCAAATTTGTTTGTTTGTTTTGTTTTTTTTTTTTTAATTAGTAGGAAACTTGTACCATAACTATTATGATAGAAATTTATATGAGAATAAATTATATTTTTGTAAACAAATAATTTTTGATAATCGGATTATTATTTTCTTATTTTTGTATTATTTTACATACGTACCTGCGTTAAATCGGTGAAACAATCCCAATGAAAATGATCGAATTGATGAGAGTATTGAGAGTGATCAATCCACTTATTGGTGTGATATACTGGGAGAAGCTCGTCTAAGCCATTACAATAATCTCCGCCATAATCTTCGTTCTTGTTCTCCGTCAGCATCTATAAATAGTCAAATATATTTCCAATTTGGTTATAAACTTCATATCAAATAAAAAAATCTTAAACTTCAAACAAAGAGGAAATTCAATAATTCTAATGACTTTTATCTGAACAACTTGTAATAAAGACCGAACCAGATTAACCAAAAGTATTGTTTAAAACTTTAACTTCCTTTTTAAGAAAATAATTAAGACTGAAACGTTTATAAATAAAACATATTTTGGTTAATAAAATTGAAGTATGAACCAACATTAATGTTGTAACGAATTTAATGATTTGTTTCCCTCCCATATTTTAACTTCTGAAGTAACCTGGGAGTGGTGAAGGATAGGGTCTGCAGTGAGAGACAGATCTAAAGCCGCCGGGAAATCCTCTGAGATGGCGCCACTCCGTCTAGTTCTTGTCTTTTTCACTAGTTTGCAGAGAACAAATGCATCCTTCAAATGATTATATATAGAGTCAGCCACTAGTTAATGTTTCAACACTTCTGTTTATATATGTATTATGTAGATATAGATACCTTGTTGGGATGGTGGAGAAAGGAATGAAATTCATGGATAATCCAATTGGTCTTTTGTTGTTGGGTGGTAGTGGTGGATGACGAGGAAGAAGAAGATCTTTTGTTTTCTTGGAAGACAAGAAACTTCTTTAAACCGATAGGATTACCATCAATGTCCTTAATGGTACGACTATTCCCGGTTATCTTCCAGTGTCCTGTTTTCGATGCCCTCTTCGTTCGGTTGAGCTTCCCAAACTTCTCCACCGGCGATATGAAGTACCAAGTGTGACTCGATTCTATCTTCGCCAGTCCTTTTCAAACCACACATAAACATAAAGAATAGAAATGTTAGAGTATAAACATGAGATTTAGGGTTTAGGATATTATGGTAATTTATGTATATTAATTACCAGGTAAATCAGCAGGTTCATGGTGACATATATTGACCTCGGTTATTTGCCTCCCCACTAGATCATCATTCTCTGTGATCTTGTTATTCAAGTAATAGTTAATGAGTTCTTCCTCAGGTGGGTTAAATGTGCATCTATACATCTCTATTAACTGAGACACGTTTTTTTTTTTTTTTTGGGACAGATGAGATACAAATGGAGATAGTGAGAAACCAAAAAAAAGACTTGAGATTGTAATAGAGTTTCAGTGATGATTTTAGAATTAAGGAAAAAACAAGAGAGGAGTTTAGTTAACTTAAATAAGAGTTTTCGCTGGTAAGGGCATAGACTGCTTGAATACATAAGTTGTATATATAAAGGACAAAAACATATTATAAGAAAAAGAAACAAAGCCATGAAGAAGGGAAAACAAAGAAGTGATCAAATCAAAGCGCTTTAAAGAAAACGACAAAAAAGCATGCACATTGATGAGAAGGACTCATGTGAGTGCAAACCACATGATATCTTAATTTTCCAAAAGATTTGTCAGTTGATATAATAAGTATTATCGTCGGATCCTAATAAAACATCGAAACATTTGATTTGGACGTTCTTTAGGCTATATTGCTTTTTCTATAACCCAAAAAACTTCCACACTAAAATATTAAAATAATGCAAAAGGAGGGGCCGATTATTTGCGGTGAAAATGTGGTCACCTTTTTCGCTTTACATGTCACTCGAACATATTTAAACATTATATAATACTTTTGGCAACGAAAATATTCAAAGTAAGCAAAGTATAACTCATGATTCATTTCACTCCATTGTTTATATGCTAATTTTTATTTCATTTTTATACTCCAGTATTTATTTAGACCAACCACATATTGAAGATTTTCGTTTCAAAGATAATGTAATAAACATAAAACTTAATGTTGTGAAGAAAAATATAATTACTATTGCAATAGTCAGTTATTTTACGATTGCGTTTATAATTTTATAAGGTACAAACAATTGTTTTAGGAGAAATAAAGTAGATAAACACATTTTGAAAAATTCACAGAGAGATTAACCGAATGGAGTTACAGTGCCGGTCCGAGAATTTGTGAGGCCCTACACGAAAAATAAAATGAGGCCCAATATATTTATAAGTTTTAGGGCTAAAAATTTTTTTTTGACCTATTTTTAGTAAATTATACAAAAATAATGATATTTTGAATATTATTACATTCAAATTTAATTGTTTGGACCCTATTTTATTTATTTTTTTCGAAAAGGCTTTAGCTTCTACCAAATATTTTCATTTTATGGGCTTAATTCTTTTTTTTTTTATAAAATTGGGCCCTTTTTTCCAAAAAAAAAAAAAAAAAAAAACCTTTTAATAAAAAAAAAAATGTGGTGCCCCAAGCGGTGGCTTGGGTGGCCTGTCCTCCGGGCCGGCACTGGTTAATAAGAAGAGTTAATAAACCAAATGTTAAGAACGAAGGCGAGATGGCAAGTATCATCAATATGGTACAAGACAGAGAATAAAGATGGTAGGCCCAACGTTTTATTTATGGGCCTGTCAATTTTATGGGCTCAATTCAGTTGCCTATGACTTTGTGGGATTAATTTTGGATAATCAACCGTTTTTAGTAACAGGCTAACCGCAATAACAATTTTTTGATGTTAAGACACATACATGTGTACTGTGTAGTGAAGAACTACGAAACCGAAAGACTCTTTTTCATAGAACTTGGTACGTCTAAACTCTCTAGCCTACCAGATTCACTGTAATTATCTTTTAACACTTTAAACTGCTTCATTACGTTAACACATTAATAAAAGGTCAATATTTAATTAGTTTATCATCGACTAATATCTAGTAAAAGAAAATTAAGATCAACACGTTAATTTCTACACCTAAAATATGTAAATCAACTCACATACGTTATTCCCACAAACCATATGCTTTCTAAAAGCAAAACTATATATATGTCAACAATTGTTGAAAATTATTAGAAGTTTTCCACTTATGACTTATGAGCTTGTGAAGCAGAAAGAGGCAACAAGCCCCACCAATTTAGAAGTCAAATTTATATAAATTAATCAAATAATTGAGCTTTTTGGTAAGTGTTTTTTACTCTCTTTATATTTCTTTTCTTTTTGAGGCGTACCGGAACAAATTGTAAATTGTAATGATAGTTCTGTAATTTCTCCACAAATCACATCTGCTTTGATTTTTGTTTCATAATTTTTATAAGTAATACATTCTTATAAAATCGTCAGAGAAACACCAAAGATCTCCAGATTCGTCTCACTTTCTTTTTTCTATCTAAAAAGGCGTACATCTAGAATTCTAGATTATATAAATGGGATGTTAATTAGAGGAACCTTTGATTCAATTATCATAGAAAAATTAGGTAAAGTGTCCGTGTCTTTATGTTATGGAAGATGTGAATGAAGTTTGACTTCTCTATTATATTTTTGATTTTATTTTTGTTGTCCTTCATCTTTTGTTTGTATGCATAATTGCAACTGAGTCAAATCTTTTCTTACAAGGGAAGTCCCCAATTGGTCAATATTTGAAAGCACGTGTCCTCTTCTTACTTTTGTTTGGGTAAGAACTAGAAGAACTAAGAACTATCTTCTAACTTTATATTACGCATTATTATACCAAAAAATATCACGCATTATCAAAAGTAAAAAAAAAATATTGGTCATGAATGTAGCCTAGGTTCTGTCATTTGGGGATACGAAATCAAATCTCCTTTTAGATTTTGTTTTTATAATGTTCTTTCCGTCGACATCTATCTCTATATCATGCATCATCATTTGTCCAAATGCATGAATGAATTTGGAAATAGGTACGAGAATGCCAGCAAGGCATGAAGAAGCAAATACATTTTTAAAAAGAATTCATTACATGATTTTTAATCTTATTCTAAGTTTTGGTCGCTCACTTTGTTATATGATATAATTCAGTGTCTAGACACTAATTTCTTCCAAAGAAACCTTATACATATAATCATATATGATATTTCGATACTTAGAATAATTAATTACTCAGCATAAAAAAAATATCTAACCATTTATTCATAGTAAAATCATGTTTCATGCGAATTCAAACCAGTGACAACAAAAGTAATTATTCCTCGCATTATGTTTATTTTTTTTTGTTAAATTCCTCGCATTATGTTTGACTCCTATTATATTTTTATTTTATCTGTTTGTTTCACTATAATCTTTTCTTACAAGGAAAGTCCCGTATTGGTCAACATATGTAACCACTTGCTCTCTTCTTTGTTTTAGTAAGAGTTATCTTCTAACTTTATAATACGCATTAATTCAAAAGTAAAAGAAAATTTTGGTCATGAATGTTGTTTCGGTCATTTGGAGATACGAAATCAAATCTCCTTGAAGATTTTGTTTTTATAATGTCGTTATTTTTCTTCAACATCTTAGATAACTACAGCTATACATCTTTTAAAATTTATTGTTTTTTTTCTCTTCTCAAAGCCATGTTTTTTTTCTCTGGTGAAAAAGTAAATATATGCATACATATGGCTTTCGTTACCTTATAATTTTGGCTTTTTATGAGAATTCTTAGGCATGTCATAACGTTGCTAGTCACAACTCACAAGTATACCAACAACCATGACAAATCCAAAAAGAAGAAACAATCTATGTAAACCCCAAAAAGACAAAAGAAAAAGTAGAAAGAAAAGAATTGCTGGTTTTATTTTTTTGTTTAAAGAAATTGCTATTTTTCTGCCAATATTAAAACTTCACTTTGGAAGACTTGAACCTACCACATGTTAGTGACTAATGAGAGCCACTAGATAATTGCATTCCACACTAGCTAGTATTAATTTTCTAGGGATCTTAGAGTTTTCTAATCACCTACTTCATACTCTGTATATGTTATCTACTGGTGTATGTTTTAAAAGTTGTTGTCATTTGTTCGGTTTGGAAAATGGCTCAATCCGTTAACCTTCTAGATGGATTTAACAACATATCCATAGGATTCAAGATAAAAAAAAAAAGAAAAAAAAACACACTCTCATTAATGTTCAAAAACGAATAAGATGAAATATTATGCGTGTTCACACACATAATCCAGAAGACAGATTCCAGTTGCTCTCCTTTGTTTTGCTTGCGAGGGACCCATTATTACCGCCCAGCAGGCAGCAGCTTCCCTAATAAGACTGACTTTATTTTTATATTTATTTATTTTTCTTCTAGTCGTACTAAATACAGATTTCTAGATGTTCACAATCCATTCCACGGTTCACCCAAACCAATTCAATTAAAAAGCCAAATTATAAAACCGATTATATAAAATTTATTAATTCCTTTAAATTGATAAATTGGTTTAAATCTGAATTGTTCGTAATAAGTTTCTTTTTAAAAAAAGTAAGATTAAGATTAAATCTTAATACTACTCGGTTTATTTATCTAAGACTAGATGAAATCGAAACAGAAGTGAAGAAAAATAAAAATTACATACCATTGTTTTTTCTTCAAAATTGTTAGGACCGGTACAGTAGAAACCAAAACCATACCGATTAAACCGAAGATCCATATTAATTTTAATTAAAAAAATTAAAAATATGAATATATTGGCTTATTTAAACGCTGATTTCACTGTCTTCCTCCCTCCAAATTATTAATATACCAAACCAGAAAACAAACATATAATCGGAGAAATACAGAGAGAGAGCGAGAGAGATCGGCGGCGACCGGAAACCATTGAAATCGGACGGTTTTGCTTCCTTTTTACGAAAATGGAGGATCAGGTTGGGTTTGGATTCCGTCCGAACGACGAGGAGCTCGTTGGTCACTATCTCCGTAACAAAATCGAAGGAAACACTAGTCACGACGTTGAAGTAGCCATCAGCGAAGTCAACATCTGTAGCTACGATCCTTGGGACTTGCGCTGTAAGTTTCGAATTTTCTGAATTTCATTCTTTTGCGAGTGATCGAATTTAGGGTTGTTTTTTTGATTTTAGGGTTTTTGTTTTGGTTGCTGAAACAGTCCAATCAAAGTACAAATCGAGAGATGCTATGTGGTATTTCTTCTCTCGTAGAGAAATCAACAATGGGAATCGACAGAGCAGGACAACGGTTTCTGGTAAATGGAAACTTACTGGAGATCCTGCGAATGTCACGGATCAGTGGGGGATTTCTAGTGGCGTTCGTGGTAAGATTGGTCATAAACGTGTTTTGGTCTTCCTCGATGGAAGATACCCTGACAAAACCAAATCCGATTGGGTTATCCACGAGTTTCACTACGACCTCTTACCCGAACATCTGGTTAGCTGAGCTAAGACCTCATCAATGTTTTAAATTAGAAACTACTGTTTGTTATAGAAGTTGTGGACCAGAATCTATTTTTAGGCTTAGCTTTTGACACAACTATCACCAATTTTGTTTTACAGAGGACCTATGTCATCTGCAGACTTGAATATAAGGGTGATGACGCTGACATTCTATCTGCTTATGCAATTGGTCCAACTCCCGCTTTTGCAGCCAATATGACTAGTAGTGCAGGTTCTGTGGTGAGTCAGTCTCCATATACTGTTTCTTTGCTCTTAGCTTTTGTGTCTATCTAACTGATTTGATGTTTTCTTTAACTGTTGATTTGTTTTTTTCAGGTCAACCAATCACATCAAGGAAATTCAGGATCTTACAACACTTACTCTGAGTATGATTCAGCAAATCATGGCCATCAGTTTTATGGAAACTCTAACATGGAGCAGCAACCAGTTCAAGGAAATTTAGGATATTTCAACACTCTCCCTGAGTATGATTTGGCTAATCACGGCGGTCAGTGGTTGAGTGACTATTATAACCTGCAACAACAAGTTCCTTTCTCGGCCCCAAATGATGAAAACTCTGAGATCATTCGGAACTTCCTGAATGAAGAAATTCTTCAAAGGACATCTATGCAACAGCATTACAGTGATCACCGACCAAAAAAACCTGTGACTGGGGTTTTGCCTGATGATAGCAGTGATACTGAAACTGGCTCAATGGTAAGCTTTTTTTTTTACACATATGCTCAGAACCTATATCTCTATTGTATCTCACACGTTGACTTTTGGATTTTGATAGATTTTCGAAGACACTTCAAGCTCGACTGATAGTGTTGGTAGTTCAGATGAACCGTGCCATATTCCTGTAGATGATATTCCATCATTGAACACTAGTAAGCCTTCGCACAATTATGAGGCACAAGAGCAACCAAAGCAGTTGAAATTGCCGTATCAGAACAAAGAAAAGGTTTAACACCCTCACTGAGAAACATGACTTTGATACCAACATTTCATCTAAATTATGAGCTATGGGTGTGCTTGCAGGTCATATATATGCAGAAAAGCGAATGCGAGTGGAAGATGGCTGAAGACTCGATCAAGAAACCTCCATCCACCAACACGGTGAAGCAGAGGTGGATTGTATTGGAGAAGAGGAGTCAAAGGAATGCACAGTGGAACTATATCAAGAACATGATCATTGGTGTCTTGTTGTTCATCTCCGTCATTGGTTGGATCATTCTTGTTGGTTAAGAGGTCAAATCCGATTCTTGCTCACAATTTAATTTCTTGTCTGTGTGTTTTTTTCTTTTGGTTTCTTTGCTCTGTTTTCTCGCTCAAGAAAGTCTATGTAAAAGAAAAATGGGAAAGAATGAAAAAAATGCAGAAAAATGTATGTAAAGAAAGGAAAAAAAAAAAAAAAGAGTGTATGTAATAATTAGTGTATCGTTTTGTGGTATAGTTATATATAAAAGTGATCATATAGTTTTGTATAAGAAAGGGATTTTACATGAGAGACCCAAATTGTGTTTGTTGGCTCAAAGCAGCTGAAATTGCATTTGCAAGGAAATAAAAAGGTGTGTAACAGTCACTGCAATTGCATGTTCAACTGTGGACTATGCACTTGGGGTTGCAAGTGAGAAGTACACAGAAAAGTGGATGCAAATGGAAAATAGCTGAAGAGTCAATCAAGAAAGCTCCAACCAACAACACGAAGAATAACTGGATTGTGTTAGAGGAGATGAGTCAAAGGAATTCACAGTGGAACTATCTCAAGGTCGAAACTAAAACGCCAGAGAGAAAGAGGGAGCGACGAAGAGTGAGGGACAAGATTTCGATCGAGTCTTTTAGGGCAAATACTTATTGGGTGGGGGGTGGGGTTTAGTTTATATGGGCCGCAACATGCGGCCCATTAGTATTCTTACCGCACCAATTTAATTTTGATATTTTAATAAGGTCCGTTGCTAAATCTTGATGGCAATAATATTTGGTTAGTCATACAACAATACAAATGATATAATGTAAAGGAAGATGATGGGATCATACGGTTCTGAATAAGTAAGACAGATATTGCATCAGAGATCCAAATTGTGAAAATATTGTCGGCTCAAAGATCTGACCCACCAAGGATCTAACCAAGTGCGCGATTAAGCATACGGCTATGCATCTCGTCATTGTTGATTCAGTCATCACTGGTTTTAACACAAACTTGCAGTGTCAGATTCCAAAACAATAACAAACAATTTGCATTAACAACATTTAGAAGGTCTGACCTTTAAGAGCCATGGAGTTTGATGTTAAGACAAGTACATCGACAATGAAGATCACTGACATTGGGAATTCCCATACCTGTAATAACAAAGATTCTCTATTTTTGAGCAAAGAGACATAACACCAGGTTTAATCGATACAAGAAACTTAGTGCATGATTGCATAAGAAGAAGTTTGGTACTTCAATATTAGGAATTATGTGAGAGGTAAAAAACTACAACATACCAACATCGCAAGCAGAAATATCTTGAAGTAACTAGAGATGCATATCCCCAACATAATCTCTCTTCCTCTGCAAAGTTTATAAAAAAACTTATACATAACCAATCTTCAGGTGACAAAAGTCTGAGATCTTGGTGAAAAACTCATAATAAGAACTAAGGAGAAGAATAAACAGTAATCACCTGGAAACTTCATTTAGCAAACCTTTAGCCACAATGGCAAAAGAGAAGATAAATGCAGCGTTTGCAGATAAGACACCGATTAGAACCTGCTTACATGCGTAAATATTACAGTATCCTTTCTAAACCTTAAAACATATAAATATTGAGAGGAGAAAACAATCCAATTAATTCCATTAAAGAAACGATCTAACCTTTATAGATATAAGAACCGAGCTATCAAAAAAGCTCGATCCGTCATCAGTTCTTCTCAGTAGCAAGCTTCTATCTATGATGAGTTTAAGGCTTTTCAAATGAGTTTACTGATGAATCTCACTAACTACATATCTAGCTACTTTGTAGTAAGAGATTACGAAACAAAAGGATACAAGAGTCTAGAAGAAGATACGCAAAGACCAACTTCCACAACAAATGCTGCACACAAAAAAAAAGAAAAAAAAAAGAGCAGAACTCAACAATTCTTCTTGGATCAGAGACAACTTTGAATTTTTGTGTATCCCCAAAGTTGGAAATTAATTTATTGCTTGAGGTCTAAGATATTTCTACTTATGGAAAAATAATTTCAAAAAACAGACATTTTCAACAAGTTTGAAATATCAATTCAAGATCAGAGAGCTAGCAATGTTATAAAATCAAGAACTTGAATTGAAATAGTTTTTACCTGAATACTGACAGTTTCTGGATTAATTGCATTGTAGAGGACGTGTCTATAAACCTTTGGTCTGTGAAGGATTAAATCGATGAAAATAATCTGCAAAAGAAACAATTAAAGAACCAAAAACCAAATTTGGAAAGAAATAAGAAAACACCCAAAAATGGAAAGTAAGTGATTGAAAACAGACCATGCGTTCACACTCGATGTATTCGTCTGCTACTTCCTTGCAATTTCCCTAAATGAAACAATAAATGTTCTTTAAGAAAGTATGATCAAAGATGGAAACTTTGAAGAAATTCAATAGAGGATCTTAAAACCCCTAATTGGGTCAGAAAAAAGTTCCATTAATAAAAAGCTTACGCATTTCATGAGACGAATGTTACCCGGAGAGTATTGAATGAACAATGACTTTACCCTAAAACCACATCCCACGCATCTGTGTTCACTCGCCGCCATTGCTCTTTCTCTCTCTGAAGTTCTGAACAAGAAGAATAAGGAGCAATTGGAGTCCGGGTCTGGGTCTGGGTCTGGGTCCGGGTCAGGGCTACTGTTTTAAACTTAAATGGGCCTATTCATGGGCCAAGTTTACGAAGTCTTAATTTTAAAATTTGTTAAGCCCACTTTTGCTCTAAGCCGGGTATTTGGACCCCAAATTTAAAAATCATAGATATACAGTACCTTGTAATTTATAAATAAATTTTTTTAGATTTATAAATAGTTCAATTTGGATAAAAATCTTGTCCATTTGAGATAGCATTTTGAAATGCGTAGTTTCATGAATTGAAATGAATTAAACATATTAGGTCTCAGATAAAGATATACTTTCACTTTTTTTTTATCAAAGTCTAGATTAGTCTTCAGAATTGACCACACTTACTGAAAAGTCTAGTGCTTCACTAATATTATTACTGTCGTGTTACTTTCTATATATAGTTTATGATTTGTGATGGATAATTCATAAGAAAAGACAAATATTCTTGCAATTCAACACTGACGAAAAAAAAAACGATTTTTGTTGCATTTGATTAGCGCATGGCTACAAAACGAAAGATTTGAAACTGAGGCTTAGATAAAATAGTTTCCCCTAATAGTAAGTGAATTCAACATAAAAATGGAACAGTAAATTAAAAGTGAAAATGAATAGTTAATCATTAGTTTATTTAAAAATGTATTAGAAAGGGAAGAACCCATTAACCCCCAATACGAAGTTTTCTTATCATCATCAATCATGCCTATAAAAACCCTAACCGGCCTACATATTTGCAGACTCTTTTAGGTCAGGAATCTAATGAGAATGAATTATTTTATTTAACAATAATTGGAGCATGTCATTTATTCTCTTTATTCTTACACAACTAATCATTTAGGTATGTTACAATATTGTCTGCTTTAGTCATTTTCTTAATTTTAATGCCATCCGTACTTTTCACTAATACCTTCCCTTTTAATTTCATTATGAATCATCTTTTCTATGCATGCATTCTTTTGAATATTTAAATACATTTTATATTCTTTTGACAACTATGCACAAGCCTTTTGAGACATATCTACACAATATAATAGCACAAGCCTTTTGAGACATATCTATGTACACAATATAATAGCTACTTGTAGACTATTTGGAATACGTATTTCTATATAGCATCATGCATATCCTTTTGCAAATGTGTGTATGCATATACATTTTTCAACTTTATGTTCCCCTATATTGAAGATATGTGGGCTACACATATAATTAACATACATATGTATATTTATATGATATAGTCTCCGATCCATGTCGTCTACATATTACCTGTTTGATGTTTGCGGTCTAGGGAGTATTTATATACGCAGGACTGTATATACGCATACACATTGAGAAACACTTAACCCCATTTTTGATCTTCAACAGATATGAAGTACTTATAATGATAGGGTCAGACACTTATCTTATTCGATCACAAATAATACGGAACCTCATACTTATCTAAAGATATACAAAATCAGTCATGTCAAATTCCGAATTAGCATGGACAGAAAAAAAACACACATGCATTTAGTGCTTACTTACATGAAATATCACATAGGATTTGGATAATAGAAGGTGTACTGGAGTATGTCTATACAATAGGAGGGAAATAAAATCTGCTAATGACTTGTCCATTTGATCTTAATTTCATGCAAAAGATTGACAATTTAACAGTTAATTAACGCAATTTTACTATATACATCGACTACAGAATATATAGTAATTCTCTCAAGAACCTTTCTAGTTATTTACCTGAATGTGTTTATATTCATGGAATTGTAACCTACATGTATATATGCACATGCACATATATATATATATAGTAGATATGACAACAACCAAAAGAAAAATTCCCGGTTTGTGAAGCATATCTGAGAGATGCTAGTTAGCATATATATGTTGTATGGGATCATACTTTTACTATGCTTGGGAAACTATAAATCTGTATAATCAACGTAACCAATGAACAATTCTACAATCTATTGAACAGCTTAGGGTGAATCTTATGATCCCTAGCTAGAGACTGCATTTAAAAGTTCCACGTAAACTATAATACATCAATTTATACTCATGCATGTGTAAACTGTATATATGTATATGTGTGTATATGCAGATGCATGTGTATATGTGTATATATGCAGATGTATGTGTATATATAGTAATTGACAAATGATTTAGGATCTAACATTCTAAAAGAACTCATGAGTTTATGAGATCTACAGAGATACCTGATTTGGTAAAAATCAGTTCAACTTGCAATCCAAATCAAACAAAGCTATTGACCAAAGGTTAATAACAAAAACAAGAATCTAGAATTAGTAAAAATGAGAAATTAATGAACCTGTGATCATAAAAAAGTCAAACAATGTGAAAACATATCATACCTTTTGTTCTTTTTAATATAATAAATTGAATTACTAAATGAATGGATCAGTCCTTCTTCCATAGCTAGCTTCTCTTTATTTTCTCTGCCCATAACCTGCAAAAATCTCTTTAACCGAGCAAAATTACAAGAGTAACCAAACAAACAAAATAGGACCATTAGAGAGAGAAAAAAGAGAGGCTTTTTTTGGACCTGCCCATTAGCTTAGAATGTACCATGAAACACTTTGTCAGTGTAGGGAGATAGGCACAGAGAGTACAATTCATGAAATTTATAAGCTTTTTTCCCACTCATCAATTATAATCTCAAATTATATATATGAAAACTCAAAAAAAAAAGAAGAAGATGAACACTGTTTTATTGATGAAATGCTATAGCTAAAGGCAGTTTCACCTAGCTAGTGTCGAGTATTAAGGTTAATATATAATTTATTAAGATGATGAGTAAACAATGAGCTATAGCGAATATTGGACATAATTAGCTAAAATTTGAGGCATGTGAACATGTTATTTCATGTAAATCATATTTATATATAATTTTATATACAAAATTGAAAAGATACGAGTTTCAACATAGTGACAAAAGCCTAGTGATTAACATCAAAAAACATGTCGAAAACAAAATTCATAACCAAAAAAAAGACGAAGAAGATCGTTTTTTCTTCCTCTCACTAGCTAGAATCTAATAACCTTGAAAAAATTACTAATGAAATAAAATAAAGAGAGGATTCAAAAAGAAGATGATGAAACTTCTCATGGATTGAAATTGAGAGAAAGTGAAGACTTCCCTTTCTTAGCAAATTGATCATCATCACCATCATCAGTATCATCATCATGATCAGTTGATATGTTTAGTCGTAGAGCTGAAGAAGAAGAAGATGCACCCATTTCGCCACGTGGCACCAACCATGACTCTTCTTGTTGATTATAGTCAATACCACATTCCATATTCACCCCAAAGAGCCTGAGTCTCTTTCCCGCCGTTGAAGGAGGCGGAGGAAGCGGCGGTAATATCACCGGAGTTAATCTCCCGGGAACCACAGGGACTGAGTCTATAACCAACGGCTCTGATCCAACAATGTTCCTCTGATCCAACGGTGATCCCGTGTAGTAACACCTTCCAGCTAAATTTCCATAACCATACCCTACGAACTCTTGACGCTGGTTGTTAATATACGAACGTTGGTGGTTTCCGATGTTCAAGCTCCGGTGAATCGGGAGGGAGTTGTATTCCGGCAATGGATGAAATCTGTTGGAATATTGAGAAGTTGTCGGGAAATTGAAATTGAAACCGAAATTACCAAACTGATGTGCCTGTACGAGGCTCATGTCGGGTCTATGCCTCCAATCTATGTAAAGTTTGGATCTTTCGGACTCATCTCCGATGCCTCGTTGGAAAGAGACAATGTCTCCTGCGTCGAGCTTTTTCTCTTTGACGAAACGGCTCCATCCTTTGGTCATCACGTAACTCTGGCTAGAGTTCCAATACGAGTAACGGAATCTCCACATCTTGCCGTTTCTGTCTTGGAAGTTCAACAGCGTGCCGTTTTGGTTGTTTGAGGAGTCTAGTGGGAAATACCTCTCAGCGTGTTGTTTAGGGATCACAAGTCTGTTGAGTTTTCCGACGTCGCTTGGTGTTACCACTTTGTCGAACATGTGTTCTTTCTCCGGAGGTGGAATCATCATCATCGGAAGGTTGTTGTTGTTTCCGCTGGGGCCGGAGCTGCTGCTTGCTCCGATGTTGGAGGTTAACTCTTGGTCTCTGTCTTGTTCTTGGTCGGAGCTTGTTGGAGCTAAGGATAGATCCATGATGAATTATATGATTTGCCTTGGTGAAATCTTGATTTATGAGACGGTTGTTGAATCAAGATTGAAACTCTTTTTCTTGTTTTGGTTCTTGACAAAACCTTGCTCCTTTTTTCTTGATGGATATATGAGATGGGTGTTATAGTGGTTCTTGATCAAGGTTACTCTATATCTTGTTCTTGGATTAAATCTTTCTCCTTTTCTTGAGATGGGTCTCAGTGAATCTTGATGAAGTTTAAACCTTTCTCTTGTTCTTGAATTGGTGAATTGTTGCGGTCGTTTTTCAAAGCCATTGACGATGATGACTCAACTCGAGATCTTCAACATACATATTAGATAGATAATATTAAAAAGAGGAAACGAAACGAAAATCTAGCCACAATTATAAAAAGGGGTAGATGAATTAATGAAAAAAATTCAAAGAATATATTAAAAGAAGGGAAGAAGGAAAAAAATAAATTAAAGTTCTGGTGTGGTCTCACCTTATAATATAAGAGAGAGAGAGAGATGTTGATTTTGAAGTTTTCTTTCTCTTCCTGGTTCGATTGGTTCTTTGATTTTCTTTTTTTGACCATGAAAATTTAGTGGAAATATGAAAACCCTAGAATCGGAAGAAAACTATACACATATATATATAACTATCTTCTCGTTGACTATAGAATGAAATCAAGGAAAGAAAGAGAAAGATCAGAGCAAATCAGGACTTGGAACTCAAATTGGGTTCTTGACAAACAAGAGGATCTCTCTCTTTCTCTTTATGAGGATGAAGAAAAAATGGTGGCTTGAGATTCTTGATAGAGTTTCAAGACTTAGAGAGAGAGAGAGAGAGAGCGAGATTGGTACCGAGTAATGCGTAGGGGCCCATGAATGATATGGTTCGGGTCATGTGAGCTTCTTGTCCTTTTCATTAGGCTTCGAATTAGCTCTTTGTATTGAAATTTCAAAATCTCTATATACATGTGTATATATGTCTAGTTGTCGACGGTGTTTGAGATTCCGTTAATCTTTTTTTTTTTTTTTTTTATGAGTATACTGTATACGTGTGTGTTTCCTTTTTATTAACTACAACAATTTTTTTTGTCTATTCATCTAATTTTGCTTTCTACTAATTATTGTTGGTTATATTGCACTAATTAAAACAATTTGAACGAATTTATAATTAATTAATTATATATATTTTTCGTTAGTTAGTAAGTGACTCTGGTATATATATGTATTTAATGAAGTGACGTTAAAAAAAATGTATTTAATGAAGATCCTTTGACAATATATTTATATATGTATTTATACTAACCTATATGGATTTACCAGAAAAGAAATGCACATTTTTGCCATGTATAGAATATTCTTTTACAAAAGCAATATAAACATATGCATGCACGCATTTTATCACATTAAACTAAATATAATCCTTACCAACTACTATTCCAGTTGTTGGCATGCCATGATTACTTAAAAATTTGTATGCATATATACACATGTACACATATGACGCAACGTTCTGGACCGTCTCTGGCTATAGCCGATATCTTTCGACTCATTCTAAGTTTGTGGATCTTATCCTCGTCGTCGTCCAACATTTGATTCGTTATTCCGAGAAGGTCAATAAAATTATCAATTAAACTTATGTACGTATACCACAAATGTTTTTTTAGTGTTTATTATGTTCTTATTCGAATGGATTGTTTCTATTTATTACCTAAAATTTTACTTATTGCGTTAATCTGTTCATCGACTTATGGCATATCTATTGATTATATAGATCACATCAATCCATCAAAAGGTTGATTAATCTGATTAGGTTAAAAGTCGTTCAAACGGTGTATATTGTACTTAAACCATTGATGTCTGAACAAAGTAGAGATAAATTATGTGAAATTAAGATTCACCGTAAGAAAACTTTTTATCGCTCAGTAATTATATCGATTTCATTTACTTAATCATGCGTGCCAAATGCAAAAGAAAAAATTCTTTTTTATCAATAGCAGTAATACGATAATTAATACTCCATGTCTTTTTGCTCAAATTTTGTTTAGTAATTTCTTGTCAGAGCGAGTCACGTGGGTTTACAGTATAATACTGTTATAAGAAGGATTAAATAATGAAAATTTGATAATCTCCATGTAAGAAAAAAAAAAAACACATAACTAATTTCGCATATTTAATTACCCAATGTTTTGTTTGGTATAATTAATTATGCAATTATTTACAGATCACAAGGGGGAAAGTAGGTTTGGTTGCTGATGTGCCAAAGTTTTTGGTGGTCCAAAATCTTATTCACATACATCAATCACAACAAAACAAATTGAAATAAGCAAATACAAATATATCTTTATGTAAATGTGTGCATGTTTAGCTTCCTTTTTTGGTTTCTTGGTAAATTATGTTTATGTTTAATGCATATCTATGTGAAATATATTAAGATCACCATGTCTTACAATGTTCGTTTCAGTCGTACGTCGAAAAAATAATCATAATTAACCGATCTATAGAAAAACTAAGACACAAAAATTATCAAAAAAAAAATTCAATTTAAATGAAAATTACATAACAAGAATTATTATAATAACCATAATATTTTATTATTATATTCCTATGTGTCATAATCATCAACATCCATAACAAGAGCGTTTGATGTTTTGAGACAGCAAGAAAATGTCTAGATCTGCAACACCTGGTCAAATATTTCCAGTAATTAAACAGCTTAATTATTTATTAATATTTTTGAAGTTTACTTATTATACATGTCATCACTACATTAGTCAAAAGATATGAATCATTTAATAAGCACGTGTAGCGGAATATACAAGAAGTGGGTGATACTTTAAATTCGTTTTGAAACACGACGGAACTTGAATTTGACAAATCGTCGATTATTATAAACTAGTACTAGTATTTAACTAATTTAGAAATAAAATATAAAGTATTTATTATCCAGATTTTCAGAGTCTATACATGGATAGACCGATTCCATTATATTCTCAACATAGCATTTCGAGTAAGACTTATTAATCACGCAAGTGTGTTAATTATACTTGAACTATGTGTTTATAATCCGGGTACTGGTTCAAGTTTTTCAGTTAAAAAAAAAGGAATCATTAACCACAGTAAAACTGAATCTACTACGAATCGGTTTAGTGTGATTTTAGGTTCGTTTTGGATTTGAGTTTAAGCAATAATATATCTTTAAATTCCAAATAAATTTTCTGTTATCGAAATTATATATGGGTCTGTTAATATATTTTGTATAATTATAAAGTATGGCTTGAAAAAGGTTGGCCAGCAAGCAGCCCTCGCTCTTTAATTTAAAGGCAAAGCTAGCTAAAAGTAAAAACAATTTGTTAATTTTTACTATTTACCGTGTTGCAACCGCTTGAATACAAAGGTGAATACAAAGGGGACCTCTCTACCTATAATCTCTCACTTGCCAATATTTCATTGAAAAACAAATCCCCTTATATATAGAATTTTTTTTTTTGAACAAATCCCCTTATATATAGATTATGCTTAAGGAATATATCCCATTCAAATCTAATTGACCGACTCTATATATATATCACTATAATAGAAAATTATAATCTAGAGAATTAAAATTTACTTTTTGAATATGTATTCACTATAATAGAAAATTTAAAATATATAATTGTATCAAGATGATAGGACATAAAACAAATAGTGAAATTCATAAACAAATATAGTTTCGACTTTCTTTCATTACTTACTTGGATCCGATGATCCCTAAAACCCTAGATATTACAAATCTAAGAGTGTATGGAATCCCAAATGGTATCCGAGATCATCTCTCAAATACTTTTGCCATGAATGTAAGTGTATTAGATATGTACCATATGGTATAAATATGAGGTACATATGGTTAGTATATATGTAAGATTTGAATAAAATGGTTGAAGTAGGGGTTGGATTTAAAGGGGAAGCAAACATAAATGAGAAGGTGAGTGAGAAGGTGAAGTGTTACAATTTCACAACAGTAAACATGGAATAGAGTAAGGACCACTTCTCACTACTCTCTCTCTCTAGAGTTTGTCCAAAACAGCCTCACATTTTTGCATCCCCACACTTCTCGATCTCTTTCACACCTATTTTCTTTATTGATATTCATATTTGTGTGAGTTTTTCTTTATCAACTTGAGGAGCTCGGGCCCTTGGGATTTTTTTTTTTTCAATTTAAACTTTTTTATTCAACGTACTACTGTCCTATAGCCATAGAGAAATGCTAAGAATTTGGTCGTTTTTAAAAGCTGCTCTATTGAAAAACTAAGGTATATATGTGATGTAATTGGGCTTTATTGTCAGAAGGACTATATATATATATATATATCAATTGTAACTACGAATAACTTTTATGATCGTTGATTTACTCTAATAAATGTAAAAATAATTAATAAAATGTACAATTGAATAAATATCAAGTTGGGCTTCTTAATAGTGCCATATTTTATGTTTTGGTTTCCAGACTAATCATCAATCCAAAAACTCCTAAATACCTTTAAATCATAAGTTTAGCAAGGCTTCAAAATTTTTTAGTAGAGGTATACTAAATTTTATAGGAATACTTACTAAACTTTAAGCCTTTAAGGAATATCCACTAAATATAATATTTTGGTAAAAAAAAATCTCAAAAATTGTAGTATTTTTAGCAAATAAATTTATTGTTGTGGAGTTATGGATATCCAAATACGAAAACTTTGAAAGCCTTAAACTAAACTTATAATATCAATACAAAAGTTATTAAAATCTAAAAATAAATGAAATCAAAGTAATATATAGTTATTATAAGGGCTTGTATTCAGTGGTATATTTAACTATTGATTATTGTCTTTGTCAATAGTCGCTATTTTTGACTAAATAATTTGGTGTGTGAAGTGATACAAAAGTTTTAGTCGTATACACAATCTCTGGTATTTAAGGATAAATAGCAAAATCCTCAAAAACATTACATTTGTTTCATCATACCAAAATTATGCATAACCATCAAATAAATGTGTGCGTGTGGATTTGCATGTATAGTGTATTAATGTTATATATGTATAGAGAGAAGGGTCGTTATCAGTAGGTGCAAAATAGAGTCCATTTGCGTGGAGCAGGTTTATGTGATGTTGATGATGGCAACAACTGTCAT